GTGTGTGTTGGTGTTGGGTGTGTGTTGGTGTTGTGTGTGTGTTGGTGTTGTTGGTGTTGTGTGTGTTGGTGTTGTGTTGTGTGTTGTGTTGTTTTGGAAAAGTGTACAATTATTCCTTACTAAGTATAATTACTAATACTATAAATTTAAATACTAATATCTTGTAGTTGATGATGGGTGATGACTAAGAACTTGAAATATCATCATGATCAACTTTATCAAAAAAGATTTTGATTTTTTCTTCCATGCTCAACAAGAAAAGATCATGGGTTTTGGAACAACAATATTTCACATACATCTTTAATGCTGAGAAGGATTCACAACCTAACCTAACCGTTCGTGATTTTTTCTTCAATGTTCGTTCCTAACTATAAAAAACCTATAATGCAGGACGCCGGTGAAGAGAAGGAGAAGGAGGCTGACAGTTCTGAGCCCGATGTTGGCGCGATGAAGCCAATGTTGCGACTGAAGTACAACCTGCTCCTCATGCAGAAGCAGCTTGAGCGGGATGCTGCCTTCGTCCGCGAAACGCAGAGGCGAAAGATGGCCCAGAGGGACGACCTGAATCGCAAGTTCGCTGCTTTTCGCAAGTCTGTAGAAGTGCGCATGCTGAAGCGAATGGTTCTCAAGTTAAACGCCCAAGTGGAGCAACGAATGAGCGACTTGGGCGAAATGGATCAGAAGAAAGTAGCCATCAAATTCGAGATCACAGGAGAAGAAGCAGCGCCAGCAGCAGTCGTCTCGAGTGGAGAAGGAGGAAAAGGTACTTATACTTACACATTATAAACATATTTGATTATGATGATTCATCTTAGGAGGTTCTTTTCTTTGTTTTTATTTGGATTTGGAACGATTCAGTGAAGGTGATCGTGATCCAGAAATATATCTGGTCCTGTGTATTATTTTGTTGTCCTACGTCTTAATTTATAGGTACTCAAATCACCACTACAGAAGCCGGCGAAGATACCCCAGAAGCTGACGAGGAGGGTACCTCTCCCGGTCGCAAGCCACAGGAGAAGCCAGTCCATTCTGCGGCGAAATTGTGCCATCTCGGTATTGAGTTCGAGCAGCAAGTCGAGAAAATGGAGCAATACATTACCGAACTAGGCCAGTGGCTCCAGGACAGTGATCCGATGAAGCTCGTATCCAACAAGGACCAGTGGAAACTGATCACAAGCCAAGAAAAAGCGACGTGCGTGCAAACGGTATATTCGTCTTGATGTTGGGACGAAAGATATTATTTTTGTTTTTTATCTTCATAGTACAACTTACCTGACTTTTCTTTTCTCGGTTTTTGTTTTTTCTAGTTAGGTCTGCTCCACCAACTTCCTAGACTTTTGCTCAACATTGGTGGACGCAAAACAGAAGCTAGTTTCTGAGTTGACACAGAATCATGAACACAGATGAATACTCGACCATACAATGCTACAACAGGTTTCCAAGCCCTTCCTCCAACTTCGTGCCAAGGCCAATCAGCTACGAGCGAAATTCAAGGAAGACCGCGAATACGCCACTTCATCCTTGCAGCAAGATGTGTTGCTCCGGTCCCGTACGGAGATTGCCACTTACTTCCGCGAGAACGAGGCAGAGAAAATCTTCAAGGAAATACTCGTGGAGAAGAACCCAGCCAACAAGAGCATCGAGAAAGAGGATCAAAAGTTCATCACGTGCGACATTGTGTGCGACTACATGAACGAGGTGATGCAACCAGAAGCGATTCCGAAAGCGATCATTTCCCGAATCTACTCGGTGCTGGTAGGAAACCACAAGAGGCCGATGACCTGCGACGAATTCTGCAATCTGTTTGCGAAGGTAATTTTCTACTTGTAAATCCTATGAATTTCATATTTGCAACATCAGCGTGAAGGTCTTATTCATGATCAATGTTATTCGGGGATGGAACAAAAATCATGGTTTCTCATTTCAAAGCGGGTTTGCTTCCGAAAATTTTCTTCGAAGAACCTTAGTACCACATCTACTTAAGAATACCAACTCACTTACAGATGCACTGGCGTGCGCTCCGTCGGTCCATTATGACGAAGGAATTCGAGCTTCGAGGGAAATTCGAGAAGGTTGCGAATGTTCAGGTTGGAGACATCGTGAGGTTGATCGGAGACGTTAAGAAAACGGGAGACGACATGATGAGATTCGAAGCCGAAACCATCCCACCACCAGACGAGAGCGGAAGCGCCTCAACACGAGGATGGGTCACGCTTTATGGTACAATTTATTTTTTTCCCATTGACTTACTTTGCGGCCTTTAACTATATGTTATTCCTGTTTGGATTTCAGACTTTTGCTCGAAAACAGGACTTACAATCTTCTTGTCTACTTAGGGAGTCATGTTAGTGCTGTTAGAATACGTGTGTAGAACAATTTTGATTTTTTGATGTTGTGTAGATTCCCCGTTCCGTCAACAATCACCATGAACGTTAACATCTCATCCTATCTCTTCTCCCAAACACAAAAACAGGTAACCAAGGCGCCGCTTGGTTCGTCCTCCACACTCCTGGTTACAAAGTGGTGAAGCAGACGGTGTTGACGGATATTTTTGAGATGAAAGATTTTAGACCTGTGGTGAGACTCAACGTTGGCGACCAGGTTCGAGCTATCGCTTTCCCACGCAAGGAATCCAAATCTGGCCTAATCCGAGTGAAAGCAGTGACAGTGGGACATAAGACAGGTATTGTTATTGAAAATTTATTCCATAGTGGTTAAGAACACCAGCCGGTTTCGGTTCATTTTCTCTCGTCTTCACTCTCCTTGACATCCCTAGTGATTACTAGTCATATCAACATCTTTTAACACGCCTCCTACTTGATCATCCCCTTCCCCTCGTCCTATGCCAAAACTAATTCCAAAAGTATTTTCGTTCATCAATTCAACCTTCTTACTACTATACACGTTAATAACCTACTTTATCAAAAGTAATTCCAAAACACCTACTGTGGTTTATCAAAAGTAATACCTACTGTGGTTTATCAAAACTAGTTCCAGGATGAATGAATGAATGACTGAATGAAAACATACTATAGGTAAAGAGTACACTGGTTACGTAACCGTAGAGGGCAATCAGAACAGCGTGTATCTCGAGAGTTGCGAACACCTCGTTTTCCCAGACGAAGAGCCGGAGGATGCTGAAGCAGGGAAGAAGGTGGAATTGTGAGCATGATTTAGGGTTCTTCTCAGAGGACTCGAAGACACTTACTGCTTGAAGAAGCAGCAGAAGATCATATGAGAAACAACTGGTAAGAACTTCATAGTTTCCTAGAAGAACGAGAAACTTTACCAGATGAAACTTCTAAACGCAACAAAATAAAATGCACTACTCCATCATCTATTTGGTTTTATTAGTTGTACAACTAGGCCCATTCAATGATCGTTCTGTATTCTCTCTGTACTTACACATAATTGATCTAGAACTACATATAGAGAGACGATCTCCCATCCTTCATACCGACTGATATATATCAATGAAATATTGCAGAAAAATATTGTAGAAACAAGCCGTACTGTCGTGTCATACAACTAAACGTTATAAGTATTTAGAACGACGAAGACGATTGAAATTGATGCTTTTGGAATTGGAGTACCTTTTAAATTTGTTGTACAAATAACTTCTTGCTTACTGTTAATATTCGTATAATCATGTACGCGATCCCTCATCGGAACTAATTACTACATTGTCAACCTGTTTGCTCGTTCTTGGGCAGAGTGGTTGTTGACCTTGGATGAAGGACGTTTTACACGACCGCTTTCCTCTAGTTCGTAAACACACACAACAGTATCATGTGATCCCCATGTGTCATCTACAACTAGGGAGGACGTTCGTGTCTGTCTGGCTTTTATTTTGAATCTTGTCCTTGTACTTATATATAAATTTGATTAAATATATATCTTCACATTCAAACCACTTGCTCTATCAGTCTCATAAAAAATATAGCTGTGTGTTTTCAAACTCTTTTTCACTTATATCGACAATAGCATTGTACTAGTCCTCTCCTTTGAAGATTTCATCTAGTATCAACCTAAGTAAACCTAGATGAGTTCGCATTTCTAGATCCTCATTGAGCTACTCTTACCAACAAATTCTACTAAATACTTCTTGACCTCCTGAACCTGATTCATAGTATTGTCATAACGCGCGACAAGAATCAAAGACAAGACCGGAAGCGATTTTTGTCCTCTCCCAGAAGATTATGATGAAAATTCGACTCCTATTCTTCAATCCCTATCTTCAATGATGAACTCATCTCATCAATACCACGGTAAGGACACCTCGCTCCGGTGGCGGAAAAAGCTGCGTCAGTTTGCGGATCTGAAAACTGCGCACACAATTCTATGTACTAGGTGGGCATTCTGCTCTTTGGGGATCGTCATTCTGTATGCTGTTGAATTGAGGTAGAGGTCGAGAATATTCGTATTGCTGCAAGAACACCAACATCCACCCTTACAACCTTCACAGCGTCGGTTTGCACCACAATGTTCTCAACAAACGTCTGTAATATATGCTGTTCAGCGTGTTCCTCTGAAGTCCCCCCAGCCTTGTTGATACTTTTCCAAGAATTATCAGTAAATTTTTTGTAGATGTAGTCATCTTCTAAAGAGTATACCACTGTCACGTAAGTATATTCTTTGAAAGCGTCCGAGGGGCATATTTAGCTCTATGTATTATTCTGTAAAAAATGTGAATTCCACTTCATTGCAAAGCAACATACTATAAGAAAACAAAGATGCGTGCCGTAATCGTGAATCAGTTGTCCAAATCCTGTGAGATCGGAACGGTTGCAAAACCGTTGCTGAGCAAATCTCACAGCATCCTTGTCAAAGTTCACTACACGGCTGTTAACCGTGCGGACTTGCTGCAAAAGCAAGGGAAATACCCGCCGCCAGTTGGGGCTTCGGACATCCTAGGACTCGAGTGCAGTGGGGAAGTCGTCGATATCTTGTGTCCAGAAGGAAGTGCTGGGGAAGTAGAACAAAATGGGGGTCAAGGGAAGACACAGAGTAAGAAATTCGCTATAGGAGACAGAGTTATGGCGTTGCTGGAAGGTGGCGGATACGCGGAGTACGCGGCCTGTGCGCCAGGCAGTTTAATGCGAGTTCCCGAGAGTTGGACTCTACAACAAGCCGCTTGTGTCCCTGAGGTGTGGTTGACGGCATACCAACTGTTGAGGAGAGTCGCGAACATGCAGCCAGGCGAAAACGTGCTGCTGCATGCAGGTGCGTCAGCGGTGTCATTGTTAAGAATCGTGGAACTGGTGCGTCAGGTTTTTAGAGTTGAGAACAAGCAAATCAAATTTTGAGTTTGTGAGAATCAAATTTTAGGACTTCTTCTTCTTCTTCTTCTTCTTCTTCTTCTTCTTCTACTTGAAGATGGACATTTAGGATGGACCCTCATTTTTAGGACTAAGCACAGGATAGAAAGCTACTACTTATAATCAGTCGGCTTTTCAGTTTCTGTCTTTCAATTTGCTAAAAATGAAGGGATCCTCATTTAGTACAACCAACATCTCCACCACCTTCCTGCTCTAAATTTCGCCGCTGCCCAACTGGGGAGTGAGGTATTTCACGCGAACAGCGTCGTAGCATTGACGAGGAGCAGGGAGAAAATCCCTCTTTGCGAAAGCATGGGAACAAGAGCTGTCTCCGGGAGACTCCGCGACGAATTTTTTGCCGAGATGCCGAGAGCAGAGCTTTTTGACGTGGTTTTAGATCCGATTGTGGTTATGGCTTGTGGAAATGGTGTACTGCAATATAGCTAGAAGACTGGTAGGAACTGGTGGTGCTGAGTTCTAAGAAAGGGGCTATCGAAACAGAAAACAAGAGGACGCGGTATTAACAACACAACACAATACCTCCAGGTCCAGTTGCCACCGCTTCTAATCTCCGAGAAAACTTCTGGCCATGCCTGTCCGAAATGACGCGTCGGGATGCTAGATACGTGGTCTACGCCTCAATGGGTGGACCCAAGGTCCCGGACTTCAATTTTGGTCCTGTTTTTCGCAAATCCCTTTCGATCCTGACATCCACGTTGCGTGCTCGCAGCCTAGAATACAAAGCGGCTTTGGTAGCGGATTTTGAGAAGGATGTTTATGATGATTGGGGTTTTTTTTTTGTGTGACCACTATTGTAGATTCTTCAACAAGATTGATGTTCTTTTTTTGATTTTTGCAGGTGCTAGAAGACGACGACGGACCCGTTGTTTGCCACAATGTATTTTATGATGAGAATCTTCAGAATTTGCTCTTGGTAGAAGATTTGGGTTCCGGATTTGTCTGATCAGTCTGTGCCAGTGTGAACTCGATGCTCTTTTGCTCCCCCTACGTCCCTTCCTCGACCCAAAATTCTAATCTCCTTTGCATCCTTTCCTGTCTCCCGGACGACTGAAGTTGAATCTGGATACCGTTTTTCCGCTAGAAAGGGTCACGGAAGCACACGCAAGACTGGAAAACAACGATACGGGTGGAAAGATAGTACTGGCGCTTTGAGGTGGCCTTAGTGATTTGGATTATGCATGTTTGGCCTGAGACCCAAGCTGGGAGGAAACAAAGATCGCAAGAGCAAATGTTAGAAAATTTTCAAAAAGAATTTCAGGTGGACGGAGTTGCAGTAGAAAAAAACTTAGCCGGAAGTTGTCTGTCTGTTCAATTATAGATCATCAAGATGATACTTCTCCGGGATACCCTCCTGACCTCACGACTAGCTGCACAGTTCGTTTACTGTTACACCCGAAAGAAGCGCATGTGAGATTGAAACGTATATGAGATGCGCTAAGTGAATTGACGGTGTATCATGGAAAGGCGTTTGTCAAATGGCGAAATATCGTTTATACCAGGATGGTTCTCTCAAATCCGAAGAGCAGGAGTTTTATTTAGCCAGCTTGTTTACAATCCTCCGAGTCATGAATATGAAATCATTATAAGTCGCAAGGCCAAGGTGCAGGTTTTTTTGACAAGTGCTCTGGACAGTAGAGGAAGTGTGTGTTTTACCCGAATCAAGAATTTACTGACCTTATTCGTCACACACATCAATCAAGAAGTCCAATGAATCGGTCCTAGTCTAGAACCACGTGTAAAATCATCGCATCTTTTTGTGGACTAGAATCCACCACGCACACCTGCTTCAGGAGGATACACCAGAGCAAGAAAATGGCACACCAAGCTGCTTCCAATACTGGTGGCACCACGTCGTCCACAAGTGCGTCGTCCACAAGTGCGTCATCAACCCCAGCACCTCATGTCCTCTATTCTCTCTTCCCGCATCTGAAGTTACTCGAAAAAACCCCGGACTTATGGCTTATTCGGTGTAAAAGTCTTCAGTAGAGGACTAGAAGTAGAACTGTTCGTTCTAGAACAGTTGGGGGTTTTGGGCTAACTAGAAGTGGTCGATCTATCATTAAGGCTTACAATAATTCATCTTAAGGAGCATCTTTGACCGCTTTCCTAAGAGGGAAACACGTCATTCAAAGATGCTCTTTAAGATGAATAAAGGGGAGCTCTAATATCAACACGATCTTTACTTGGATTCCTGTTGATTCACTTGTTAGTTTCATTGGGTACTCTCTACTCAGATTCCGTCCAAGTCCAAGGAAACAGGGTTTCCTAGTTGACTTGATACGTAGGGTTGTTTTGATGCAAGACGAGATAATAGATTATAGTTATTGATGCCTGTTCTAGAAGACTTCTTCTAGATGTTTTAGGCTGCTCAATAAATCATTATCCTGCTGCCGGTTTTTTCTGATAGTACATGATGGCTGCTTGCGGATCAGGTACTCTAATGTTAGAAGATCTTCACTTCTTCCAGCACTGTTCTCTTTGCTTCAAGGCTCATTATTCTGCTGCATACATCAAGGGGAACAACGCTCAATACTATTCTGCTGCAATGGTACGCTGAACAGCGTGGTCCATTCATCTTCTAAGCATCAACAAAGCCATCATTCCGTACAATGGACGGCTGCAGGCAGGCGAAGTGGTTATTCTCTACTTTTCGGCGCATTGGTGTCCACCCTGTCAACAATATTATGGCTGCAAGGAAATTTTTAATTTTTCTAGGAGTAGGTAAGTACTAGTTATTTTTCGAGGTATTTAATATTGGTTTTAGAACTATACTTGCTGGACGACAAGCGGCGCCTAGAACAGACGGATCCTAGCATAAGCATGGCCATTGCTTAAGTTAAAGTTTTTCTTTAGTCTAACCCTCTAGTATTGATCTTTTTGAATTTGATTTCTAGTTAGGTGGCTGGATCCACCGATATTAGGCTTAGAACCATAATGAGTATGATGTTGATAGTCCAGTCTGCACCTCCGCAAATCATCATTTTTCACTGAATAATAAAGTCGACACATCACAGGCCTTCTACTTCTAACCTCCCACTCCCCACGTGTGCAAGTACGCAGGCAAATGCCCGCCAGGTGGCGTGAGGTTTGTCTTTGTTAGCAGGGATAAGAGCCTTCAGGAATTCGAAGGTTACTTCAAGGAGATGAGCCATGATTTTCTTGCGGTGGATTTTAGTGCAGGTATCTAGTTCTAGTTTTAGTTGTATGCCTGCTGGCGCATTGTTCGTACTCATTCTTTGATACGGTCTTTCTCGGTTTACCTCGTTGTTATTTGATAAACTGTTATGGTCATTCAAGACTATGAAAATGAATGTGAAATCGATGCCAGGAGGACGAGGAGAGTGAAACTTTACCCATTTTGCACCTGCAAAAGATATCAACCAAAATCCAATCAGCCGGCTTACGTGACCAGTTGTGCATCAACTATGGGGTTAACGGGATCCCATCGATACACCTCATTTCCAACCTGGCGGATGCTGCGAGCTGCTACGAGAAAATGCGAGACGAAATTTAAGACCACCACTTGTTTTCAATTTTCTTAATGTTGACGTTGCAATTTTTACTGCGTTTGTCGTGTATTGCATCAGCCACGTCGCTCCTCAGGGGCACCAATGGAGTCAAGTGGTAGTTTCAACACATAAAAAAAGATCGCCTTTTTTCTTTCAAGCACTACTTCGGCCCAGTCCCGTAAAGTAGATCGTAGGAGTGGCAAAACTAGAAAAAGTAGACCCATTCAGTCTTCTAATAACCAATGCGTCCACAGACGATGCTGAAGCAGATGAACTTTATCCGCAACGAGCTGATACCAGCTTGCTACGCTAATGAAGGCTACCTGCACTACATGATGCAGGTGAAGATACTCTTCCTTATGATCACGTGGGTGATGATCATGGTGATGAAGATGACTGTTGCGTAGACCACCTACTATCCTGTAATTGTTAGGTAGATGATGCTGGTCACTTTCGTCTTGTTTCTGAACGACACTCTAGCGAGTTTTCACTTCGGGATTCGTGGAGTTCGAGATTACTCCTCATTCTAAACTTAGAACTTCAACTCATGAAACGACTTCGGTGTTTTTCAAGCGGCTTCGTTGGCGTCGCTTCTCTTCCTACTCGCTCCTCCTCCTCCTCCATCTCCTCCCCCTCTCCTATCGCCCCTTCATCTCCCTCGACTCTCGACCATACTTGAATGGACAGATAGCGCAGATATGCGGCTACAAAGGAATGGACCGAATCATCGTAGAGCCTGTCCCGATATTGATGATACATGGTAAACGAACCATGGTCGAAGATGATGCACGGATCTTAAGGCTTCGTTTTTTTGCTCCTAGGGAGGGCTCAGAGTAACTGAAAAACACAAGGTTGTAATATTAGGAGCAGCTTGAATCTCAGCGACCTCCTGTTGCTTGTAATTTTATCTTCAAAATAGATATCAACCACAACGCCAACCTGTGCCTAATGTAGCAAACAATAGAGTTCAACAATTCATCTAAGTTTCGATTTCGAGCGCATTGCATTGCGGAGACGGAACCTTTTCCCGCTTGAGATGGCATTGAAAAAGAACCGAAGCATCCGAGCGTGGCAAAGCAATGTAGTGGAGCCCATGGATATAGAACGAAACCAATACAGAGTCCTATTATGAAGATGTCATTTTGTGATCGTCACTAATATGATTGTTTGTCGTGATTTATGAGAGTATCCATTATTCATAGTCTTTTTCTGATGCTGATCGTCATGAATGCAACTGTGGTCTATGTTTATGATGTTTAGGTCAGAGTGGCCCTCTAACTTCAGTCGACGGTGGAAAATTAGGCACTGAAGTCGTGGACAAGATGCAGGTTCGGTGGGGGTTGGAGACCCCTGTGGTAGTTCATGGGCTAACGTCAAGGCCTGAAAAGAATGGACTCATGTTATGGACTGATGATGTTTTGAGAGGAGTGTATCAATTTGATGAAGTTTCATCTGTTCTTATCCTGATACAACGAACAAAACACTGATGCAATGGAGCGGTCGTGACTTCGTAGCGAAAAAGTACCAGATCTTCCAGCTTCATTTTCTCTTTTTGTTCAGCTATGTTGCATGAATATCTTGTAGCACTATCATCTTTTCTTCTAATAAAAGGCACAATCGTGCAGGAGTACGATGAGGAGACGGAGAGGTATGCCATCAAGATCAACGCTCACGAGACTTTAATGCTCAAGGGTGATAAATTTTATGTTTGAGATGTCAGGACACGGATATTAGGGCTGCTCTTGTTTGGAAGGTAGCCTGATTTTTTGCGTCATTCATACGAGTACGACGATGTTTTTGCGCATAGCAGAACGCTTTAGTAGAATAAGGAGCACGACGAGCAGCATCTTCACCATCGTCGTCCACATGCTGATACTCTTGTTGACTGATCATGGGGTCGTTGGAGACGGGTCAGCTTCGGCAACATAAAAACGTAATTGAAAGGATTCGAGATGGATCTTCACTTGCGTGATCATATTGGATCACGTGGCGACCGGGTCACAGCGAGGACCGCCTGGATACTCACAAGAAGCCTCTCGTGTTCTAGACCGACTATGTGCATGATCTGTAATATTTGGTGCACAATGCCCACGGAGATTCATTCGGTAACGTGTTGAAAAGTGTGTGCTAACAGTTCTACCTCTCCCATGAAATTCTTTCTCCACCACCAACTAATCCTCCGATGACTGACAATAATATAGCTACAAACTACATCTTCAGGAAGCTGAGAACTTTTGAGGTCTTCTCGTACTGGGAAGTTCCTGACTCATGCCGTCTAGGCGGTCATTTTCAGTTGTGTTGAAGGTGTCTGGGTTCGTGGTGAGGTCTGAGCCTGTGTCTGGGAGAGAGAAAAGAGCTGTCTTCCTGTCTTTTTCAGAGAGCACGAAGTGGAGAGCTTGTAATCAGGTGGAGTATGGAGGTTACCTGAAGGATGCTGATCCTTCAATGACTGCGCCAGGAGCTGTCAACAAGAGAAAGATCTCGTATGTCAAGTTAAAAAGATCTTCGATGATAGTCGTCTTGTTTGTATTTGCATTGGGTTAACGCTTGGAATGAAAGAGTTGTTTTCGCATCAGTTCTAGGGAAGTAGATGAAATTGGAATTGGATAAAGGAAAGACGTACTTACGCGGTCCTTCAGCGGCGGCGATCATCGGATGAGTGTAACTTATAAGGTAGAAACTAGCGTAGCACCACCAGCCGTAGGTCGTAGTCGTGTTTTTGGCTCTTCAGTAGCCACTGACGTCTGGGTTGGGAGAGAAAGTTCAACATCAGCTACTAAGATTATACAATTTAGGATCATTGACACACACTCTAAAAAGAGAGACAACCAAGAACCTAGGTAAGATATTAAAAACTTCTAGGTTGTAGTTCACGACCATGACACGTACCACCCTCCTGTGAGGACGTACCACTCTCCTATCTACCTACAATCCTATCACCATCGATTTAAACAAGAAGAAGATGCTGACGTCCTCCCCAACCGGAGAAAGAAGTCCGGTTTTCGAGATCAGTCCTGCAGTGCAGAGCTACGACTGGGGTAAGAAGGGGAAAAATTCGCGTGTAGCGCAATTTCTGGCGGAAATTGATGATGCCAAATCTTACGCCGAATTGTGGATGGGCACACACCCAAGCGGGATGTGCCATGTCAAGAAAGCAAATCCTACCGATTGTTCGGGGGATCCACGACAAGTTAAGCTTATAAGGTTCTCCTGTAAGAAGATGTACGTAGGTAGCTCAGGACATATTTCTATCAGTAGATAGGGTCTGTAAAAATTATATCTAAGATCCTAGGTGGTCTCCAGCTCTTTGCGAGCGATGGTCTCTGTGTGAACTGTGTTAGCACGTTCGTGGACGCGCTCCACTTTATGCTTCCCCCTACCGCAACTGAATGGTAGCCCCCTTACCTCTTGAATAGGTAAATCAATCAATCAATCATTCTCACAGAGTCATGTTCAATAGTACATCATGATAGTAGATGAAGATGAGTCAACATTTTCCTGATGTTTATTGATTATGCTCAAAAATAACGATGAAGAGCGCTAAGTAAACGATAACATCGGTCGTGGAACAGAACGAGGCTGGTCACGCTGGTGCTTCTGATCAAGATGATGCCAACAACTACAACAATGCAAATGGAGCAAACGCAAACAATGACCTTGTTGAGAACAATACATCAAAAATGCCAGCAGCTACAACTAGTAGTACGTCTTCTCTCGTAGCAGATGAAGGTCAACAAAAACATGTCAACAAGCACGAAGGACAACATGTTGTACGACAAGAAAGGTTGCCACTTCTCGACGTGCTCCAAAGTGACCCAGATTTCTACCTGGGACCAGCAACGAAGTCGTCATCTTCGTCGGAGACACGAGACCTGCCTTTTCTATTCAAGTTAAGGATTGCATATGAGTATTTTTTTTTGTATGCCGAGGGAGACCGCCGGAAGTAGGATGATCCCAGTGAAGATGACCGACGCACCTGCCGGCGACGGGGATAAGTGTAATAAGTAGGAACGTTGTAGTGTTGGTGTCTTCTTGCACGAACATCTTTCTTGTTTTTTCTTTTTGCATCTCTAATGAAAGTCTTATCGGTCGGAAAAGCGTTGAGCATTCAGGTCCATCCGGACAAGTCCCTGGCAGAGAAACTTTACCGGGAACAACCTTTATGAACAGTAACACTTCGAGATCGAGTGCGATAGGTCATATGATCTCATGCGGAGCACGTCTTTTTCGAAAGTAGAACACCAATAGCGCCACCACCTCTGATAAAAATATCTTTCTGGCTCGCTGTGTGGACTATTGCTACTTATTCTTTTTCGCTTCTAATGAGAATGATTACAGCCATGAAGCCATGTGCACTTCATGATCTAGATTGATGTTGGCTTTCTCACGATTCTAATAATTCATCCCACCTCTAATTCCCACTGTGTATAAAGATCCGAACCACAAACCAGAGATTGCAATACCGCTGGGGCCATTCGAGGCGTTAATGGCTTTTCGTCCAAAACAAGAGATCCTTTTTTTCGTTGAAACTATACCAGAATTGTATGTGCTAACTGGCGACATTGTTGCTGGAGCTGCAACAGCTCCTGGGAATGTTAAGGCTTAACAGACATAGACATAGATGAGGATTAAGTCGAATCATGTGCCGACCAATTCAAGCTTACTGTAATCTAAAGAGAAGCACGAGTTCAAGTTCTTCTATTCTAAGACTAGTGAAGATCAGCAGGTCGTTCCAAGATTATACGCCGCCTTGATGCACCAAAACGCTGAGACAGTGAAGGAGCAGGTACTTGTTTTACTTATAATGTCACTTGCAGTTTATTTACGTATAATCGTGATGACTCTACTCTGTTTGCTTCGGATAGAATAAACTGTAGTCCCGTTAAATCCGCAAGAACTACTCACCACATCACGAGGTTCACAAATTAGTCGAACGGTTACGCAGGGTCGAATCGGGAGAAGAAGTCCTAAGAAACGACGCAGATGCGACAACGAGCCCCTTCACTCCCGCATTGCAGCGTCTGATTCTGCGGCTCAACGAGGAGTTTCCTGGTGACGTTGGCGTTTTCTCAGTCTTCTTCTTGAATATGGATGATGTTTACTCTCTGATCTTTCACGGATCATCGACTCTGCCCATTTCCCCCCTCACTAAAAGAGTTTTTTTCTGAAGGGGAGCCTCGATGGTCTCATTCTAGAAGGGAGAAAAAACATCCTCTATATTGAACTACGTACAGGCAGATCGAGGGAATTTTTTGTTCTGTGAAGCCTTCGTTCCACACGCATACCTCAGTGGTGATTGTGTGGAGTGCATGGCGTTATCGGATAACGTCATACGAGCTGGTCTGACCCCAAAATTCAAGGACGTGGATCTACTTTTGCAATGCGTGAAATATAACAACGAGTTATGGTAATAGAGCCATCAAGAAAGAGCTAATCATGGAATACAGAAATACTACGTAGAGGTGGAGTAACAATGACTTGGTGCGTTGTAGTTGTTGTTGAACGAGGTGAATAATAGGAAGTTGACTAAAAATGAGTCTCGTCATTGATCTTGTGAAATCTAGAAGTTACAGTTAGTGTACATCTAGCTGATTACTCTAACAAGCGAGGAAGAAAACGCGCTTCCAGAGAGGGGCAAAGGCGAGCCGACAAATTTGAGAAGACAACCTGTAATATTGGGACTCCGTGGAGGAGGAGGTGGCGCTTGTCGTAGTACTACACCTTCCTCAGCTTCAACTGGTGCGTCCATAAAGCAAAAGCTCCTTTTGTATCGGGCTGAAGGCATCTCAGACTTCCAAGTACTGGAAATTCGTGGAGAAAAGACTGATGGAACTAGTGGTGCTGGAGCAGAACTCGAACAAACCTCCAGCCGGAAGTCCGATAAGCAGGGAGTGCATTTGCCTTGTGCTAGCATACTCGTGGTTGCAGGTATGGAAGAGGAACTACAGTCGTCATGGGACACTGGAACAACAGCATTGTCAAATTTTATCACCGTAGTTGTCACGGAGATGAACACAGACAGGACTGAAAACATAGAGAACAAGACCACCCACCCTCTGCGGCGCGGCCAAGTACTTTTTCTGTGTGGCGACGTCAAAGTGTATTTTTCGCTTGTAAGTGAATGCACTCTGTTTCTAGCAACTAGTGGGGAACAGGAGATTACAACTGTAGCAGAGTGACGATGGCTAGCTAAACTTTTTGTTTATTTTGACTTCTTGCGCAATGCGCATTTTCATCTCCGGACTTTTTCATCCTCACAAGAAGCTCATGAGCTGATCTAGCCTGATTCAACCATTGAGTTGTCGTGTCGTGTTGCCCTTCATCCATTATGATTGATATGCCATTGTACTTGTAGAATTTGTAATGCTCTAAAAATATCCATGGATGTAGTTCATATCCATCATCGGTTCTCAACATAAGGATCGTTTAGATTACTGCTCTACTTGCATCAATTTCCTTACATTGAGTGTCTCTTACTTCCTATTGTTGATCATCTTCTTCCTAGTGCATAAATCCGTTTACTACATGTATTCAGTCGCTGTGTGCATAACTGTGTGCAAAATTCCAACCACTCCATAACGTCTATTTTCTACCTACAACCGAACAGGGTTTCCTACCCTCCTACGTATCCAAGATCACAAACATCGTGTCTATCACAAACATCGTGTCTAAGAACATGAACCAGTCTGATTCAACGCCTTCTCGTCAACGACCGCATCCTTGCCGCACGCCTTATGTTGGCACAGAAGCTTCTGCGTCTCGACCCACTGTGAAATGTCTGCTTTCTCTGCGCCCACCGCTGCTGGTGCGTCGAACTAAATCGAAAAATTTGCAATAGTAATTGTAATTGCTACTTTGACAGAAAGAGCCTTTCTTGAGCAGAGTGCAGACTTAAGGAGAGAAAAAGGATCAGATACAAAATCAAAAGATTTTTACAAAGACTTTCTAGAACGAACATAGCTACATCAACGAGGGTCGCACACCGAGTGCGTGGACAAAAGATCTGCGTACAAGCAACCATCAAAAAATATGACCACCAATTTCCGTGGAAAAGCGTTAACTCGCTTGCTCAGGCGAGTGCAGCATACGACGCAATACGACAACGAAGCACGACCCCGTCTTGCCTCGATCTATTTGAATACGCAGTTTCCCAAGGACACTACATTGCAGAAAGTATGGAAAGACTCTGATCTTCGTTTAGCAGCTGATGGAGCCGGAGCCCGACTAGCGAAGCGCGGACTTGTTCCTGACTTGGTCGTTGGAGACTTGGACTCTTTAGGGTGCAGCGACAACGTGACAGAAAACAAAAACAATGATGCCCACGACACTGGTGCGCAACAAGGTGGAGAAAGAGAAACTCTTCTGCTTCGTTTACTAGCAAAAGAACGCGGGAAGCTCTCTATGAAAGCCTGGCGGGAAAGATTGAAGGAGCAAGCTAGAACGACAGCATCATCATCTTTCACAAATACGAACGTGGTGGACAGAAATAATTCAGCCCTCTTGTTGGAGGCTCTAGAGTGGACTTTGAGGAAGAGTGGACAACAATTAGAACAGCAAATTGAGAACGAGGAAATGGTCGTTTTTCCGTCTAGTGACCGCATTTCTGTGGCGGCTGTTTCGACCACAAGACATGCCACTGGCGAAAACAGCACCTTCGGAGGGAGTTATGATTGGATTCAACAAAACGTTTTTAAGCAATATGGATGAGATCCATCGTGTAGACCATCTATGACGCCCTTATGGCAGTCTGCACTGAACTTTGTGCGAGATTAATTGTATTGTATGGGTACTTACTACTAGCAGTTTCTCGAATCGCTCCACTCTAACGCTCCTCATTCTAACTCGTCACCAGATTATGCACGATCATTCACAATCCGGACCAAACGACTACTGACCTAGAAAAAGCACTTGCTTTCGTGAACCGGGAAAACTTTGAAGGGATTCAGATTATAGGCAAATTCGCTGGGTCTGGAGGCAGATTAGACCACTTCTTCGCGCTATGCCACACACTTTACAAAGAAGCTCTCTATGGTACTTTGCTATTTCTATGTACTTATGTTTTTTATGACTACAACCTGCTATGTATTCCTAAAGACTCAAACTTTACTCGTTTGAATCCCTATTTTGGAAATGACCGGAATGCACTTCTTCAATCCGTACGAAAATCATAGCCACTCTGTCTTTCGCTGTACGCAAGAACTACTCAGACATGCTATTCAGTGCCATGGCATCAAAATTTCAAAATCTCAGATGAAGAGCAGCGCCGTCCAAGTTCTTGGTATACACCTATGGTCTGTACCTCGGATCACGATTGCCTGATGTGTTGTTTGCCTTCTGGTGAAACCATTATCCCTTTACCATTGCCAGTACAACCAGAAGCAACAAGTACACGTAGTAGTCTCAAGACAACAACATCCTCGTCCTCGTCGAAATCAAACATCCATGACACTCTTCGTGTCGGTCTCATTCCTCTTGGTGGTCTTCCAGTCGCAACGACCGAAGGCCTTCGCTGGAATTTGAATGGCACGCCACTAGGCTTCGGAGGTGTAGTCTCTTCTTGCAACCAACTAGCAGAAGATGCAACTGAGGTACGAATCCGCACTTCACATCCCATACTTTGGACGCAGAGTCGCGTTTTCTAAGCTACTGCGGACACAAAGCCGCGTTTTCTGAAGGCAGCGCGTCGAAGATTGCATCGTTATTGTCGTGCGGAATGAATGTAGTACTTTCTGTTGTGCTTTGGAAGATTGTCGTGAATCTATTATCTCAACATTTTGTGTTTCTTGATACCCATGTGTGCAATAGATTTCGTACTTGTCGTAATCATATCTCGCTTAAATCGTCGTACCTCTACGTCGTGCTTGCGCCAGCAGGCTGTTTCGCTCGTTTGTTTAGTCGCAGGGAGGCGCACAACTACGGATTCCAAATAGTTGCTAGCAAATTTTTAGTGCTGTCCTCAAATACTTTTGAAAATCACTGTCATACGAGAGCTAACAGTAGGGATTTTTCTTGATTAGTCTAACCCAGTAGAAACCGCAGTATGGCCCTAAAGATGACTCTCTTTTGTTCCCATTTCCCAGCAGTGGCCGACTACGAGCTCGTTGAGAACATGGGTTTGCAGTATGCAGTGAGCAGTATCAGTTCGCGAATGGCGGCCACGACGTTGCACGACCAGCACGAAATTCTTAAACCCCGAAGCTTGTCTTCCTGCGTTCCACAAGGTGATGCAGGTTATTTCGCGAGACATGTTGCAGACCGGAGGGCAATTTCTTCCTTCTATCAGACAGTACCAGTAGCCACGGCTGCATCCGATGGACGAGGGGCACTAGCAGCTGGAGACTTTCTGCAATCTTGTCATGCTAGAAGAGCAAAGCTGCATACTACAGGAGTAAAGCGTTCTTCTTCTTCATCCTCATCTTTTCTTCTCGTGGAAAAAAAGAAATCTTTCCCTCTGGTGAAAAACAACAAGCCCTCAGCATCATCTTCCGCAACGTCTTTCATCGAGAAGAATCCCTATCTTTCAGAGCCTGGCGCAATCACAGGAGAAGACCTGCTTCGAGCTGAGGAGCCACCGCCAGCGCGCTCAAAAATACCTCGTCCATTAAGGCTCAGTTCTACAAGCTACTTTCTACACTCAATTATACAACTCCCCTTTTGTTACAAGCTACTTTCCTTCGGACTTCTCCGTATTTCGATTTCCTTTTTAGAAGGATCGATGGGGAGATGAAATTCTTGACATATGGGAATGAAGTGAGTCTGAATTGGTTTGTGATCTTAGAGGCTCTAAGATCCCCACCTAAAAAGGGTTGGATTGAGGATCCACGTGGCATGTTCGTGGATGAGCGGAAGCGGTCACCAACCTATGGCCGTCGCTATCGGATTCCAGTAGCAATCGACACTGATGCGCTAGAGGAGGACTACTTGGACGCCAACGGTGTGGACAAAAATCCGAGAAAGAAAGCGAATTTATGAAGTGTCTTTTGAACTACTAACTAGATTTAATTTAATGAAGAAGAAGATCGCCAAGGAGGACACCTTACCTCAAAAATCATGCGTAGATGAAAAGGGTGCGTAAAATAGAAAACCTACTGATCATGTTGTAGTTGTACTTGCAGCTACGACAAGAAGGCACTACGAAGTTGTGTACTACGTCGAGAAACAAGCTACTACAAGAAATCGATGAAATGCTACCTTGATGAATCAGAATATCTTTCTTGTTTCGTAGTTACATCAGAAGAATAAAGCCGTCTCTAAGAAAACAACAGCGAGAGATCTTCCACCCTGGAGCCACATTAGCCGAAGACCCGTACACGGACGAAGAGAGTGGTCTGGTGAGGCGCGGGAAAAAGAACAAGGAGGACACATTATGGTTCACTACAAATGCAGGTTCCAGAACCAGAAGTTCGTATTGTTATTTTACCTGTTGGTTGCTTCGCTATCGACGCTTCTAGATAAACTAGAGCAAGGACGCATGCGCAACCGCAGTGTGTGTTAACAAAATCTAAATCAAAGATCTTCTGAGCAGCTGTCCAAAAATACTGAGGACAAGTATTCCATCCTCCTCTAATACCAGGCTCGGGAAGGAGAACAACACGCAATAACGCTCGTAACGGGATGAACAATACTGGCGATGGAGATGAGGAGAACGATGGTCTTGCGGATGAGGCAGATGGCAGTGCTGCGCCAAGAAGAGGGTTTCTTTCTCAGGATGCTTCCAGTGGAGGCAGTAGACGTGGATGGTTTTTCCTACCTAATGGTCCAGTTGACGACTACGGCCAAGTGCTGAATCCGTTCTCCTTCGACGTCTTTTTATGGTGCTACTACATGTACAGGTACAAGTTGCTCATAGTTCATTTTGTTTTGAAGATAGTTCTTTTTATTGATGTTATCTTATACTTCTACTTCTTCTTCTAATTCTTCGATAAAAAGATCAAAGGATTCAGGTGCTACTACATGTACAGGTACAAGTTCTCAACTAATCAAAATCATCATCCATTAATATCGAAACCTAATAACTCACTCTCACTCACCATCGAGACCTAGAGGACCTTTTTCTCTAAGACTTCGAAGTTACACCAAGCCCAAACCAGTGCCCAGCATCGCCGATCAGTACAAAGGACGCTCGGATCGGTTGATCCCAGCTTCCGGCGACGCAGCACCTGAACCGCATCAAATGGACGATACTGGTCGTGGTAGGAGACAGAGGCGATCCAAACAGGGGGCCCGTGGAGCAGGAGCCAACCAGAACTCTGGTGCTAGTCCTCAGAAAGACGGAGGTAAAGGAGCTTCACAGGGTAAAACTGGAGGAGACGAGTTTTCGGAAGACGGGTTTTCCACTAGCGTGGGTGATGATGAGGAGAAGCAATGGGGTGTAGCGAAGCACTTCGAGATGACTGTCGATCCGACAGCGCCTGAGAAAGCGGAAGAGCCTTGTAGGCTAGCAGATAGATGTAACCCAAATAAGAAGGTGGAGGAATAGACGGAGGAGGGGCCGCTTTCTTATTGGAGAACATCTTCAAGCTATGGTGAAAAAAGATATAATGTAGCGGTCAGCAAGACTTCTTTGAAATTGAAGCAGAGCACCAGAACTTTGTGGCTCTGGCCGTCTCTCTGCGAAGGTCGTGAATATTCATATTGGAAAAATCTAAAGCTGTTGTAGGTGTAGACGTCTTATCGAGCTAAAAAATAGTGTGACTAGCCGAGTAACCTCGGAGAAGCTCGAATCGAGGTATCGGAACTCGAGGAAGCAAATTTCGAGCTCGTTTTGAATCTGTCCCTGTTCGGTTGCTACCTCAAGTTAGTGGTGAATCGGTACCGCATCGGTTGTTACGTGAAGTCGCTTATCTCGTTCGGAAAAGGATATCTGTTGCGGCAAGAAAGATAGAACTGAAATAGGCAAGAAAGTGAATGTGAATATGAAGTAGGTAGGCAAGAATGTCACCTCCTCACGAACATCAACGTGGAAGTAACTGTAGGTGATGATGATCCAAATTTATTGGACTCATGTAGGTAAATCGATACACTAAAGATAGAAAGAAAGATGTACCGTCCTTCATTCACGCGGCCCCGTCGGGGGTCGTCGCCGGCTACATCCGTGAAATTGAAGGCGGCCGCGCTGCGACGTGCAAGCTCGCCACATCGACTGCCAAGCAGTGCAGGTCGAAAAAGCGGGATAAATATGTATAAGCAATTTCATCATGTTATGGCTGCATGGGACAATAAACAATAGTAGTTGTTCTTTCATGTTCGCTCCTCTGAGAGAAAGAGTGGATGTGAAAGTAAGTAGAATCTTGTTCAGTTTTCCTACTTCTAGTTCATAGTTCATAGTTGGAAGTCAAAACTGCTTCTAACCAAAGCCCTCTTCCACTACATAGTAGTTCTTAGTTCATAGTTGGAAATAGAGACTTCTCCTAACGACCAAAGCCCTCTTCCACTACATAGTAGTTCATAGTTCATAGTTGGAAATCAAAACTTTGAAAAAATCTTCTTCTAAGCAAAGTTTGCCTCCCCGCAGCAGCTCACCCGGTAGCCGGCCTCTCCGTAGCTCCCTGATGTCTCAACTTCCTAGCGACGCCCACAGTGAAGGCGAAGAGCAAGACCATGAGACCTTTGCGCGACTCGAGGGTCATGTCAAATTGAGAAAGAGACACGACGCTCTCTTGGACAAGCATGAAGAGGCGGAGAAGTCAAGGCAGGTTCTGGCGGATAAAGTGGCGCTTTTAGAGCGTGACTATGCAGACTTGCATGACCGGCACTCGAAGTTGCAGATTCTGTTATGAAGATTATAGTACTTAAAATATGTACATGATTGAAGATTCCGAAAAAATGTTGACTACACAATTTACCAAGTAATTGTAACATCCTCGTGTTACTATCTCGATCTACATCACATCGTGGCATCTAAATAATATCTTTTTCCTTTTCTAACCCTCACGGCCGCCCACGCTCGACCAAACGACGCAAGTCCGACGCTAGGGATACAGCGAGCGAAAAACTTGCTGAGTAAAGACAGCGCAGGAAGCAGGTCATCAAAGGCGACGAACCTGCGAGAAGAACGTCGTAGATCTTCTTCGGGAAGTAGTAGAAGTAGGAAATCCAAGTCGCCTGGTTCGCGTTCATCCGCAGGTGGTTTGAGCGGAAGAAGAAGTCCACGAAATGAGCTTCAGCTCTTGCGCGATTTATCTGCAACCAGAAACGAATTCAGCAGTCACAAAATGGAACACGCAGCTCTGCAAGCGAGGCATTCCCAACTTGTGTTAAGGCTCCTTCTCGAGATGAATTTGAATATCTGATAGATCATTGAGATTTTTGAGATGAGAAAATGGATTGGAATATTTGTTCGTCTGATTATGACTGTCTGTCAAGATAGAAGAACTCAACATAGCGGGCAAAGATTCGTAAACGACAAGCAGTCTACACAATCCTAGTAGAACTGCTCATACATTAAAAGCGTTAGTTTTCACCTCTATCCCTGGGCTTATCCCTTCAAACAACGTACATTAAAAGCGTTTTCTTGTTTCAGAAGTAATTGCACATGCACTACGACCAGCACCACCTAGAGTCGATGTCGATCGAGTAGATTTCACTCTTCTTCTAATCCCCGACCAACACAGAAAGCTTCTTGGCACAGTTCAGAAGGCAGAAAAGGACAGCAAGGCACTAGAATCGGAAGTGGCAAAAGCGAAGAAACAATTAAGGCTTTCCCTAACCAATCAATCTCTAGGAGCGAGCATGAAGACACATAGATCTTAAGAGGACTGTTGGTTTCATAAGGGGAAAAGAAAACGGCCTCAAGATATATGAGCCTTGAGATGGATTCGGGTGCGTTCTAAAACAAGTGGCAGCGGAACGAAACTTGCGTATCAGCCTCAACAAACAAGTGGAATATCTGGCAGCAACTGGTGCAATGTCAAAGAAGAGCCATGTGAAGACCCAAGACGCTACCTCAGCTATCGTGAACAGCTTGCGAGATCAAGTCGATAGAATGGATAGAGATGAAGCGTATTCTGTTGCATCAGTTTTTGCTTTGTTTCCATTTTGCTTTTTACCTAGGATCCTAAGTAGCAAGAGCAAGAATTATTAATTAACTATGTTTCACAAATATATAAAATCCCAACCCTGCACCTTGTTTTACAATCTCAGGCCCCAGCCTGCACCCAAAGTAAAGGATTTGGAACAGATTGTGGCCGCCTTGCCGTTGCCGGAATTGAAGGGAAAGCTGGAGGTCTATCTGCATGACATGCGGATGCAATTTCGAGACCAGTTTTTAAGGGCTTTGGAGGTTTCCACCAAATTTATTAGAATTACATCTACTTCTATAGTAGACACTTACAAACTTTAAACATCTGAACAAATGAATAAGTAACCTCCTCCCATAGCAGGAATTCGTGGCTTTTTCCCCTTAGTATATATGTTCCAGGGCTCAGGGCGGGAGGCCCCCCCCCCGATCTAACTTTTTGAAGGGGGGGGGCCTCCCCGCCCCGGCCCCTCTTTTCGAGGGGCTGCCGGGGGGGAAGGCCTCAAAGCGCCCACTTCTGACCCCTTCCCGCTTCTTGCATGTACGCTACAGACCTGGCAAAGGTGGCAAAGGCTGGGCCCTCTTGTCGTGTTGCGTGTGCCCAACCCTACGCCAAGGGGGTGGGTTCCCGCCTTTGCCCCCTTTGCCAGGTCTGTAGGGTACATGCAACAAGGCAGCGGGGCCCTGCCTTTGCCTCCTTTGCCAGGTCTGTAGGGTACACGCAACAAGGCAGCGGGGCCCTGCCTTTGCCCCCTTTGCCAGGTCTGTAGGGCACACGCAACAAGGCAGCGGGGCCCTGCCTTTGCCCCCTTTGCCGGGTCGGTGGATACATGCAACAAGGCAGCGGGGCCCGGCCTTTGCCACCTTTGCCAGGTCTGTCGGGTACATGCAACAAGCCAGCGGGGCCCTGCCTTTGCCAGGTCTGTAGGGTACATGCAAGAAGCGGGAAGGGGTCAGAAGTGGGCGCTTTGAGGCCTTCCCGCCCGGCAGCCCCTCGACAGGCCTGGCCAATAAGGTGGCAAGGCTGGACCCCTCTGGCGTGGTCCACCCCAGATCCATCCACAGGGGGGGGGGGAGGGGGCCTCCCTCCCTGGTACATATATAAGTATGAGGCTGTGCTGCAAATCTTGATTGGCTTTTGCCCGTAAAACGGCGAAGGTTTAGGTCCAGCGACGCTCAAAGCACTAAATATATAGAGCAGCCGGTTAGTTTTTACCTCCAAAACTTAGGCTTATCCCATGGAGCAACTACCTTGTTGATTCCCCAGCACAAGCACTAATACTAAACCATCCTAATTAACAATGACCTAACTAAGACACCTCCCAAGGAAGTAGCTGTTCTACTGAAAAATAGAGATGTACTAAACTAATTAATAATACGTAACCTCAACCCTCTCTTTCTAAAGTTTGTCGCTCTGTATAAGGACAAAAACGCGGAAATTGAAGCTCTGAAGAAGAGGATTCAGGGTCACGAGACCATTCACGAGGAAATGGCCAAAGACCACGCCGAAAAGATTGAGGACGTCGCTGCTAGTACAAGACGAAATTCAATTAAGGCTTAGCGATGTTGTAACTGTGTAATTCATCACTGTACAAAGTAAGTATACGTTGTCTTCTTAAGTGTATAGTAATGGTGGTCTGTGACTCTCCTATTTACTAGTCTGGTACAAGCCTTTTATCACTAAGACATGCTGTGCCTTCATCTACGTAAGGGAGAGAAGCATGGCTTTGGCCGTAGTTTCTTTCATCTCTAAGGAGAAGATCAAAACACTTCAAAGATCATGAGAGAGTGTCATGATGAATCTCAATCTGATCTAGGCAAGCCCAAGCTCTAATTTTAGACGAGAATTTTCGAAAAAACATGACGAAATGGCACAGGAGATAGAAAATTTGAAGAAAAAGAAAGCAGAAGATAAGGAGTTGATGAAAACGGAGCAAAAATTGTTGCAACAACAAGTGGATGCGCTATTGTTGGAAGTCGCTGATGTTATGAAAACGTAGTCGTAGAATTGCAATTGATTAAGATTTTTTTATTTTTGAGGAAGCTGCTCAGGTAACTCCACCTCTAGGATGATTGAAGCAGTATACTCTGCTTCAGAGAGTATTGACATCCTCGCCCATGAGCATGACTGTGGCCACAAACCACTTTTTCTATGAAGCGTCACCAAGGAATGCGCGTAGGTATGCTTGTGATGTTAGTCGTTGACGTTGAGCATGAGCTGTCCTCGCTTCCCATGACTACACTGCGAACGCGCTGTCATGGCCCTCGACTGATTATATAATCCCTCGACTGATTAAGATTATATCTTCTGATGTATCTACAACTTCTAAAAATTCCGGTCGCGCTCACGAGGAGCAAGTGCAGGCGCGCATTGCGATGGAAAACACGCTGAGGAGCATGTTTGGGCAGTTGGAGAAAAAGCAAGACGAATTGCTCTCGATGACTTTTGACGAATATTCCGATGGAGATGTTGGAGGCTCGCCAACAGAGGAACAACTTCTCGAGGAAAAGCGCTTGAATCGGAGAAGTAGAGCATCGGCAATTTTCTTCAAGAAGAGACCTAGCACGAAGAGCACAGCACCTTTTCAGGAGGTGCCAGGTGGATCTGAGGATATTAAGGCGACAAATTATAAGGGAGAAGGCGAAGCTACCCTGCCACCTGTTGTTGATGGCGAAGATGAGGCTACTGCTGAAGCTGAAGATAAGGAGAAGGACGATACGAAAAACCGGTCTTCTTCTAGAAAAAGCAAAGCCCCATTAGTGATTGGAGGTGACGGTCGTGATGTCCCTAATAAAGACGCGGCTCCTGCTACCACTGGCAAGGATCAAGACCAAGAAAACAAGAAAAATAAGAGAAAAAGCACGACGACCAAAAACAAGAATAATGACAATGACACAGTACTAGGAGTAGATGGCCTCGGCCTTGCTGAAGCGAGTGTGAAGAAGAAAAAGAGACAGGTAGATAGCGTCTCAGAGCGTCTGCGTGCTTGGGAGGGCATGCAAAAAGACCTAGATGAAAAAACTGCACGCATCACAGCCATGGAACAGGAGTACATTGCGACCATGGACGATTTGCGACACCAACAAGAGTTTCTCTCCCAAAAGCTGCAAGAGCAGAGTGCTAGTCTGCTACCTCAAATATCGAAACTACAAGAGGAGTTAGCGTTTAAGACAGAACGGGTGACTTTTCTGGAGCACGAGTTGGAGCACGTGGAGAAGTTGCACGAAATTGCTGTAGCAGAGGATGCAGAGAAAAAATTGCAGGCTTTGGATTATGGCGCTGAGGGGTTTGACTCTGTAATCGGTTAGGTCCACTACGAGTAGACACTACAACTACACCCAGTGGTCCCAGTGATCCTATCAGCTTACTTCAACCCCGGGTTCACCTTGCCCCCGCTATTATTATTCTTTGCTTCTAATCCCTACAAGATAAGCTGCGACAGGAGATGAAGGCACTGCAAATGCAGCTCGACGCTGCTCACAAGGACTTGGAGGAGCAAACTGAGGCAAAAGCAGGCCAAGAAGTACAGCATGCGGCTCTAGACGGTAAGATCGCCAATCTAGAGGCCCAAAAACAACGTCTGCTGGAAACGGTGAGGCTGCGAGACCAAGAGATCGCCAAGATCAAAGCCTTGGTAGACGAAGTGCACCCCGTCATTAAGGGTTTCGTCCATATTTTTACATCCCCCACTACCACTACCATGATCCTTGGCCTATAATTCACTAGTATAGAAAAGGTCAAGGATGTTCTGAGGAATGTGCTTAATTCTGCAACCTCTAACGTCATTGCACAAGCGGCGGCTGCGGTGGTCGGTGCATCAGCGTCTTCTGTGGGTGGAGGTGCAGCGCCGGAAGCCAATGCTTTGTTAGAAGGACTTTTTTTAGGTCCTCTTTCTGGCAGTGATCAGAATGCACACGACGAACACGCACAACATCCAGACGATCCACATTCGTCTGCCCAGCCTCGGGGAGGAGGGAATCTGCGTGCCCGAGCCGCGATGTTCGAGAGGCAAAATAATCCTGCTTCAAGTTCAATACCAGCTTTCTTACGACATAAATCTACCACACACGGCAAAGGTGGTAAAGCAGGAGGAGATGCAGCAGCTGCAGGAGGTGGAGATCACCAACATGCTGATCGTCCAAGTAGTACAGCTAGTCTTTCTCCCGGAGATGGAGATCGCCAATCCCACTCACCTGCCTTAGATGAAAAAGAATCTGCGAAAGAAGCAGCAAGGCAGAGTCTATCGCAGGTAATAGCGCAGAGGAAGCGTGAGCGAGAGGAAAGAGATAAGCATGTTGAAGAGATGAAAGTGCGCGAAGAAGAACTCAAGAAGCGAGATGAAGAAATTGCAGCGCATAAAAATTATGCCAGCTGTTCGTTATCGTTTCTCTTGTTTCATCTGTGAATTTATTCTAAGCAATTATTGACTTTGACATCTTCATGGGTTTTTAGATTTGGATCACATGGTCATTTCTAGAAAGTGAGTGTTTCTCCTTTTCTCTAATCCCCAGAACTTGCTGACGCACGAAAGGCGCATATTGAGGAGAAGGAGTTCCTACAAAAGCGCCTTGACGAAGCAGCAGTGGGTATGGTACCCCCAGAGTGGAAGAAGGCGGTTGCTCGCCAAACCATCGTAAAGCAAAAGGTCTCTAGCGAAGGAGGATACGCTGAGTTTCATAGCAGGAAAGAAATGCTTGAGAAAAAGGATGCGGGTAGAGAAAGCGATGATGAAGAACTAGGGAACAGTACGGATCAGAGTTTTGTTGAGGGTGGTGATGGTGCTCCTAGCCAACAACTACATGTACATCATGATGAACATCTTCACGACCTCGTTGCACAGAGATTATACGATCGAGAGCACCAGAGCTATAGTACTACCAAAGTAGGAGGTAAGCAAGGAGCTACGAGTACGACAGGCTCCCATAATGATCATGAACATGCTCATACTCGTGTACCTCCTGACGACCTTGAGCAACTACATCGGCATCATCTCTCAGACGGCCATGGTCACCTACAACTGCATCCACCTCAACACAAAGGTGGAAAAGTGCACAGTAAGCACTTTAAAGGGCCTCACGGACAGCACGATTCCATTCATCAATTTATTCTCTCGTCTGGTACCGGTGGTGCGCACATGAACACCAAAGGTGGAATCATGAGTGCTGTATCATCTTCATCGCAGCATCAGAAGAGTGCTGTAGACCAGATGCGAGGAGGCGACCGCGACTTTATTCATGGCAAAAATGCCAAGGGCCGTACACATGCTAGCGCACCTCGGCGTGCTCTTCACCCTTCACGGGATGGCTTTACCATTCTAAAGCACGATGGCGACGACTTCGATGATGTGGACGATGCGAGTGAAGATCAGGATGAGCGTCCGAAACACGATCACTCTCCTAGTGCCGCAGAGCAAAGTATTCGAATGCTGGAAGCAGACAAACCTGGAAGTGGTCCACCTCTACAGATTCATCATGTTAGTGGTGAAAAAGGTAAGGGTAAGATTTCTAAGGGCGTTGGTACTTCCATTGGGAAGCAAGATACACATCAGCATCCCCAACGTCATGAACAACATCACGTAGGTCCGCCTCTGTCGCATCCATCTAAAAACAGAGATGGAGATCATCATGATGGTCAAGAACAGCCGCCTTCTGGCGCAAGTACAAGAGAGGACGACCACCAACACCACGTCAACGCGGGGGAACCTCTTCTTTCCGTTGAGAATTTCATGTTACCAGCTATGCCTTCGTCCAGTAGCCTCAGAACAGATGCACATGTCCACGAGACGTTGCACGACTTCCATCGTGCTGCAGTCGCCAGAGAGGCGGAAGAGGATGCCTTGAAACATGCTCGTCGTCATCACGTTGTGGACCTAGAGGAAAATATCGAAGACGATGAAGAGCAATATCGGGAAGAGCAGGAAGAAGCTGCCATCCTACAAATAGATAGAACTTCTACCAAAGGAGGAACTACAACAGGAATTGGACGAACTGGAGATCAGAATACGCCTAGAATAATGAAGGGCAAGGGTACCAAGGGACAAAGAGCGAGAGCCTTCGTGGTCGAAGGAGAAGCTGCGTCACCAGAAGATGAAGTTGTAGAAGGAGGAGAAGAAGAAGCGGGGTTTGTCGACGGTGAGGAAGAAGAAAGAGTAGGACGAGAAGAAACAGGAGGATCATCAAGTAAGAAATCATACGAACAAGGGATTTCTTCTACTACCAAAATAGAGAACAACGACAGGACGAGTCGTCAACAAGACCCGGAGCAACGCGAGAAGACGCACACAATCGCTACAACGTCTCGTCCACCTCCAAGCAATATACCACCGCGGCGATCCCATAGTCCACCGTCCCCGGACACCAGACCTCGTCCTATTTTGCAGATGGGCACGACCACGTCCTCGGCGATGAAGGGAAGAGAAGGACTGAGTGGGAGAACAACAGGTGGAAAAGTTGGAAAGCCGCAGTTACAGCCTCAACAAGTGGGGAGCAAAGGCAAGCCTCCGCGTCCTAAGAGTGCTCCTTCATCAGCAACCGATGACGTGCTTCATTCTTTGATGTCGACAGGTGGAACAAAAGGAGGAGCTTCATCTTCGAAGTCGAATCTTAGGGGACAACGAGGGTCTGCTAGTGCCAGTGATGATATGGGTGGTAGAACTAGAAGTGACTCTCGTCAACAAGCAAATACAACTAGTAAAGGTGGAACTTCTGCCAGACTCAGAAGATATCCTTCGGAGTCTGATCACAATTATATGAACACAACATCAACAACATCGGATGATCGAACACAGCGTCAAAGTGATAACTTGAAGGAGGGCTCGAGGCACACGCAAACAAGTACTACTCCTAGTCGGAGAAGCAGCGGTATCTTGTCGGAGAACAACTCATTGTTGAGTCGGTCACCTTCAGGAGGACGTAGGGGTGCTGGTCGAGGACCTTCTGCGACGCAAAAAGGACTTTCATCTGCTCCCAAAAAGGGCAGCTCATCTGCTGCTTACAGCTCACCCTCGCCAAGCGGAGGCGATATCGTTGACAAGCCTAGTACAGGAGCACAAAAACGGCCTCAAACGTCTTCCGCCACACCAGGAGGCGGTGTGGGTGTGATATCGCAAAGTGCGCTGAACTCAGTCCTAGAACCTTTAATAGGTGCTTCAAAGGTTGAAGGAGCTAAGAAGGGCAACAAGAGGGAGTCTTCTTCGCCCGATGATGCACATGCGGGTGCGAACAACAACATGTCGTCAACATCACTGGAGGCTCCCGCACAGGAAGACAACGACAGCGACACTGTTGCTCCAACTCATCAAAAAGGAAATCCAAAAGGAAAAAAGGGCGCGAAAGCGCCTTCCTCTTCTGCTTCCACTACTGCACCTCAACCGCAACCTCAACCTCAACAAGCTCAGCCTCCACCTCCACCTCCACCTAGTAGGTCTTCTCAAGATACTACTCCAGCGCCAGTGCCCGTCTCACCACCACCTAAGTTGAAAGTCAGTGGTTCCCGGAACTCCTTTTTCCTTTCTGATCGTGGAGCTGAGCGCTTCTTGAAAATGCAAACCCTCTTACGCTGGAAAGTGGTACATGAAAACTTGAAACGAGATAGGAAAATGCGCAGTGGTCGCGGTGTGCATGTTATAGACGAAGATAGCGATAACGTCGATCGTACTGAAGAGCAGCAAGAACTAGAAACTACATCTACTTCGCGTGCAATAGCTGCAGCTGCAGCTGGCGGAGCTTTTCTTGAACGGTCTATGATTGCGACATCAGTCGTAGTTCCAGATGGGCAGCACAACGTGGAAGATATTGTAGCAGCAGGATCTGTATCTGGAAGAAGTCATTTGCGTCATGAGCTGTCTCAGAGGAATAACAGTGGAGAAGGCGAGGCTATAGAGGAACAACAGCCACCAGTGCTGGAGGGAGGTGGGGAGGATTCTGCAGTAGTTGATGTGGTAGCACAAGATGTTGGGCAAGATCAGGAGCAAGTTCTTCCTACTGCCGATGCCAGTGCGAAGCCTGATGTTTCGTCGTTGCTTCAGAAATTTGGAGCAAAAAGTGGTACTAGTAGCAAGAGTTCAAAAGAAGATGGCAAAGCGAAAACCTCAGTTGTAAGTCTCAAGACTGGAGGTACTACAGGCAGTAAAACATCTTCAAAGACTGAAAAAGATCGTGGCATCACAACCGCTATATCAGAAAAATCTCCACAAGTTCAAGTAAAAACAGCACACGTTGAAGCAACGACTACAACTACTTCTACCACGTCTCCTCCTTTGCCATCCGCATCCGAAGAACAAGCCTCAACAACTGGATCTCGGAATAAGCGTCGTTCCTCTGTTGCTGTTGAGCTTGGGCATCATGTCCCGCATCACAAGAGTAGACGGGCTTCTCACATAGACGCTCTCCATGCGCACATGCACGAGAGGGAACGGGCTCATGATGATAAACAGAAACAGAGAGAAGAATGGGAGCAGGAGCATCAGGAAAAATATAGAAAGGTCAGAGGAGGTGGACCACTACAAGAAGTAGATGCGACAAATGATTCTAATGGAGCAGGTCGTCGTGAAGGTACTAAAGGCACAGATACTAGTAGGGGTACGATAGGTACTAGTTTTGGTGGTAAAAGAGCAGTCGGCGACGATGATAACGACGACGATGGCGCATTGGAGTTATCGTCTACTTCATCGAGTGATGACTTGTTCTTCGGTGCTGCGAAACCGAAAGCGAAGCTAAAAGAGAACAAAACCAGCGACAGATATACTGAATTGAAGGCTCGCGTATCTGCACACATAGAAGATACTAGGGAGAAGCATGGCTACACGCCGCCTTCAAGCCGTGTATCGTTGTTTGGAAAAAAAGAGACAAGCGAACGCGAAGAAAATCAAGGAGCTTCAGGATCGTCGAAGCCGTCTCTCGCAGAAGATCCCGGTCTTCCTTCCACGACTACTCCCATAGATCACGAACAGGCTGAACTTGAAGCTCAAGCTCCTGCCTCGAACTCGACGATGCAGCTGCCAGCACCGAAGGAGGGTCCTTCTTCTTCCTCCGCATCGGCTACAAGACGACCGAGTTCCATTCTGAAGACAGGTGCCTCATCAGGTTCAAGAAGTGCGCCGAACAAGCAAAATGGGAGTCCCAACAATCCAGTTGTACCTCTTCGCAGTTCTCCACTTACGCGGCAAAATGTGAAGAACCTGGATGCTTCTTACGATGCTAAGACCACAGTCGGAGGAGTAGGAGCTTCATCTTCGTCTCCGTCTGCACTCGAAAAGCTGACTGAATTTCATCAGGAACAAAAACGGACACCTGCACCTAGACCTACTATTACTTCTTCAGGAACAAGGGCAAGCCCAAATCCTGTCAAAGGGGTAAGTTTTCTAGTGGAGACGCCGGTAAATGCTTTGGGGCAGCCGCTTACTAGTGAAGAAAGGATCGAACAAAAGATGGACGCATTGATTGCTTCTCAATTTGACCGAAATTCTTCAAAAAAGAAAAAACGCGACAGAGAGGACGTGCTTGCAGACGACGACAAGAATAATGTGGAGGACATCCTTGGCATAACCAAAAAAAAGAAGAAAAAGAAAAAGTCATCGTCTTCTAGTAGAAGTGGGACGAGCAGGAGTACTTCTAGAAGTAGAACTAACGACGAAGATGAAGAACAAGATGAAGATGAAGGAGCTGAGGAAGATGATGTAGTTGATGAAGATGATGGAATAGACGACGATGTAGTAGATGAAGATGATGGACGTGGACAGAGAATGTCGAACGATGAAGAAAGAAAGAAGAAGAGTATCAACATCCTCGATGAATCCTCTTCAAAGTATACAACTTCTCATAATAGGCAAGAAAAGCAATCTCACACCAAGCAGAATGAGGGATCATCGCCGCTCTCTGTATCTGACTTCATCGATGGCAACTCTCCAGTCCCGCCAGACGGGAACAAAAACTTGCTCTATTATTCTGAGTTAGTCTTGAATAGGAGTATAAATCAGGCGATGGGAATGGCGAACGCGAAGGAGCAGGATGAAATGTTCAGTGATCATTTTCTTGTAGACGACGACGAGGACTCCGATTGTCTTCATGGGAGAGAAGCAACTAGTCGAGTAAGATCTCCGAAGGGAAAGAATAACGCAAGAACGGCTGGATCACAAGCAAGTGTAAGTCCCTCCAGAACTACTGCGGCCAACCTCCTTTACAAAATCAATCCTCCATATACAACGACAACATCAACGACAGCAAGATCTTCATCTGGTGCCAGAGCCTCTACTGGCTTTACCAGGAGTCCTTCCAACTATATGGCCAATACCATTACCAACTGCGTGGTACAAGGACCCCGAGGACCAACGACCTCAGCCTCATCAGCCAAGACCAAGTGTGCCACTCCTACATCAACCTCTAGCCCATTGAGAAGACGAAGACCTTCAGAAAATCAGGCTGTGGAACAACAGACAGTATCCAGTCCATTGTTGCGAAGACCACTGTCCTCAGGAAAAAAGCAACGAAATTCATTCCTTGACATCCTGTCTTCTCCTTTGAAAGAAGAAGAGGCAGTAAAGAGGAAATCACCTGTCAGAGGTGGACGGAAACGAACTGTGGGACCGCCGCCTATCATGTGAGGAAAAAGATGATCATGGGGAGGGGTTGATCCTGATTTATCTTTAATAGAACAACAAGTTGAAGTAGTTGAAGGAGTTACAAGTTGATGTTTCGGTTTGGTAGAGAGAAATTCTGAATGAAAGAATAAAAAAAGAGCTTTATTTCAACAATGTACAGAAAAAGTTCGTAGTTTGTTCCGCTTTGTTTTTAGTTATGCTAAATCCTTATGCAGCATCTGCTGAGACCCAACAATACATAGCTCAGATGAAGATGCGCTGTAAAGAAAATACAACTAAAGATATGACTCATTTAGGCCACAGTACTGAATTTCCTAGAAAAAATATCAATATTAGGCAGCCTAATTTAGGCTGGCCACACTACACATCGATCCACATTTTTAGTTCTTGTTCCCGGTTACAGACATCTACATCTAATGACTTCAGGTCCTTGAATCCTTCAGTTCTTGTAATTTGCTTCCTTCTATTCATTTCAATTTCTACTGTTTATGATTAACAGTGACTTAACAAAAACAAAACTAGAGAAATACATTGCTTGGTAATGGTAACATCGTTTGCAGTTGCTGTGATATAAACAAGTAACATTCGCTCTTTTTTTGGGTGATTACGTCCACAGCGTACCTTCACGTGTGCTATCGTCAGGGAAATCTTAGGCAGACTCCCGAGTCGATTCACATCGTCCTCATTCACGTGCTACCATCGTTCTCGCGTGTTGTTGTATGTGTGCTGCTTCAAGTAATATCGGGAGGATCGGTCATAGTACGAATCCAAATTTGCTGCAGGAACAATATTACGGAATTTCTTCCATCCTTGTAGAGACGCGAAATGAGACAAAAAAACAGCGATCATCGGTAAATCGCAAACAGTTTTTAACCTTATACTGCGTCGGCTTCGACATCACGGCGCCGAGAAGGTGCTGCGTGAAAAAACTTTGCTACTAACAATGTCATTCCCGTCCGGCTGACACTCTAAATTACGAAAGCATTCTTGTTTTAGTTTTCTATTTCCTCGTGGTGTCCATTTCCCTTAAAGATAAGTAGGTGCCCTTATATAGTAGTACAACAGGTACAGCTAGTACAGGTTCAGAGATATTGAGCAAGAAGGAGTCGTGGTCTTGTTTTTGATGCGGCACATCAGATTTTGTTGTTTTGGTCCTTAGAAGTAGAAGTTTCTTTTTCATCATGAAGTTTCATGGCCATATTCATCTTGTTGTTTTTCCCCTGTTCGGCCATATTCATCCTGTTGCTTTCATGTACTTAAACTGGTGTTTGTGATGTACGTACTCTAGAAACAAGCTATTTGATCTACGTACTCCAGAACTAGATCATTCGTTCATCTTTCTGTGTTGTTTGCTAACTAGACCCAACATACTAAAGCTTCAATTTTTCTTTACTCCCCCATGATGTTGATGTGCACCATGATAACCATGCATAACTATAATGATGTAGTTACAAGAACCAACATGTCGTCATCGTCCTCTATGTCCTTTTTGTGGCTGATGGGATCACAGTCGTTTTTGTGTTGCTGAAGCTGGGCGTGTCTTGCTCGAGTGGGACAGCCACTACAGCCCTCAGTAGACCAACTTGCTAGAGGACCGAAAAATAAGGAACGAGATTGGGAGAACCACAACCACTATCCGAGCAAGGCACTAGAGGGGAATGCTCCCGTGTGAGACCAGAGAACAACCACATATGCTGTTATTAAGGCTACAAGAAATCCATCTTCACGCGCATCCTGAGACCGTTTATTTTCAAGGGGAAGTAAAAGGTTCTTCTAGGATGCGTTTCAAGATGGATTTCTCTTCGGTCTAAGATAGATACGACCCTTCTTCCTCAGAGGGGTAGCACTGATAAGTAAGTACCTTCGTTCTGAGGAGGTCGTACCTTCGTTCCGAGGAACAGAAGATAAAAGTACGGCGTCTTCGTTCTTCTACAGGTAAAAAGAGAGTACCTACCCCAAGTCTCAGTGGACGATCGAGATGTCCTTCGTCTCTACTCCTCGCACGCTTGCACGGCAACGCTGGAATGCACCCAGACTTGCAGCTGAAGTGCGAGCTTCTGTGGATAAAACGGACATAACTGCCGACGAATACGGACAACTCTTTGGAGATCAGAAGCATTTTCAGAATGTTGTATGGATGATGTTTTTTCCATCATAATTGAGACCATTGAGACCCTCTTCTAAGCTGGTGCCCTTGTTTTTTCCTTAAAACTCGATACCTGAAGAACGAGTGCTGTCTTGATTCTCTGGCTAGATGGAAAAAGCGCCACTCTTCATAGGCAGAATATCTGGAGTTTGAGCCAGACATCTATCGAAAACGATTTCGCATCCCCTGTAAGGATTTCTTCCGGGACCTGCTGAACCCTTTCTACCTTGTCTTATGATTCATCTATGTCCATGATGGTCTTAGATTTGGCAGGAGTGAGTGCTGAGACTTACCCCAGGACTACTGCTAGCAACGCTGATTAATATGACAAACTTACTCCTGCCTAGACGCAGTTATAGGCGTACTAGTAGACGCTCTGCTGGCTCTCTCACCGTCATTACGCGCTAACGCTAAGAAAAACGCATGGCTAAGCCTATCATGACAGGCATCACCTTATCAGATTTATATTTGAAAAAGCGTTTTTTTCTGGTCACCTTAAGATGAATAGAAAAAAACTTTTCCTTGTTCTGTTCCTCTAATTTGCAACCGCAGGTACCCGCTTCGATTCCCGGTCTTGTTTTTGAAGCTGCACCAAAGCGATTTTTTCAAGTACTTTCTGGCGATTTTTACCCTAATCAGCCTACCACTCGACACAACTTGGACACTACTGGAAAAGGCTTGGTGGGAAGGGAGAGTGGCGACGGTACTTTTCGTAAATTAATAAGTAGGTAGTACGTAGTACTACAAGAACTGGTTATTTACATTCATAATAAGTGGAAGTCCTCCTGAACTACAAGTGGTCCTACTTGGGTATGGTGATGGTCCTAATATTGTGGAAGAGAACCGGCGAACCAATCATACCTCTACGGACGATGATAGCGCCGGCGCTTAATTAGTTTATTTACGAGATAGGAGGACACTTGATGATAACTACCCTTTTCTCTTTTCTATCTTCCTTCTTTTTTCTAGTATCATAGAAATGCTGTGGTCAGACCACGTCTCTACGGTCATCATGAACGATGGTAACAGGGACAGTTGCATGCATCTAGTTACAGTTAGGTCTCTAAGAAATAATTTATCCGTATACAACCTCTAAGAAATAATTTGGATTGTCTTTAAGTTGCAGTTGCACTTCTTTGGCCTTATCCTCTTGTACAGTTCCTCCCAGAGATCCTGGACGAGATCGCGGCAGTGGGGCCACCGCATGTGAAGACTGATATAGAAGAAGGCATCGCACTGGAGACGTCAGTTAAGATTAAGCATACTTAACTAAGTAATCTAAATCTAAAGTAGAATGAAGTACTAGTACTACAAGTTGGCCCTTTGACGAGTAGGGTCCCGTTCTAGGCCACTTCTTTCACATAATTGTACGTGGTATTAGAGAAGGCTCTAACCGGATCGATTGGTGGCACCTTTATCGACCAGGTGTCACAGAAATCGCTTGGGAGCCCTTGATATGGCTGTTTTTGAAGCAGTTTTGCGCAATTTACTCTGTGCACTGGCTCTGTAAATTCAGTCTGGTCTATCCCGGACAAGGAGATGACGAAACCACGGATGAGGATGATGATGATGATGAGCAAGTTAAGTTTGTCACTAGTATCCCATGTGGTTGTGGAGGATGTGGATGTCCTTTTGTGTGTGTTTTTTTTCTAGTTAGGAAGGGGGGCTCCACAAGCAATATTCAATGTGGAGTATGCTGAGTAGAGTCCCCTTGATTTCAATCTGAGACTAATGGGGTATGCTGAGTAGAGTCTCCTTGATTTCAATCTGAAACTATTAATAGGGAAGGCAGGACATCGGCAACGGCATCTCTTCACTCAACCAGGGATAGTGAAAAACTAGCGCTAAGCAAGGCCAACGTGAGGCGTTTTTTCGGGACTACAACTATTCTACCTCTTACAACCGCAACTTCAAAAGTACAAGCAGAGGTAGAGGTACATCTTCAAGAGAAAGGGGAAGAGGTAGCAACAATTAAGGCTCGGCGTAATTCATCTTAAGGAGCATCTTACTTTGGTCCGTTTTTTCAGGGTAAAACATGTCAAGAAAGTAGATCCTCTTGAAGATGAGTATAAGCAAGGTCTAAAACTACAGTCTTCAACGTTTACGATCATCTTCCGAGCAGTCTGAAAGCCGAGTCCCTGAAGCAGAAGATGTAGAACTCCAAGAAAGAAGGACAACAGTTGAAAACGCGCAGATTTACTTTTATCGTGAGACTCCGGAAGATCAGGGTGTTGACTATGATAATGATGAAGATGATAGGCAGAATCTACGTCCTCCCACGCGACCACGAACGACCTCCAATGAACAGATCGGCGGTAGCGAGAGTAGCAGCTCACGTCGGCAATCACAGACAGTCCCATTGCTGGCGTCGGTGGAGAGCATGGTTGTCTCATCAAGATCCAGATCTTCGCGGTCAAGTGAGCAAAACGACGCTGTAGTTCAGAGTAATGAAACCTTTGCTGGTCCTGATGATGCTGAAGTAGTAGATGACCCTGCACCTTTACCTGGACAGCCAGTTGGAGAGCCTGCTCCACCAGAGCCAAGTACACAGCCAAATGCTCACACCAGAACTCAAGCTCAAGGTCAGCGTGGTCGCTCAGTCGCTTCTCCCTTCGGGCTTATAGGCCTGCTCTTTGGCGTACCTGACCGCCACAGGGAAATAGTTAAGGATGAGAAGCTACAGTTACAGACACAGACTAGGATATTACAGTTGCAGACTAGGATACTCCATGTTCTGCGATAACACGTTCTAGGAGATCGATATGCACGATCGTAAAAAAATCCAACTAACCTTGATAGCCTTACAACAACCATTTCCCTCCCCGTCATCTAAGAAATAAGGATTTGCAAACCACGGGGAACTCAACGTCTTCGAGCGTATCCAGCGTAGTCGATGGGCGAGAAGAGTGGCCCTGTTCCTAGGCATCGGCGACCCTATGGTAATCGTGCCAGAACTCTTCCTTTTTTGGCTCTTGGGTCTAGCTTATCTCTACACTATGACAGCATTTTGCGTGTACCGAATGGCGGCGCTTCACTGGACAGTAGGAGTGCTGCGGATTTTGATCTTATGAAGGACTGTATCTGTAGACATATTTATCTGTTCTATAATGTGGTGCTGCGTGCTGTACTCCTTCGTTATAATTTTCTTAGCAACACTAACATCCTACAACTACTTCTAGATGACTTCTTATACTTGTTGAGTTCTTGAATAAGTAACTTGATATTCTCCTACAATCTGATATTCTCTTCCTTCTCCTCCACCCTTTGGCAAGAACTTCTAAATTCCTATCTTCTTTCTGCCTATCACTGGTGGCTCACGCGCGTGCTCTTTATTGCGATGTTTCTACGTGGTGCTGTTCCCAGGCGTGATGGCGTTGCCCCGAAAGTGGTTCTGGTTCTTTCGATATTGTCTTGGTTTACAGAGTGCCAGTTCCTGAGAACGATTTTGGTTATCGATTTCCGAGATCGAAACATGGTCCTGCCTGCACTACTGTTCTATCCGTGGCTGTTGTTATGAGCAGGAGCAGATGACTTGTTGATTTCATTCTCAAAACAAGTTGTTTTGAGAATGAAATCATGTTTGCATATCCACCATATTACTTGATTTGTCACGTGGACCACGTGACGGGTTCGCAAATGAAGGAATGAGTGAATTTATCTTCATGCACATCATTGGATGTTGTATGGAGGACCCTAGGTAGAAGATGGTTGGCCCGAACGTCATTATGTTAACCATCGTAATGTCGTCGTTTCATGATCACTTCTTGTCGACATCGAGAAGATCATCGTATTTGAACGATTAGACGAGGATATACTTATTAGGCCATATTAGAAACAATGACTTCTATTTAAGTAAACAATGACTTCCACTTCTTATTAGAAAAAACAACCACTTCTAACATTTGCCTTCATCGGATGCGGGTACAATGCTTTACTCCTCCTTGCCTGCTATTTGTCTTTGCGACGGCGAAACTATAGGCAGGAAGAAGACATCACGACAGCTGGCGCGATGACACTAGGAAGACGGTCAGAGAACTTGACGACAGCTGGCGCGATGACACTAGGAAGACGATCTTCGCATCAACATGAGGATGACATGTATCAATACAATGGGAACGGGGATTATGAAACGAAAAAGTGAGCTCACACTCAAGAAATTGGCTAGGATTTAAGTAGGAAAATAGCCACTTTTTTGAGTGTGAGTGCACTTTTTTCTTTCATAGGGATGACGTGTTACCTCGACGTACATCTTCACGAGGATCATCATCTTCCTTCAGAACGCCAGGTAGAACCTCTAGACAAGAAGAGGTTGGAAAAATCGGTTACGACCGGAGGAGATCCTCGAGAACATCAAGGTTTCCAAGAAACACGGCAAAGCTACAGCTTCCACCTGGTGCTACTGTTGGTCAGACACGTCTTGAGCTTACTTTTCGGCGAAAGTATTTCCCCACTCTACTAGCGCAGCTCTCGGTCGTCTCCATCGGAGTACTAGCTGGAATGACGCTTTTGCTGATGTACTCCAAGATGTATAGAGTAGCTGCGGACCCTTCAGCACCCAGTTTTGTTAAGCCCTCACTATTAATCCAGCTTTTGGTTCATCTTTATCTGTAATTTTTTTTAAGTATTTCCTCAATAGAGGAAATACAGATCTTAGAAAGTCCTAGGTTCACCTTATTTTTATTTAAGTATCTCCTCAAAACACGTACTTAAGTAGGAAAATGGACAATACAGATGTGGCACAAGATGGATAAGCATAGTTGTCGTGAATTCTAATTTTGGTTTCGGGCAGGGTTACGAAATTGGCTTAAGCTTCTGTCTCAGGGGAACTCTAGCTGTCTTTCTGATAGTAATTTCAGCGCGAGTGGAGTCTATTTCTGGGTTAGGCGATGACAATATCTTCAGAGGAGGTGCGGAAGATAAGAAGCAGGTTGCGGAAGGTCGAAATGTTATGAACGATGATGCACAACGACAAGCACATGCATTTGCTGAAGCGTTTTTGTGGGGGCATTTGATTGAATCAATAGCTCTACTACCTCTGACCGTGTCTCTCCATCGTTGTAATATATTGTAGCTTTTTTTCGTACATAGGATCAATTCAATCTGTTCAATGAAGCTACTACTACTGGTGGCTCAGCAAGGGTACACTACTACTACTACTAGTACTAAGCTTGTTGACTTCCTTCAAGTTCAAATGTAGTTACCACAAGAAGAGGCACTTCTTTGTCCTCCACCTCGCAGCTCTAATTCGAATGAAGAACATTTGGATTACCTATGGAGTGGCACTGATTCCATTATCACACTACCAGCTGTGCCGAGGCCACGTCCTGAAAGACCACGTTCTGAGGGAGAAGCAGCTGCATCGGAACCACAGCAAGGGAACGAAATAGAAAAGCAGGAGTCCACCTCACAACAGGGAGACCACCTCGTACATCTTCGCGGACAACAATCCGAGCAAGCATCAGCTAGACGACGGAAATTTGAAGCTGCGAGAATGAAGGCTGGAGAGGAAAGAAGACAAAGAATCGGCGAAAAGTTCGAAAGCCTGCGAGACGGCCCACGACGGGAGCTTAACTTCGTGGACACAGAAGAAGATGACCAAGACGAGGAAGAGGAATCTCCCAACGACGAAGACGGACTTTCTAGTGGTTCTGAAGACTCACGGAACGTCGTGATGCGTGGTGCTACTTCCCCTTCTCTTGAACCGGATATGGTTCTCGCGGTCGTAATATTCGTCCTTACCTTTTTGTTACGGCTTAACGAGCGGAGTACTCCTCTGCACAGATGCAGTCAGTTTCTTTCTTTGAAGTGAAATAGTTTCTTGAATTCTAAGGCCAATGTGATTGTTACGGCTTGTCCTATATTCACATTCACCCGGTAGTGAGCTGGTTCAGCAGAATATCAACAAATTTATCGTGTTTTGTCTTACACAGTAGAGGTCCTGCTCTAATATCAAGTCGATTTTTCTTTGAGCTGCTACCTGCCTTGCTCAGTGGACCGACGGATGCGGGAATGCTTATCCTGAAGCATGTGATTTCTCTGTTAAGGCGATGGATTCTTCTCTTTCCAGGCAACAGGTCAAACTGTGGCCGGCGAGCCGCAACTCCTATCCTATTGCTAATTAGACAATCTTCTACACCCCAAGATTGGGTACACTACTACTACTACTACTACTACTACTACTACTACTACTATCTTCCTTCTAACGTTTGCCCTCTATGTGGGCGTCTTTCTCTTCACAGTTCGAGTTTTAGATCGACCGGGACCGAAGCAGCGACAGCCGGTTATCTGGTATCTTCTTGCGCTCGCCTTTTTCGCCATCCTCTTTTCAGACAGTTTCCGCCGAAACGCATGCGTCGAAGTGGAATCTGCATTGGCCGTTTTAGACAGTGCCAATAATTTCTTAGACAAAAGCACTAATGGTGGTGGCAGGCCAGGTATCCCAGGTCCTACCCAACAACAACAGCAACAACCACAAGGCGGGAACGCTGGTGGAGGAAGTGAAGAACAGCCAGCGAGTAATGGAGGAGATGAAGCTTCATCGCCTGCCCAATCCCAACCGCAAGAAGGCACATCTCCCGTAGTATCCAGTGGATTGGACAATCCTTTTCTGGTGGCAGCCACAATGGCGACACAGCAAAAAGGGGGTCAAGAAAAAACAAATCCATTTCAGGTGGACATATTTCAACGTGGAGCAAGAGCGAGAGGAAGAGTGCTTCTAGGTCGTGAAAGCAGTACAATAGCACTAACGGCGCAACAACTACCACGAAGTGGAGGAGAAGATCCGCTACGACAAGGACAACAGAACCAGCAGGTCGTGGAGGGTCAGGTAGAGGCACAGGAGGGCGAGCCACGACTTCGAGCACAGGATTCGCAAATTATTGATTCCTTGTCCCCAAGAACTACTTCATCAAAGCAAGGCCCTCCTCAAGGGACTACACTAGAACAAGGCGGCTTAGGCTATGAGTCTAGACACAGAGGACTTCAAGCGGAACTATTCCCACTGAATACAACTTCATCTAGAGGACACAGAGGACTTCAAGTAGGAGGAGGTGGTGGCCCTAGTAGTCCTAATCAGCCTCCGCAAGGACCACAGGGTCCTGCTGCGCAACCACCAGGTGCTCCAGGTGCTCAACCAGCTGAAGGAGGTGCATCTCCAGGTTCTCAACCACCAGGTGCTCCAGGTGCTCAACCAGCTGAAGGAGGTGGTGCTCCAGGTGCCCTGCAACCACCAGGTGCTCAACCAGCTGAAGGAGGTGCATCTCCAGGTGCTCAACCACCAGGTGCTCAACCAGCTGAAGGAGGTGGAGCTCCAGGTGCTCAACCACCAGGTGCTCAACCACCAGGTTCTCAACCAGCTGAGGGAGGTGCATCTCCAGGTGCTCAGCAACCACCAGCAACTGTTCGTATTAAGGCTCGATTCGCTTTGGCATGAGATGTTGAAGATGATGTCTTATTTACGATGTCTTATTATATACACAATGAGCGAGTAGATGGTCGTAGGTGCAATCCGAATCGACAGTAACATCATCAGATGGTTTGTGGTTGATAATGAACTACAGAAGATGATATCTTGGAGTCTATTTTCAGAGCAATTCATTTCCGTGTCCATTGTTAAACGACCTCGTCTAATAATCCGGTTCTTGATGAAGTGCCACCTCTGGTATCCATAGGCGGGAGGCGACCTCTCTACGTTGCGCGGTTCGTCCGGTGTTGTGATTATCCATTATGGCTACGAAGAAGCAACAAGATCAAGAAACTTGAGTCCTTTGTTAAGTACTTAGAGGAAAGGACTCCATTTGTTCCAGTCCACTAATTTTTCTAGTTCTAAATTAGTTCTACTGTTAGTAATTGTTCTACAGCTACCAGGAGCTGCGCTTCCATACTCGTTCTGGGAAAATAAGAGCTGTCATGGTTGTTCTTGAGTTGCCATTGCGTATACCAGAGTTGTAACTAATTATTCGCCCTTCACTGACTCTCCCAAAAATATTAATATTTCCATCATCCGGCTCAAACAAGATGACTTCTATCTGAAATAAACTACTTTAAGTTGAATTACAACAGTAGCCCTCTTCAAATACTTTTACTTACATTTATCTCCAGAAGAACAAGTTCATGCTCTAAAACGCGGCCTCCATTTTGTGCCGAATTTTTTTCCACCTGCCGCTCAAGCAGTATGTGAAGGATGGGGGCAGAGGACACAACAAACATCACAAGCTCTGGCGAAACGGCTTATGGGATATCAAGACGTTGCGGAGTTACATACAAGGAAGAAACAAGTTGCTGCAGCTTTTGTTATGGTGAAGGTAGTAGATTCTCAGTAGGGAAGAGCCAAGTTCTTGAAGCTTTTGTGGGCTCATATTCTTGTTACTTATACTTGTTAGGTGGACCTCAACAATGTCTACGTTCTTCATGATATCATTCATCACTTCTGAAGATGTAGTGACTTCGTTGGCGTCTCATACACTGGTTTCTCCCGCGTCCGCCAATAGCATTACTTACGTACACAATAAATGAAGGAAGATAAACACGCTTACACGATCTTAGGCAGCTCGCCGAATAGATTCAAATCATCAAACACGCTTACAACTGACGACAGAAAATCCTAGGAGGTGGCAATCATCCGTGTCCCATTCTAATGAGGCGTCAAAGGTTAGGGAAGCTGAAGCAGCCGACGCTGATTCTTATGGCTTTGACAGTGAACGTTTCGACGCATTTTTTACGCAGATTGAGGTCCGATGAGTCCTTTACAGTGATGAACGTCAATATTCTTAGACTGAAGATTCTGTTTGACGATATCATAGCAAAGTGCTACTAGTTCTGAAAACTACTTCTAGAACAATCCAAGGAATATTGAGCTCGATCTTCGACGTAGTTGTCTGTGAATGTGAGTTGGATCTTCATCTTCACCCACTTCTAAAGTACCATCATCGCGCAATATCAAGATCAAGTAAGGGAGTTGATGGAAGCAGGGATCACTCCGGAGCTGCAGGACTTACTACAAGGAGGCGATATCGCTCCGGGACCTCGGTTCTTGGAACTTTTTCTCTTCCTGATCGCCTTTCTGTTGGTCTCGAAGAAACTTTTGCCTGACAAGAGGAGGTAAGAAGTAGAATATCTAGATATATTTAAATGAATGTTTCTATTTCCCATTCCTGGACGAATTAATATAGTACACTGAACATCACATCACGTCACCTCTGTCCCTACAGAAACTAGTAGATTGATGTCGCGGATACTGGATACAACACTGGACCTGGCCGATAGGCAAATTCAAAAATGACCCAACACTGATTTTACTAGATGCGCTTTCACAAAACTAAACTGGCCATCAACCTAGATGGCACCAGCATTTTTCCAGCAAAAGACAACTACCGGACATGAATGAACATGAAGTGTGACTCCTCTTCGTGTGTGAAGCCTTTGATGGTGAACGTTTCGAAGTTCCGTGTGTTGTGATCTCATCATGTTTCGTCGTCTTGTCCTTCGCGCTTGGTCGGAAATGGAGAGAGAGAGAGGCATCAGGGAAAGCGCTTCTCAGAAGTAAGAAAATTGCAAAGAAGATAGAGGTCGGAAGGTATCTTGAAAAAGGAAATGAATTTGCTTGTTGTACAAAAGGCTGATGAGGAACTACCGAGGACTAGAAAAAGGAGTCCTCTCGTCGGTTGCCATGTCGATGTAGTTGTAGATTTATTTGAAGCGGAATAACCTTGTTCGTCGATAATTTCGTCTCATTACGATGGAATGACTCATGGGAACTTACACGCAAAGAAAGTACAACATGTACACGCCCGAACACGATCAAGAATTTCACAACGAGGATTAGGGAAACCGCACGTCACTGCCTCCCTACCGTTCTAAGTGAAATAAGAAAAAAATGGCCTTTCCTCGCTTCCACGGAGAGCGGGACGTGGGACCTGAGGTTCAGCAGATGATTTACCCCTATTCTCTCCAGCAAAAGGATCGCAGCAAGACGATACTTCGTCGAACGGCACCGATCAAGCACCACCTGAGATCCCAGGTCCGAAATGCAGATCGGTTATCGACATATGTTATGGCGTAGGTTGTGTAGAAGAAGCCTGTCTCGTAGGCGTCGAAAATGACGGATAATACATAGGAAGAATGTAGGTGTCGAAAATGACGTATAATACATAGGAAGAACTTCTTGTATCTTGTTGTGTAATGATGATCCTGTCGTGTTGATGATACTCTCTACAACTAAGACTAGTGGAGGAGAAGTGGTCCTGTGGCATCATTCTAATTCAAACCATGACTTTGGGAGATCAGACGACAACATGGGATGGTCATCAGCGCGATCGGTATCGGCAAGGACGGAGCTGGAGCGAGCAGAGGTAAAAGAATTTAGCAGTTTTTTGATCAGCATATCCATCGATATCGGTTATTAACAAGAGCTCTCCCACCGCTATTCTGTTTCTGCCTGATTCATCGACGTTTTGATGAAATATGACTCGCATGGTCCTCACGGTTCCCAATAAATACACCTACACCAGGCCATCCTCCCAACGACAGCAGCTTTTAGTGCAAGAAGAACTGACCCAGAACTGAGAAATTTCGTTGCGAAGAAGAAGAGAGAAGACACGAAAGCAGGGAAGAGGCACTATTTCCAGAGTGGTGGAACAAAAACGCTAAACGAGATGCAAAGACTGCAGGAAACGGGTACTTACAACTTCTACTGGAAAAAGTAGATCGTGATGGTCAGCTTATTTCTGTTTATGATGTCCATGTGCGTTCCCACATCATTAGATAGTCGACATTCTTGATACGGTATTCGACTTCTTCAAGACCAACTAGTCCCGCGCACACAGGTCGCGGTTTCCATATTAATCCAAGCGGTTGGGCTGGAACGCAATTTGCGCCTGCAAAGTTTCCTATGGAATTTCGAGGTGGCACCGACAGGCAGATCAACATAATTCAGAAGATTCAGACGCTGAATCTACGAGAGCCAGATTTTTGGCATAGGATCACGTGATGGTAGTGCGAGTAATGAGCGAAGGGGGTGTTGGTCGTAATTAGAAGCATCCGAGGAGGAGGAGAATACTGTACTTGCGGAATGGAGAACCGAAGAAAAATAAAAAAAGTCAGACCCATACGGTCTAACTTCTGAAGCATCCAGAATCTTTTGTGCTGTTGCATGTTGGCGCTGAGAGAAGCGATCCGCATTGATTCCATGCTCTTGAGCCAAACACTATGTAGTTACTAACATAAAAATGAACAAGCGAGCTACTCTTACTGTCACTAGGAGAAATATGTGAACAAGGGGGGGGGGTGAACGTGAACCGTGCACACGCGATTGTGCCCTGTTATTCCAAGTCTATTCATGCATAGGGTCCCTTATTCAATTCCATTGTCACAAGAACTGAAAATAAAGAGGATTATGGTCATCGTCTTGTTTTTCACCTTCTTATTCCTATAGTCATTTCGAATTGAGTCATTTATATTGCAGTAGCAGTTGCATCTTCTCGCGGGCAACGAACAGGTACTAGAAAGACGATTTCATGGAGACGGTGTGAACTTTTTTTGAGAGCAAGACAAGAACTCCCTAGCATGGGATAAAGAAGACAAATCTGTTTTGTGAATGTTGCTGGTACTAGCGTAAAGGCGCACTGGTGCATCGGAAAGAAATAAGGTAAAAAACCCATCACCTGTAGGGTCTTGAAATGATCGATCCGAGGCTGTTCAATTATATTATATCCTTTCTTCGCCACATGTTCCAACGATATGATCCCTAAAGTTCCCCATTGCTGTAGTGATCCCTAACCAAGAGACTAATATGATCACAAAGAAACAGAAAGTGGATAGCTGCAGATCCTGATCACGAGAAAAGTAGGATCCTGATCGCCATGAGGAGGTACTGGGAAAAAGAGGAATGAAAGGAATTCAAATAAAGAGGCGACTTTTTTTGGATTTTTCTTTGCCAACCAAAAAGAAGCGACGTCTGCTCTGCGTAACTAAAGGATACGATGAAGGGAAGGAGCCGTGGCCGAGTCATTTACAGCACTGCCTAACTGGAGAGGGTTTTGTTTCGCGAAATACTGAGCTAGCGCTGATAGTTTACGTGGAAGAAGGACACAATGCGAATCACTCTGCATTTTTGACGACGACGAAAAGGCATGTGCAAGTTACTTAGATTTATGGGGTGAAGCGGAGCGGTGATTTTTTACGGTAACCCGGTCAGCGACAGAATTGGTGAGTGGAGCACTTCCGTTGAGCAGAGAAGTTGGATATACGTGGGAAAGCGAGGAAATTCTACAAGTATGATTTGATTGTGGCTGATTAAGCATCATATGCGTGGGAATGGACTCAGAGAGCTGTTTTGTACTTCTTACATGTGGGTAGTGGCCGCAGACGCCGATTATCAGATGAGGGGTTCTGGGATTTCCGCGCAACTCTAAGCCTCCGACCATCTCCACGCTCGACTTGTTGTTTTGTTGGACCCTCTCCGTATGCCCTGGCCTGACTGCGATGATTTAGAGTTGGATTTAGATTTTCTTGGACAAGCCACTTGAAAGATGGTCGTAGGATACTGTCTTAAGGGATTTAGATTTGCGGTGGCCGTCGCGGCTGCCTTCGCCGAAAATTTAGATCATTCCCTGTGTTGCGTTTGTGTAGCGCTGAAACAAAGGAGGAGGTATTGTGGTGGACCTTGTAAAGGAAGGCACCCGGAAAGAGGGAGACCCTTTTAGGATGCAGACAGAAAGTGTCGACAGAATATTCGGGCATCTAAATCTAAAAGGGGGACGTTCTGAGTTCCGTCTGACGGTGATACCCTGTTCGTTTCGAAGTATTTCAATCAGCTGGAACTGATCCTTTGAACGACATGCCATTGATTTAAATCAAGGATCTCAAGAACACTTAGCGGAACAGAAAAGTGGGTCCATTTATTTCTCCGTGAATTTTCTAAATTTTCTAAATCGAAGGAACGGGATCGATTTAGATTTGTCTGGATCTTCCTGTGGGGATCAAATGATCACTGGGCGACAACGAAGGGACCTCACCGCCTGTCCGATCCACCAATGAAAGCTCCCATAGATCCAGAAGTGACATCCTACAGGGCTCATAAAAATCCAAAAGCCGGCATCTTTGGATAACTTGCTGGGATCTTTAGATTTTTTTGGTTCCCGTACTTTTTTTTCTAGTCTGAAATTTAGATTTTCGTCCAGCTGAGGACAATCGACGAGATATCCTGGGCATTATTTCTAACAGAATCTCAGCTTGATATTGATCGCACACTATTGCTATTCCGCTCGCCCCTTGTACCTAAACATTTTTCTCCACCGACTTGCCTCCGCTCCATTCCCAGGGACTAGCTCTTTCCAAAGAGTGTAATCTTATACTTGGATCAAGTGTAACGAAAAAAGCTTAAGCTACTACATTTCAGTTTTCTCCCCTCTGAAGAACTTCCAAGATGCCGAAGTACCACCAAGATGACTGCCACAGGCAGATGTCGCAAATCGATACTGTCCGTAACGTTGCCATGTTGGGGTCCATGGGTCACGGCAAGTCTTGTATCATGGACAACTTGGGTGCCATGACCGGTTACCTCGCGGAGGCCAAGATCGGAGATCAACTCTTTTCTCTGTACATTTTTTAGATTTAGATTTTTGGTCCGGGACCACCTGGACCAGCATAGCTTTAGACAATCAGATTCTGCGACAGCCGCGAGACTATGTTGTCTTTAGACTAGACTATCTGGACGGGGTCAACTGGGCTCGCGCGAGTTTTCTACAAGTGACTCGCTCTTGTAGTCGAAACGGGTTGGAAAGAATTTAGATTTTTTAGATTTTCATTCTTGGAATTGCATTTTTACATGAAGGACACGTGGTGGTTGCTTCTCACCCTAAAATTCCCCAATAAAATTTAGCAAATCCGCACGCTTTTTCATACCACGGCCGCTGGAAGTCACCCAAGAAGCACCGATATAATCTCAATCCTAATCTAACAAAAAAGGTACCGTGCGGACGAGAAGGAGAAGAAGTCGAACTACAAGACCAACCCGTGCCATATGATGATCGAGACCAAATCTTCCGAAATCAAGGGCGAGCCGGGAAAGCAAGAGCTCGGTGAACAGAAGGAAAAGTCCAAATTCATGTTCTGCATGTTGGATACTCCAGGTCACATCGATTACTCCCCAGAGGTCGCTGCTGCGCTTCGTATGGCCGATTCCACCTTGTGCACGGTCTCTGTTACTGACGGCGTCGGTGTCATGATGGAATACATGGTCTTGGACTCGTTGAAAGGTACTCTTTCAGGATCCTCTTAATGTTGGAATACACGATCCTGTACTGGCTGAAAGGTATACTGTGGGATTTAGGTTGATAGACATAGGCACCCTCTTTCCGTTAACGATACTCTACTTTCCAAAAAAGCACCTACCAGGTATCCGCACATCAAACTCAAAGAGATTCCCATATAGACGTCAACAACAAACCTTGCTTACAACCTTGCACTTCGTTCACAACCTTGTTCACAACCAAAACAACCTCACCACAGAGCGCTGCAAGCCGACTTTGTTCGTGAACAAGCTCGATATCTCCATCATGGTTCTCCAGCAAGATCCGGAAGATTTGTACCGTGATCTCGCGAAGGTCGTCGAATCCATGAACGTCGCTCTTGTCGACGCTGAGAAGATGGGCATGAAGGGATTCGGACTCGACCCGACTCTCGGTATCAGCAATTTCTTTGGATTTAGAGTTTCCGTTGCTTCTAATCGAGGACAATTGTAGATGTAGCTGCTACCGAAAATGAGTTCCTGATGAAGAAATCGCGTCCCTACTTGAGAGACGCAAGCTCTCTCCACTCACTACGGCGTTCGTTTACCAATGATCTTGTCCTGTATGCATGAAGGCGAATATGCCTGTTGTTCTCCTCCGAGCACCATCTACACCACCACTCCAAATAGGAAACGTCGTCTTTGGATCCGCCTACTACGGATGGGCTTTTTCTCTCCGTCAGTTCGCTGCCATGTACGCCAAGAAGATGCCGGGTATGACTGAGGAGAAGATGATGAAGCGATTGTGGGGCGATCAGTTCTACAACCCGGCCAAGAAGACCTGGACTACCGTCGAAGTTGATGGAAGCGTTCGCGGGTATTGACTTTTTCCGTTGTTGTTCCTTTTGTTCTGTGCTCCTCAATTCAGGAGGGGAAGATCGTAGTAGGTTTATTGATGTTAATGCACACCGAACGACTTCCAGTTTCTCGTTCAACAAGTAGCTCCCTCCGATCCCACTGTTTGTTTCTTCACTCCCACCTTTCCCGAACTGGCAATCAGCATTCACGGTTCTTCGCGTGTTTCCAATGGGGCCTTTTTGTTGGAAGTAGGATAGCATAGAACATCTTCCCGTTTGTTTCTTCACTCTCATCTTCTCTTCCAAAGGACCCTCCCGAACTGCCCCACCTCAGTTTCTGCAAGTTCATCTTGGACCCGATTATGCAGCTCCACAAGCTCATCATGGCCGAAGATCCTAAGTGGGAAGATCTCGCCACCAAGCTGGGCGTCTCCCTGAAGGCTGACGATAAGAAGCTCAAGGGAAAGCAGCTCGTGAAACGTGTCATGAACTTGTGGATGCCGGCAGCCGATGCCGTCGCTGAGATGATCGCTACTCACTGCCCGTCCCCGAACACGTGCCAGAAGTACAAGATCGAACACATCTACAAGGGAGAAATGGACTCCGACATTGCGAAGAGCATGGTATATCTAGGCCGATGTCGTGCTCAAGAATTTGGACTTTATTATTGGTTCTTTTTGTGAATCCCTCTCTATCTGTACCACTATTTCAGCGTAGATTTTTAATTGCAAGTTCAACGAATTCAGCATCCTTCAGGGATTTTTTACCACCACCCCGACTAATGTGAACATCGACCCCTAGGTTGCGTGCGACCCAGCTGGTCCGTTGATGATGCACTTGGTGAAGATGAACCCCACTGGTTCTGCCGGTCGTTTCTACGCTGTCGGTCGTGTCTTCTCCGGTACCGCCGCTACCGACAAGTACCACGTCCGCGCTCCAGATTTCGACCCAGAAGACCCGGAAACTACCGCTTTCTCCCAGGAGGGCCGTTGCCAGAACGTGATGTTGAACTTGGGCAAGGACATGGTGCCAATCTCCAACTGCCCGGCTGGAAATATTGTGTCTTTGGGTGGTATAGATCAGTTCATGATGAAGTCCGCCACTGTCACCTCCGACAAGAAGGCGTACAACTTCAAGAGCTTGTCCTTCAACGTGTCCTGCGTCTACCGTATTGCTATCCGTCCGGCTGATAACAAGCAGCTCCCGAAATTGGTCGAGGGTTTGAAGCGTTTGCAAAAAGCAGATATCATCGTCCAGTGCGTGTCCGAGCCGACCGGAGATCACATCGTCAGTGGGTACTGCTCAGTTATCCCTTATTTGTTTACTTATCTTAAGATTGACTTTATTGACAACAACATATACTTATATCCATTGACACGGCTGTAGTATCTGAAGATTTGCAACGCTGACCACTCCTTCTTTTATTCTTGTCTCCACACGAGGTTTCGATCATCTTGAATAAACTTCCAGCCTCCTCCAACGCAATGCCTTTAACATCTCTCACATCCATCACCGTTCAAATGACACAGTTGCGGTGAAGAGCACTTGAAGCTCGTCCTGAAGGACTTGAAGGAAGACCACGCTGGTGTGGACTTTACTCGCGGTGTGCCAACTGTGTCCTATAAGGAGACTGTCACCAGTGAGTGCGCCAAACCAGCTCTCTCCAAGTCACCGAACAAGCACAACCGTCTCTACGTTATTGCGTGCCCGTTGGGTGATGAAGTGTCGGATGCTATCGAGTCCTACCAGATCAACATGCAGCAAGACGTCAAGAAGCGAGCACGTATAATGGAAATTTTTCTAATAGCTTTAGTCTCTCACGAGCTCAATTTTCTTCGTGGTCCATCACTTCAAGCTGTTGGTGATCGTAGTAGATTTTGCATATCAAAAATACGACGATCACTCGATGTGTAGTAGCTGACACCTGGATCCGGATTGTCGTCGGAAAGCAATACTACCTGGTCGACATGATTACAACCTTTTAAGGCTTAATCTTTTCCGAGACAAAAGCCAATGCGGACAAAAAAACTGAGACATACGTATGATCGACCCCTGTGTCAAAGACATAACAACCAGTAGGTGCTCTTCTCGACGACAGATCCAGAAGATCCTTGTATTCGTATGAGAATGACCGGTCTCGCTTCCTTTCCACGTAGTTCTCACGTAGGTCCAAATCTTTTCACCTTAGAATAAATGTCATCGACAATGATCCACAACCACACCACCTACCCACTTCAGGTATCCTCATTGACGAGTATGGTTGGGAGAAGACTGACTGCCTCAAGATCTGGGGCTTCGGACCTAATGATATCGATGTTGGTGGTGCGAACGTGCTTGTCGATCAGACTAAGGGTATCCAGTACTTGAACGAGATCAAGGAGTCCGTGAACTCCGGTCTCCAGTGGGCTGCTCGTCAGGGCCCTCTTGCCGAGGAGAACATGCGTGGTGTGCGATTCAACTTGATGGATGTCAAGCTCCACGCCGATAGTATCCATCGTGGTATGGGTCAGTTGCAGCCGACCGCTCGTCGTGTCTTCTTCGGAGCTGTCTTGACCTCCGACGCTCGATTCATGGAACCGATCTTCAAGTGCGTCGTCAACTGCCCAGAAGATGTCCTGCCAGGTGTGCAACAGGCTATCATGGCGAAGCGAGGTATTCTTGACTTTTCTACTTGCTTTTTTATTTGCCTCCATGGCCGTTTAGAGGCAGGAGAAAAACTGCATTTCTTCGAGACTTCTCCAAAGCCATTTAAACCGCACTACAGGTGAAACCCAGCATTCCGACACTAACAACGGAAAGTCTTCTGTTGTCGCTTTCCTGCCCATCGCTGAAACCCTTGGTGACGAACCGTTCTCCAAGGTCCTGCAGACCAAGACTAGTGGTAAGGCTTTGGCCACATACCAGTTCGATCACTGGCAGTTGATCCAGACCGATCCGCTTGAGAAGGGTTCCAAGGCGGAACAAATCATGCTTGACATCCGTGACCGTAAGGGTCTCAAGGTCGAGCATCCGGACATCTCGGAGTACATTGATCGATTGTAATTTGAGATAGTGGAGGACGAGGAGGTGGCTACTTACTGTGGTCACTACGCTTGCGATTGGTGTCCGCTGTTGGCGAGGACAAAGAGAAGGGCTACTCTGTTATGAAAGAGAGACGATGAGGTGACTCCCGACCTGTCGACCGGACCTGACGCGAGTGGTAAAGAACAAGAGAACTTAGATCATTTCATATACTGTTGCTGTACCTTTCAGCAACTAGACAATTCTCAGCATATTGTACTAGAATTTTGGGTAGTAGAAGAAGAACGCAACTACTCCTTATGTAATAAAAGCAAAATAATTCTATATGGTCATAAAGTGCATCAAACTTTCGAATAATGTTGTCTACCTACTGTCGTGAAAACGATTCCCATCATCATGTAACGATATGAATATCAGACTGGATTATAAACTACAAATCACTCTTCATCACTTCTGAGTTACGTAACACATCATAGAAATGTCGTCCCCGGCTGCGGTCGCGACATCGTTTCACAGCGGCCGTGTGACGCGCTCATACGCTACGTCGCACGTCGTCATGCACTAGGCCCTTCCACGTGCTGGAAGAGTCTAGATTCAGAAGTATAGTTTACGCTAGATTGATGAAGAAAATGAACTTAAAAATGATGAAACAAGTACTGTACTATGTATTGAACGAAAGAATCTATCACCAGCACGGAAAAGACGACAACTTCAGTAATTGTCTTCTAAGTACAGGAATCTACACAGCATGGTTTCCATACATAGGCCAATATGCATGAAAATTATGCCCAACGCGGTACGAAGGACGGGGTAGATGCGCTCGCGCAGTACTATGAAGGACTTGTGAATCATAACAGGAACTACAGCACTTTGAAATACTGTGACATGGAGATCTAACGCTGAATACTTGATTGATGTGCGACAAAAACGAACAATAAGAACAGAAAGAACGCTACAACTTCGTGGTCAAGGAATGGCTGACGTCGAAGGTTCCGCGAAGTGAAGGAGAAGAATAAGAGCTTGCTTGCCCATCGCGGTGTTCAGAGGGCCTAGTTCATCTCGAGCTTCAGGCAATTACGCCAGGTGCGAGCTCGTCTGTTGAAGCTTCTGACAATCGCAACGCATCGGTGTTGTCGGTTGCTGTCATGAAAAATGAGAGCGTATCTATGTGACCACAGCTTCGGTGCTTCAGATTCGGGCTGCTTTCCTGCATGATTTGCGCTTGTCAAGACCACAGCGAGGGTCTCGGTGATTCCATCCTTGTTCCCATAGAGTTCCCTACTCCATCCTACTCTGCATGTGCCCACAATTCCCTCAATACACTAAGACTCTCTTCGTTAAGGGTCATGCTTCTGTGATTAGCGTGGGGATGGTAGAGGTAGTGGCGTAAAACTGAATTAGCATTGTCCACAAGTTGAAGCACCATCACCTCGCGCATCTCGTGACACAAGAGCAAAAACATGCCTGAAAGCGTTTCGCTACCCTCACTGGTGCCGTCAGGCACAGCTACTTCGAGTAGATTGGCTCGCAGGCTCAAGAACGAGCTGTATAGCGGAACAGCAACGGTAAGGCAGTTTGCATATCTGATATCATCGCATTTTTTGTGAGCAATCCTCTTGCAGTTTTCTTCGTCGATCAAGGCACCTCTATGCCACTCAAGAATAATTGCGAAGTTGCCCATCTCCTATGCCATCTTGTGGTGGCAGGAGCAAAAACAAGAATGTTCTCCCACCCCCAGCAACTCTTCACAACACAGCGCAGCGCAACGTGCACAGTACCGCAACTCGTGATTCCGGAAATTGCGTCAGAGGACCCTATGTCGGCTCTCAGGATCCAAAGGGTAAGCGATCAACTCGCAGCTGAAGAGAGGAAACTTCGAAAAATCAACAGAAATAGCGTTGGGATGGGAAGGAGAGCGGTAAGGTTCTTTTTACGACTGGTCGTGATGCCAAGGTTTTTATGGAGGTAGACACTGATTTCTAACACTTTTTTTTGAAGTCTGACTTTTTTCCTACCTAAACCCCCTAATGGAACAACACCTTGTGATCCATCATCAGATAAGCGTGGACGTGCTTGCAAATGCAGTCGGGAATACCACGGAGATGCTTCCGAAACAGCAGACAGTTTTTGGTATCCTATTTTTTCTCTAGTTGTCGCACTTCGGCGGGCTTCTTGTGCGTGGCTTGGTTCGCATTTGACAAACAGCAAAACTATCTTCACTTTCATCTCTTCAGCGTAAGGACTGCCCAATTATTGACTGAGTACTTTCACCACTGCCTCTTTCACCACTAACAGTACCACATGTAAACAAAAAACACCAGGCGGCAAGCCTTTCATCTGCCGAGAATTAAAGCAGAATGAGATACCGACTATGGCAGGGGACGCGCTTTTTACTTCCACGAGTAGGGCGGACTACTTTTGGAAAACGAAGAAAGCCAGAAGTCGCGACAAGAAGCACAAGAGGCCATACGACGACTTCTACAAATTTCGAGATTCATTCTTGATGCAAAAAAGCTGTCTCAGGTCGTGAGACGACGACAACTGTGACAGCTGTTTGATACAAAAGAAGACATTTACAGCATAGTGTAGCAAAGTTTGAGCAACAAGTGCAAGTTGCTATATTTGAAAATCTAATATGGATTTTTTGAATGCTCAAGGATGTTGTTGAGGCTGTGATATCGTAATTACTTGTAGAAAAGGTTTGATTGCAATTTCCAGCGGATTAGTTGTCTCTCAGACGGAGACGTTGGACTATGATGTGGTGCTTTTGCCACGAAGACGACCGTGTTTCGATCGACAAAAATGAAAAATGCTAGTGGTAGTAAAAGACGAAACGAAATCAAGGAATGCAATTGATTTTGATATGACGAAAAGGGAAACTTTATCCGCATGTACTTACTTACTTAACTAAAAAAGTCGGAGTTGTGAGAAAAAATGGGTGGAGGAAACCAAAATGGACACTGAAAAAGAAGTTCGTGAGTTTCACCAACGAAAATAATCAACTAAAAAATCATGGCCGACCCACCACCAAACCCTTCGGCAGAGGACCAGCCAAGCGCCTCACAGTTGTCTGACAGCATCGATTATGCCGGTTCTGAAGACGGAGGGGCACGAGCACTGACTCGCGGTATGCGAGGTGGAGGGCGGGAGGGTGTCGCAGAAGACGCTGAACAAGTAGGTTCGGGCCGATCCAAAACTAGCAGTCGTGGTGGTGGGAGCAAAACTAGCAGTCGGGCTGGCGATGGTGCAGCTTCCAAAACTAGCAGTCGTGGTGGTGGGAGCAAAACTAGTAGCCGTGCTGGTAGTGAGAAAGAGAAAGACCAAAAAACTAGTAGCAGTCGTGGAGAAGGTGGTAGTAAAGCGAGCAGTCGTGGTGAGGGGGAAAGCAAGACGAGTAATATTATGGCCCAGTGAGTCATGGTGATGTTCTTGTGCTGTAATTCTGGATAGAAATACATCTGGTACGGCCTCTAACAAAGCTTACTTACTTACACCAGTCCGCAACCAGGACCGGTTGTAAAGTAAGGACCGGTTGTTAAGTAAGGACCGGTTGTTAAGTAAGGACCGGTTGTTAAGTAAGGACCAGTTGTTAAGTAAGGACCGGTTGTTAAGTAAGGAGAAGGACCGGTTGTCGGTCCACTTAGGAAAGTTCCTGTTACTTTTACTCTCTTTCGTATAGCTTGTAAGAGGTAGGGGGACTTTGTACAGACACTTCCAGGACTACTGTCAGAAGGTGTTGATGTGTACGGCTGACCTGTGCATCTTCTAAGATCAGTCCTGGAAGTGATGCGGACAAGACTAGCAGTCCTGGTGACGACCCCACAGCAGAATTTAGGGCTGCTGCCGAAGAGGAAGAAAGAGCAGAAGAAATTATCGAAAAGGTTGAAGAGGTTGAAGTTATGGCTCCTAAGGATAAGCAGGTGATCAAAAACACGATCAGGGGTGTCCTTAGTGCATTTTCGTCTAGAAGTAGATCAGATGGCCGCTCAGAAGATCATCATCTAATTCTTCAATCGAATCTGAGCAAAAGCCGCGTGGTTTCGCGAATACGGTTCGTGGTAGTTTGAGTTTCATGCGACGAAGAGGCGGGTCAGCGGATGCTGAACGAAGAGCAGAGGTTAAGGCCGTTTTTTTGAGTCTATCTAACGAGGAGAATCGCTTAAAAGCAGAGGCTAGTCACTGTTCATTGACTCATTGAGGTTAGAAGTCACTGAGATCCCTCCTCTTGTTGAGAGAACAGGGGAAAATGAAGGGAAAGCAAAGTAGGGAGAGGCGTGGGGCCCTTTTCTTTCAGAATCAGCGACCACTGACTGCTGACCTTGAGGAACAGCTCCGAGATATCGAAGCTGCTGTCCCACGCGCTACTCTAACGAGGAGAACCGCTTAAAAGCAGAGGCAGCGCGACGGGCAGAAGCAGCGCGTCTGGCCCAAGCCAAGGTTGTTCGAGAGCAACAAAGGGAACTCAGGCATTTGCTTAATTTAGGGTTCTCGAAGATGTTTCTTGAAATTGGTAGTTGATGATTGGACTAGCCTTAGAAGACCTTGGGCTTTGCTTTGAGATCTTGATGGCTGAAAGAATAGAGAAGAAGTCTTCTAATAGCAGAGGAATCACCGGAAAGCGGAAGTGGTCAGGAGAGCGAGGAAAAACGCAGTGCGAGTGGTACCAGAGGGAAGCTAGCTGCTGCAGATGACGGTGAAGAGAGTCCCGAAGCGGACCAAGGGGATGATCAAGATCAAGATGACGAGAAAAAGCAGAAAGCACTACTACAAGTTCAACAAGAAGAGGTAGCAAAAAAACAAGAAGAGCAGCAGCGTGAAGCTGATGCTTTGATTGCTGGGGCTGTGGAACTGGAAAGGCAACAACAACAAGCACAAGCTGAGGAGCAAAGCCCTCCTGTTGAGGAGGTGATGACTTCCCCTGATATCGATCCTGTACAAGATTTTTAAGGCTACCGTTGAAGCGTGCCGTCCTTGGCCTCTTTTTCAAGGGGAAAAAGGTCCCAGGGACGGGCCCAAGGGTGCGACGCGGTAGCTCTAACAAGAGGCTGGAGACGTTGCGATCCCTATTTCTCCACCACTAGAAGAAGAGCATGAAGAAGATGGGGAATTCGCTAGTCCTGATTTAGTAGAGGGCGTTACACAAGGACCACAAGCAGGACACGATGAAGCCCAGCAACAGCGGGATCTCCGTAGTGAGGGTGAAGCACCGCCTCCACCTGCGGTTTTCGATGATGAGGTTGCTGCAGAGGAAGGGCAAGTCGAATTTTATGGTGGTCGTAGAGTCGTAGACGTAGTTCTGGCTCATTATCATTTTCGTAGTGTGTTAGTGTTTCTTTCTGCGGATTTCAATTTTGCAAGTCTTGCGTACGAACTGGCATCAGATTTTTTCCAAACGTTTTACGCCAATCCACTTCTATTTGCTAATCTGCATCCTCCTCGTCGAGCAAGCGTGTGACTCAAGCGACACGTGTATCGGCCAATTCCATCCTAAAAAGGCAGCTTGGGGCAGTCAAAGCCGCCTCTCGAATGACAGGAGTGCTAAGAGGATCTAAGCAAGCGGCGATGTCAGTGGAGGCTTTGTCCTTGACCAGCATCCCAGGAGGACAAGACGAAGATGAACAAGATGCAGATCCGACAAAAGCGAGTGCAGGCGGTGTGGATGGTCTCGGTGTTGGTCCGGATGGTGTAGATGCTCAAAACGGTCTAGCGACTGACGTCGCTGGGATGCTTCTAGATTCAACGCAGCAGGATGGTCATGAGGACAACGCAAACAACGATAATATTGATGCTCAACCTACAGATCCACTCCTAGGAGATCATGGAGATGGCGATCCAGATAGTAGAAGTAGTAAGCAGCGTAAGAACAAGAGTCGTGGAAGCAAGAAAAATCATCACCATCTTCATGACGAACCAGAAGAAAGAGCTTCGCATCGAGCTGCACGTGAAGAGGAGGAACGAATAATTGAGGAACTAGATGAGGAATTTCGGTTATGAGCATGTTTTTCAGAAATGCACGATGTGGATGAGATGAAGTGGAAAAGCAATTTGTGCATGCTTGCTACACAATTGTGAAGAATTTAAATTCATGAGGAGATGGAGCAGATCAGAGATGATCGTGTTGAAATGCGATGTTGTAATCAAAGATATAACTGTTGCAGCCTTCGTTCTCTTTGTCTTCGCGTGCTAACTTTCGTCTCCTCCTTGCTCGTTCTTTGTTCGCCACCACCTATCTTTGCCCCCGTCCTATCGTAGCAGGCAGCGATGGGTTTACCACAGCGGCCGCTACTCGTCTGCAACAGTTATAATCAAAGAAGAGGCAACAAGTCATTCTTCCCTGTCCTATATTCAAAATTTTTAGGGAGTTACTACTAGCCCACATATCGCTCCCTGCTCCGACCTTTCCAAGCCCACTCTTTCATCCTCCGATCGCGTGAATTCCGAATATCGACACGGTTCTAAAGCAGGTGAAATCTTCATGGTCGACCGGCCTTGTAGAGATGACAACGAAATAATCGGCGTCTGTGGCTGTGACAAAACTTAAGGCTTTTGCTAATCCATCTTTGGAAGCATCGATCAATCTGAGTGACTGAGAGACGTTTTGTTTCAAGGCTGGAAATAGAAACGGCCTCAACATAATGGACTTCGAGACGCTGCTTTTTAAGGGAAAAAGAAACACGGCCTCAGCATGATGGAATTTCAAGATGGATTAGGGTCGTGAGCTCTAAAAAATTCAAAACAGTCATCCAGTGTTGACGTGCTTTTGCGCACCATGTATCATGTGCAACTATGAAGGCTGCAGTCCGAAAGTTGCTACGATGTGGGCCTTATGCATCATACTGGGAGGATTCTTGTACTTCTTCTCGTCTCACTTGCCTGATTTACATTTGGTTTTACGTCGTTTAAATTTAACAGCTGATGCTGTACAACTTGCTCATGCTGAAAATAGTCTTAGTCTTTTTGCCACTTTCCCAAGCCCAACGTCTATTAAGGCTCAATACAATTCATTTCTACAAGGCCTTTCTCCCCTGTAGGCGAGAAATGAATCGTTTTGAGCTCTAAGTCTACTACTTGCTTCGAAGAGTAAACAATTCTACAGCTTCTCCGCGGAATGTGCATCGAAGAGTAATATAATCGAAATGATTCTACAGCTTCTCCGCCTTCGGTATCTACACCACCTTGTTTTGGCAAGTCCCACTCTTGGGTGTAACCTACAATCGAGCCCGACACGAGTCTTTACTTGGTTTTCCGATTCCGGCGGATGGTAGGCGGTCATCGAGTGGCAGCATATCTACTGTGGTTATGGCAGAAGATGGGAAGTGAGAAGTACTGGCTGTGATCAATGTCAAATTCATATTCTTTTTCTTACTAGTATTTCAAACTTGCTGTTGCTCCAGCATTCCAGACTCCCTTTTTTGCGGTTGCTTCTAAGAAAAACCGCGAGAGTAAAAGCGGTTCTAGACGATCACGGAACACGGATATGGCAGTTGGGAGTCGGAGAACGGATTCAGAACCAGAGCGAATGAGTCTCTTTCAGCGTGCTAGTGGTCTGCTTGGGCGGCTATCGTCTCTGTCGTTTGGCAGTAAAAAATCTGAAAAAGTAGATAAAGACAAAGACACTACTACTGGGTTGGCGTCAGTAGCTGAAGAACAAGGGAATGTTGAGAATGCTGAGGTAGGTGGAGCTAGTAAGAAAAATGTAGAGGGTGAAGGCGAACAAAATGGAGAAGAACTTGAGGCTGGTGCAGACGCAGTGGTAGTCGACATTGACGCCGTTGGTGCAGACGGACAAGCAGTGGGTGCAAGGGGAGTTGTTGCTGAAGGTGAGGCGGGAGATATTGAACTAGAACAAGGTCAAGATGAACAAGCTGACGACATGAACATTGGTGACGACAATACTTAAGGCCAATAAGATAATTGATTTCCGAGTGTACTAACTTGATTGTACTAATTTCTTCTGTACTAGTTTTCTCGTTCTCCTTGGGAATCTGAAGAAATGAAATACTTTTTTTTTAGTGCTCTAACAAGATACTCTCGGTCTCCACTTAGACTCACCTACAGCAGACCCAGACGATTATAGCGCAGGACTTCCAAGAGGAGCCTCTGGGACATTCAGTCTCGGAGCAGGGATTGCTGGAGTTATGAAAGGTGTGGTCGTGGTGCATTTGCACTCGTAGTAGCTGATTGTTCACGACTGAAAAAATATATTATAGATACGATAGTTTATTGACTAAGTCACAGAAGTAGTAAGGACAGCAACCACTTGGATCACGAACTAGAGGGGTGCTCACACACACAGGACCACGACAGCGGGCGCTTAGTCAGTAGTAGATAGGTACTTGTTACCTGCCTTTTCTTTTTTCGGTTTGTATTTTTTCTAGTGAGGTCTGCTCCACCAACATTATAGATACGCTCATCATCCTAGTACAACGATTTGAACAGCGAAAAAGCCCCATTTTCTAACAGCCCCACGAACAGTACATCGGCGACGGCCACAGCACAGAAGGCTTCAGCCCAGAACACGTTTGCGGGTAACGTTTTTCGCGCCAGTACTGTAAATCGAATGGCGCGCTCAACCGCAGACCGACTACGTAAGAAGAGCGCCAAGAGAACCAGTGAGGAATCAGCAGATGGATTGCTAGACGTAGAAGGCGGTGTTGATTATGATGTGAAGATGAGCTAGTGCTAGAGCAGATAAAGGACAACTCGAGTAGAAGAGGATGAGGACTCGAGTAGAGTGAGAGTCTGGTGATACTTTGTCGAAGTTATCGAGGGAGGGGATGATTATGGGGATTGAGAGAGAGAGTCACTGGAGTCAGGCTGTCTATGAATTTGACTCAATTCGGAGCTCAGTGTTGTCTTGTGCTCAATCTGAGTTTTTCGTCTAACTCCTCTTCCAAATAAATTTCAAGTATCCTCCTGACCCACTGAGTCCGCGCCCTCCCTCCCTCCATCCCTCCCTCCCTCCCTCTAATTCTTTCCCGACGGCGTCGGAGATGACCCTGATGCTGCCAGACGAACGATTAGTGAGGAGAGAAGACGTCAGCGATCTGTCTTCGGCGAACGCTCTATCTTCGGTGATCTCTTCGCAAACAATGACAACAACCAAGAAGATGGGGCCGAGAACAATGACAATGAGCAGTCTACTCCATCTCGACCCAGCCGTGGCAGTGTTTTAAGGCTCACCGTATAGTTCATCTTCAGAACAGTATCAATCTTTGATGGCCCCTAATATACCGAGGGGAAACAAACGGAAAGCACATCCGCAAAAGTCATCAAAGATGCTTGTACTCAAGATGCATATAATCGCTCTTAAGGTCTTCTAAGTCTCAGCTCTAGCGCTTCGGCTACTCTCGGAGGCGTATCTCACATGGATCAGCAGAGAAACAGGAGTTTTGGCGGAGTCCAGCACAAAAGTCAATCTTTTATGAAGAGGTTGGGCAACGGTGCGTCATGACGAGCCGAAAAAGAGGAACGATCATACGGTAAAGGTAGGTAGAGGGCTAATGTTCATGACCTGGATTCAGGATTGACTTGAACATAACATAATGCACAACCGCAAGGTTGAAGAGGTAACTGGAATCAGATATAGAGATCGCGCGCAAGACATAGTCATGCTGTTTCATTGAGTTAATTTGAAGCGTATTCATACGAAGTTAGTTTCAACGTACAGGTTATTGATTGCTCGAGAATACAGACACAGAGATGCAAATATCGTTTCCAAGAAATCATCGTGCCAGTCGAGTTTCGTTCCTTTTTCAGCGCTGAAGAGTATAACTTGGCCTAGTAGCGTGAGTGTAGTCGTTTCTATTAAATAAAAGAGCTGTAACATCAGTTATGTACAGGTCTACAGTAGCAGCACGTCAGTGCTCCAACAAAGTAGAAATTACAGAGTGACTAATACAAAGACAACCGAATAGACGAAGATAATCCAAGTGAAGTCACATAGAATCATATGAGCCATGTAGTTGTAATCCAAGTTGTTTTCATGTATATTTTGATTCAAACAAATTTAACACGAAGCAAGTGCGTCAAACTGAGAGTCGTATGTTCGCGCTTAACAAGCACAGGGGCGAGGTGGTCTGGAAAATGATTGTTCTGTGAGAGAAAACGTGTCCGCAAGTAAATTCAAAGTGAGGACGAGTTTTCGGTGAGAGCTACCTACACGAAAAACCATTCATGAGCTGCAGAGATCCGCAAAGCGCTAATTTGAGAGAGAGAGTCTACTGTGTAGACCACCGTTGTCAACTCTGTGGGCAGTCTGAGTTTTGCTCTGTTCCTGGGGTATTTCAAGATGCTTCTGTCCTCGTGGCTTCATTTGTGGAGTAGAGCATGTAGTTCCTGAGTAGTTGATACCGTTTCTTTCTCTGATGCGCATCATGATCAGGTCGTGGCCAACCACGGAATTACCCGTCCCCTCTCCGCAAAATGATTAATTATAGTTGAAATTTCAATTTCACTTTTTTTCCTCCTACTGACGATAATTACAATTTGGTAGTCCCTCTGAGGTTACGCGCGTCCGCTCGAGAATACAGGTAAAACTGTGGACGGCGGATCAATTCCTATCCTATCTTATCCTATCCTACTGTTCGTCGACTGTTCATCTAATTCTAATTTTGTTCTCACAAAATACCTTTGGTTTTCGTTATTTTGTTTGAACAAATTTGTGGTTCTTTATTGTGTAGACGATTGACATTGATTCGCATATTGCACCATGAGTAGAAATATTCTTAAGAGTTTTGGCGTCAAAATGGAGCTGGTGTTCTACTAATTCTTTCAGTCTCAGTGTGTCCCTTCTTTATAGCTGTGCCAACTCCTATCCTATCCTGTTTAAACGAATTCAAAAATCAACATGGCTCCGCCTAGAGTCCTAGGAACCTCCTTAGGAGGTGAGGGTGGCTCCTCCACGATGCATGCTCTGCGGTCAGAATTTGAGGACGTCTGCGAAAAGTCTGAGGAGCTACGAGCTGTCACCGTTGCATTACTGAGAGAGAAGGAAAAAACGGATTTGCTACTGCGTTTGGCTGGTAGTGGTGCTGGTGGGGCAGGAAGCTCAACCTCTGGCACTTCGCCTTCCAGCAGCATCGGGTTTCCAGGTGGAAAAGACGCTACTAGGCGGAATAAAGATGGTGCATCTACTTCAAAGGTTGACCAAGAAGATGAAGATGAGACCTCTTGTTCAACAGCGAACTATGACTCCGTTTCTTGGTTAGAGGCAACTTCGGGTGAAAGTGAAACAGACGACAGGGAAGTGTTAACGCATGAAATATTGGAGGCTCTGATCGAGTTGGATTGGGAGGAATTAGAGGAGAGGGTTGAGTTGCTGGATAGTGCGACTGCTGCTAAGAAAGATAAAGACAAACTCCTGCTTGGAAATGGAGGAAGCCCAACGACGTTTACTTCGAGATCGTCCTACTCCGCCACTGGCTCTCTGATGCCGAGGAGACCGTCCGTTACCTCGCGGTACCTGAAGTTAGAGGGAAACTGTCCAGCTATACTGCGGGATTTGTTGACTCTCTACAATCACATTGGTCATAAGAGAGCTTTGAGATTTCAGAGGGAGCTTTTTCCGGTGTTGCTGCCCGATGCAGAGCAAGAGGATGCAATGCAATTCATCGCGGATCATGTAAAGTCGACAGCAAGTAGCTCGCGTGGTGGAAGACATTCTTCGGCAGGTGTAGGTCCTAGCGGAGACGACCAAAAATATCCGACTTCAACACTCTTAGCTCGGAATATGTTGCAGCAGGAAATTTTAAAGGCTAGAGCTGTAGCGGATCGGTACCGCGTGGAAGCGGAGGCCAAAGAACATAGGGAGCATTGGGAGCAACAGGTACAAACTATGATAAGTTTTGAGGTTTTGGTTGGTCTCAAATTCGTAACTGGCTGAGCCTACTGTGTACTAGCCTCCACAAGCTTCGCCCGGCTTCAAGTTACTTTAGCACTTTCCTGCGGCCTCCCACGGGCTACAGCCGCTAGAGTAGAGACAGCCCGCGGGTGAGCTGTTGCACCCTACGAATTGACTACGACAAGAGCCGAGTGCCGGCGGTGGCCGACTCAGATGCGTCGACTCATGTGCAGGGCATTGCGCTGCCTTCGGTTTTTTTTTGAGATTGCCGGGCGGGTCATGCAAATTCTTAAGAATTTGCAAGACCCCCACGGCAGTCCAACAAAAAAACCAGAAGAGAGCCACCAGACACGCACAAGAATCCGCAAGCCCCAACGCACGCAAGCGCCTCGCGGTGGCGCCAGGCAAGAACGAGGGGCGACCTTGATGGGCCAAACAAGACAAAGCAACGCAGGGCCGCGCTGCTTGGGTCTCTCTACGCGCTTACACCTGGCGGGGCTTCTTTGTTTCGTCAGATGTCTCTCGTCAGAAACAGGCGGGCGCACTTCGCGGGGTCGTGCGGCGTCGCGCTTCGGGCTGTGGCTGAAGCCTCTCGGCTGGCTGACGTCTTTCACCAAGCTGGAGACTAAGGCCCTCCATCAGGCTGATGCCGTTCGTCAGCCCAACGCTCTGCGCCAGGCTGGCGGCGTTCGTCGGGCAGGCCGGCGCCCCTCGGCAGGCGTCTTGGGTCAGGCTGAGGCTTTTCGTCAGGGTCGGGCGACGTCTCTCGTCAGGCTGAAGCGCTTCGCCTGGCTGACATTCCTCGCCGGGCCGAGACTCACGCCTTTGGTCAGGTTGATGGCTTGCTTCAGCTCGGCGCCGTTCGTCAGGCTGATGCACTCGCCAGCCAGGTGAGGCCTCTCGCCAGGCCGGCGCAATGCTTCGCCAGGCGTCTGCCTTGCGTCGGAGGGAACAGGCTGAGCGGGGCCTTTCTTCGGGCTGCGGATGTCTTTCCTTCGTAAGATTGACCCCGTTCTTTCGTCGGACTGACGTGCTTCGCCAGATTGACCGCGTTCGCCGGACTGACGTCCTTCGCGAAAGGTCTTCGCTATCTTCAAGGGCCTCGCGCCACAGGGAGGCCTCGCGTCAGTTTTTCTGGCGGAGGTCGTTCGTCAGATGTCTGCTGTCGCGGGTCTCACTCTTGTCGTGTCGGAGGTCTTGGGCCCAAAGGTCGTCTTTGGTCCACGCACAGGTCGCCGGTGGTCCACAGGTCGCCTGTGGCCCAAAGGTCGTCTTCGGTCCAAAGGTCGGCTTTGGTCCAGAGGTCGTCTGTGGTCCAGAGGTCGCTTTTGGTCCAGCGGCCGTCTTTGGTCCAAAGGTCGCCTTACTTTGGTCCAAAGGTCGCCCTACTTTGGTCCAAAGGTCGCCCTACTTTGGTCCAGAGGTCGAAGGGTCGCCTTACTTTGGTCCAAAAGTCGCCCTACTTTGGTCCAGAGGTCGGCGCACTTTGGTCCAAAGGTCGGCTTACTTTGGTCCAAAGGTCGGCTTACTTTGGTCCAAAGGTCGCCTTACTTTGGTCCAAAGGTCGCCTTACTTTGGTCCAAAGGTCGCCCTACTTTGGTCCAGAGGTCGCCGGGTCGCCTTACTTTGGTCCAAAAGTCGCCCTACTTTGGTCCAGAGGTCGGCGCACTTTGGTCCAAAGGTCGGCTTACTTTGGTCCAAAGGTCGGCTTACTTTGGTCCAAAGGTCGCCTTACTTTGGTCCAAAGGTCGCCTTACTTTGGTCCAAAGGTCGCCCTACTTTGGTCCAGAGGTCGCCGCACTTTGGTCCAGAGGTCGCCTGTGGTCCCGCGGTCGTCTTCGGTCCCAAGGTCGTCTTTGGTTTCAAGGTCGTCTTTGGTCCCAGTGTCGTCTTAAGTCCCAAGGTCTCCTGTGGTCCAGAGGTCGCCTGTGGTCCAAAGGTCGCCCCTGGGTCAAAGATCGCCTTTGGGCCAAAGATCGTCTTTGGGTCAAAGATCGCCTGTGCTCCAAAGGTCGTCTTTGGTCCAAAGGTCGCCTTTAGTCCGAAGATCGCCCTTGGTCCAACGGTCGCCCTTCGTCCAAAGCTCGTCTTTGGTCCAAAGATCGGCTTTGGTCCATGTGTCTTTGGTCCAAGGTCTTTGCCCTTTCGGTGGGCGGTCTTTCGTTGGCTGTCTCTCTTTGGACTTTTCTCCCCAGCTTGCGCCCCCACCCCCGTCGGCCATTTTTCTGCCTTCTTTTCTGGTGGTCTGCCACGGGGCCGCAACGTAAATCCCAACAAGGAAACGGCCGGAGGCTATCGGGCTTGAGACTGAGGGGAAAGGGCAGGAGACTATGGGCAATAGCTTCGCGAAAGAAGCTGACTAATCTCCGGTGGGTTAGGCGGGGAGTTTTATGGCGGCGATCAATGGCGAGATTAATAATATAGATTAATAATATAGATTAATAATATAGATTAATAATATAGATTAATAATATAGATTAATAATATAGATTAATAATATAGATTAACAATATAGATTAATAATATAGATTAATAATATAGATTAATAATATAGATTAATAATATAGATTTTTTTTTTGTTATGTTTTTTATCTATCAACTTATAATAATTTTTTCCAAATTATTTTCATGTTGCTTTCTTTGTGTAGTCGATCGTCAATACCATCTATCTCTCGTCCTTACGACCACAGCTCGCCGACAAGACAGCCGATTTGGAACGGCTAGAGAAGGAGCAGATGGCCAGCGAAGAACGCTTCCATGAGGAGTTAGTTGAGGTTTTGGGTCAAATCTTCAATTCCCAGGAAGACACTGAGCGCAACATGGGCAAGATTATGCGCGTCGTTCAACGGACAGCAGGCCAGGTCGATCGCGTGCATGCTAGTACTGTCGTTAGCAATGTGATGAACCAAGTCGTGGCAGATAGAAGTGGTTCGTGGTCTGGTTCGGGGGAAAACGATGTTGTAACGGGAAGCGGCAATACTGGGAATTTACCCAAAACGACTCTGCAACCGATTTTAAAGAAGCCATCGGTTACTACTCCGACAACATCGAAAAACAGTATAGTTCAAGGACAACGTCTAATAGGTCTTCCGGCAGAGCAGCAGCAGCAGCAAAACAACATCAATCTTCATTTAGAACAGCGGCAGCAACTGCAGCAAACTCGTCAACAACTCCTTCAACAATCGCAACAAGTGCAGCAACTCCAAACGTCAAGTAATTTAGATGTGCCACGCACTCCTGGCGCAAGTCGTACTCGTAAGATTACGCCTGTTCTTGTGAATGACGCAGAAGTTGCGCCAGATCAAGATCTTTCAGATCAAGAAGCAGCCTTTGCTTTAGGTAGACGCAGATCCAAGTCCAAGGATCGACCACCAGCGCCAGTCGAGGATGAAGTCTTTCGAAACGTCGATCTTAATAGAGCTAAAGGTGTGATGAAGAATGATGTTGATCATGAAACATCGGGGGAATTTTCCACACCAACAACGAACCACTCGAACGGATTCTCCGATGACATGTTGGACGAGGTAGAGGAACTGCTCGAAAGGGATATTGATATCACTAGGTCCTCCTCGGCAATCATTGGTGCAGATGGTGGAAGGCCTAAACACGATCTGGATATTTTCTCCGATTACCCTGCTTTCCGAAGGACAAGCTTGAGACATAGTACGATGAAGGCTGAAGGTGAGGTTTCTATGAATATGAAGGGTCCCGGAGCATCTAGGAATGCCGCAGCTTCTAAAAATGTGGCTGTTCTGGGTAAAGGTCCAGGAGGTTTGGATAATGGTATTGGTAGTGCTGTAGTGAAAGGACCTGGCGCAACTTCTAGGGCTACCAAAGGCGCGGCTGGTAGTGGTAAGAAGGGTCCCCCCGCCGGTGGCAAGGGCGGAAAGGGTAATAACACTACAGCCGTATTAAAGCAGGGACAGAACCTCCGTGATCAGGAAAGCACCGAACTCCTTTCTGATGAGCTCGAAGATGAAGTAGATGCGGAACAAGTGGATGAATTCCAGCGACAAAGAACAAGAAGTCAGAGTCCTCCACCACCACGCTCACCCTCTCTATCTTCTCCATCTGCCTCTCGTAAAAATTTCCCTTCAACAAGAACCCCCGAGCCCGCAAAAGTGCGCCTGATGTCGGGAGATCCCCAAACTAGGGAGAAGCACGAAGACGACTTACACGTGGTAGAAGTAGACTTCGATGACAGTACCCCTCTAGAAGCTGTTTTTGATCGATCGCGAAAGGATGAACAACCTGCTGCAGCATCTACGAAACAATCGAAGCAGCAAACTGAGCAGACTGACACCTCTGGAGAGCAGACGCAGAACAAAACGAACAAGACAGGTGGAGCGCAGATGTCGAAAAAGAATCCGCAGGAGCAGGAGAACACGAGCTACAAGTCAGCAGATAATACGACCAGTCCAAGTAGACCCTCAGCGAAGAGTGTCGCCGCACAACAACGAGCGTTCGACATGCCCGTCAGCTACGAAGACCACCAGGAAGTAGATCCAGAATTATTTGAATTTCAAAGGTCAGAGGAAGAAGATCGAGATGCAAGACTTAGAGAAGTAGATGCGTATTCTTCTGGTAGGACCTCTTTGGCTAGTAGTAAAGCTAAAGCTGATGTGCTGAAATCTGGCGGCTTTGCGTCTGGTTCTGCCTCTGCTACTAGAAGTACTTCTGCGTTAGCGGTGCAGCAAGAAGATGTTTCCAATTCCACTGCGGACGATGCCTCAACTGCGCAAAGTGGTAGTGCAGCAAAAGCAAAACCTTCCTCACCTGGTAGGTCAGTACCGTCGTCACGTCAATCTATTTCCCTTCAGCCTCTCAGTGGTCAGTACCACCATTCAGATCCCTCAAGGACTTCAATTTCTAGAGCATCTACTACATCTTCAAGTAGTAATGTTACTAGGTCTACTAGTGCAGCTCCCTCTAAATCTAAAAGTAATGCTGTCGTCCAAGGGAAGAAAAAGCCGCCATCCAGAGTAGATCATGCAGGCTCCATTGATATTAGCCCATCGTCGCCGCCACCAGCTTCTGGTGCGAAATTGACGAAGTCACAGTCGCAGACTTCTGTGAAGATGACATCAGCCTTTCCACCCACGAGTTCATCAACCGCGAAAGCTAAACAAGAGCAGCAAGGAGGTTCTCGTCAACGGCAATCTCAACAACAACAACAACAACAACAGCTACCACGTTCTCAAGTACCCCCTCAACAACATATACAAAGACAGCAAGCCTCTGCCCAACACGAAGATGACTATGATCATGAAGACCATGATGAGCTAACCAACAGCACCCATGAGGAAATGATCGTCGCTGAAAATACACGTAGGAACAGTCAGAATCGTCTGGCTTCTTCAGTAAGTTCAGTTCCCATGCCGTTTTCGAAGCAGAATAGTCCAGATGCTGTGACGTTTTCTCCCCGTGCAGCAGATGTAGTGGCTCGTGATGTCGAGATTAAAATGAATGACATTAGAAGTAATGCAGGTTCTTGGGAGCTGCTTGGAAATATTAACCTCGGACACCAGGGATTGATGACGGGTATTAATCTGGGACAACATCAACAACAAGAGGAGGTGAGTACTACAAGAGCGAGCTCGAGCAGCAGCGGAGCAGATCTTAGCATGTTGAGAACTTCTCAGATCGCAAGAAGCTCTACGGGAAACCACAACGGGATGCGATCTTCAAGCCCTAATATTTTCATGCAGCAAGCGTCTCAGTCTCAAAATACAGGAAGTAGCCTCACCAATGCAACTAACCGTGGGAAAGGAAGTATCACAAACAGTAATAATAATGGCTCAACGACCTCAATCATGGACAGCTTGTACCAACATATGGTCAATAGAATCAGCTCAACTGGTGCTAATGGTAGAGGTGCTAATGGTACAGCAGGAGGTCCACAACTTTCTGTGAACAATTTCGTAGCTGCTAGAAGTAGTCGTACTAGTCCAAGTCGTGGAGACAACTTGAACGTCATGAGAGCTTCAACGTCTCCTCCTCCACCGCCAGTCGTTGTGGAGCCACCTCATCCACCACTCAGAGACCGAGTTTCTTTCGGTAATGCTGAAACGTTGGAGATAGATGTAGATGCGATCTCCAAAAGCACTGCAGCTAAGCGTCAAAAAAAGAGCAATCGCGTTTTGTCGCAGATAACCCAGAAAAAACTAAAGACTTTCGCCCTTGCAGAGTTGGAACAAGTCAACACCAGACCTCCTCCAGCAACCAGTAATTTTGGTGGAGAGGGAGATGACCAGCAAGACATGGAGGAAGATGATGGAGATCTGTGGTGGACTGAGGATTTGGATGTGGGAAATAATGGGTCTACTAGTAGAAGCACTCCTCTCAGTGATGATGTGGTGACTGGTGCTGAAGGGCATGACTTTGGATCAGCGACCTTGTTCTCGGGAGAACGAGGTGGACGTGTTGAGCAGGGAACGCGAGAACAGGGAGAACGACAATTACGGACAGGACAACGACAACTACAGATGTCTTCAGGTGCTGATGGGGGACTGAATATTAGTGCCGCAGGAGGTCCTCAAAGGGCATTACAGATGTCATCAAATAGTGGTGCTGGTACTAGTACTAGTGGAATGATCAATATTGCAGCTTCTACAACAGTTGGTCACGCTCCTCAGGGCCATCAGGCTCGATCATTGCAAATGTCAAATTCTGGCGCTGGTGGAGGAGTTAATATTGCTTCTACAGGAAGAGGAAGTAGAGGCAGTAGTCCTGGTCCAAGTCGAGCCTTACAAAAGTCAAATGCTTCATCTGGTGGGGTAGATATTGCAGGAACTACTTTCGGTGGTCAACAACAGCAGCAACGAGCATTACAGATGTCAAATGCTCCGTCTGGTGGGGTAGATATCTTCTCTTCTTCAGCAGGATCGGGAACACCAGGTCCAGGAGCTCCAGGAGACCACGATGCCAGAGACAGAGACTTCGAAGCAAGTAGTGCTACGTCTCTCGTGCACCCTTCCAGTAGGAGTAGTAGACAACAACAGAACGAGATTGAGAATAGGATGGATACTACTAGTACCACATCATCATCATCAAACTACACAAACAACACAGGCACGACTACAGGGAGTAATATTCTCCCAGTGGCTACTCTGCGTCTCAATTACAGTGGCAATGGAGGATCTTCACTCGGAGGTAATGGAAATGTTGGTTTGCCACTTGGGATATTAAAGTTTGGTGCAGGAAGTCCTTCATCACAGCAAACTCGTGGAAGTGGAAAAAGAGTACTACAACAACATTCCTCCCAACAACAAGTACAACAACCCGCTTCTTATAGCACTACAAGTAGTACTAGGCAAAGCCAAGGACAACAAGATACAACTCGACGACAAGGATCTTCTTCCACCTCCACGTTTACTCCATCAGCATCATCTCTCTCACCTCCCTCGTCGTCGTCTCCAGTCGCAGGCGTAGGCGCAGGCGTAGTCGCAGGCGTAGACCACAATAACAATAAAGAACGTGGTCAACAAGAAGTACGAGCAGTGTTGAAGCCAGTTGCTAGAAGGGCCTCAGTCGGACAGACCACAGATACGCTAAATTTCCGAGCACGATGGAGTGAAATGCAAAGCGCTTTAATGAACCAGCATAGACTGCACCCAACCTCCATTTAGAATCCAAAGAATTTCAAACTGAAATTTCAATTTGATGGTGAAGATGGGTCTAGAATTGCCTATTAGTAGAATCTCGCATTATAATGGGATTTAGGCAGCTCTAAGGCTACAATTGCCTTAATCAATTAGTTATTCTTGTGAATGGACTACAAACTTCTGTCCTCGAATACCACCGGGAGAGGAAGGTGGAACGACAGTCAATCGTAGTTGAATTTTTCGAACTACTCTGGGCTTTTTATGATGGGCATTTTTATCCACTAGCAGTCGCAGTGGACCACTTCTATTTTTAGCTGTAGTCTAGTCATGAAGTAGTTTTGAATCTGACGGATAGATACAAGAACTACAGGTAGTTGTATATTTTGATAACGCCGCGTAGGTGCGTGACTCCGTACTATGCTTGTTAGCTGTACTACGTTCTTCAGAACGTAGTAGGGGGCTCGCGGAACGAGTCGGATTGTCAATACTGAAAACCCAAGCATCAAGTTAGCCATTCCCTTTCGCCTCCTTTATCCACCGCCTAGTAGTGTTAGTGAGTCTAATGAAAATGAAAGTGATCTTAATCCATTTTTACATGAGTTTATAAAGATCAGACGTTGGGGCGACATCTTCATCCGCTAGGCTCGGAGACCACAATGAACTCATGGTCATAGCAATAAAAGCATTTCTCTACTGATGAAAACAAGATTCGAACATGTGACGACTTTCCCTGCTGTTCCTGTAAATGAAAGAAGACCGACCTGGATGATAAAGATGAAGATCTTGCTACTTTCGTGGGCTACTAATGCAGTGGTCACCTACAAGCCCATGCCGCTTTAACTATGTTGTAGAACAATATAGTGACGGTAGTTTATTGTTCGCGATCACGGCAAAAAAGACGGAGGCATCATGTGACGTGCGACTTGATGGCGAATCCCGTGAAGTCGCAATTTTTTGAACGAAGACAAAGACAACGAGGTGAGAAATGATTACAGCTGCCTGGTGCGCATGCGTAAGTACAACTCCAAGAGCTTTCACTTTTTATTAACGAACAAACATGTTACATAGGCAGTGGTGCTTTCTTATGCTACTACTTGTTGCTGTTACGTGTATTTTTTCTTATCTTCGTACTTACTTGTACTGGGTGGTTCGCTGTTGCTGCACATGCAGGAAAACTCTAGCGAGACTTTGAATATTTTCTTGGTACAACTCCTGTTTTGTTGTCCACAAGATGGGTGCCGATGAGGATCAGCAGGTGTATGATGAGTACTTTTGCTTGCAAGACGCCAACCTAGTGCAAGACGCCAACCTAGTGCACCCTCCACATGGAAATGGTGGAAGGGACGAAGCACCTGCTACAGTTGCTAGTACAGCAGGAAGTAGTAACACGAAGACGAACATTGGAGGTAGTAGCCACACGAACATTTTTAAGGCTATTATTGTCCTCCGTTGAAGCATCCCTGTAGACTTGCATCATGATCCTTGGTCTCCCTTTCAAGTAGATGAAAAGGGTTCAGGGAAGATGGGCTCAGGGATGCGACGCGGTAGCTCCAAGAACAACGTCGAACCGGCACCCAAATTAACCGCGTCTGGTTCCAGTCATGAACCTAGGCCACGATCTGGAAGCCAAATCCAGCAAGGACAAAAAGCGTATCTGGAACGTCTGAAGAGCATAACGGGCAGGGGGTTACATACTACCCGCTTCAGCTATGAAAAGTGGCATGGAGGAGGAGAAAAAAATGGCCAGGGGAAATTTATTCCGTTTTACTCAACATCTAGTATTAAGGGTTCTACTCACACTCACATTACATTCTCCACTCACATCCCTGACTCATCTTTTCGCCAGTACGAAAAACGTCAGGGATATTCTGAAGAATGCAATGCTGGGGTAGCCTGTCTAATAGTACTAGGACAGGCAGCACAGGACCACGAACAGGAGCAGGTCAAGTTGGTCTAGATACTAGTTCTGGTACGCCGGTTACCAAAACCTTCTTCTTCGACGACCATATAACGTTTCCTGAACCGCCGGCAGCTACAAAGCCAAAGGGTATTACATCATCTGCTGATTCGAGTGCGTCTGCATCCGGTTCCACTTCTAAGGGTTGTGTCAATTTGCGGGATGTCGAGACTGGCGCTTTCATAGATTTCCAACACTGGAAGGCCGTGGACTTCAAGACTATTTTCAAAGCAACGAAGTATAAAAACTTTCTGCCTGCTGCGGCCACTGGTTGTAGCGGTAGTGCCCCTGCGTCGTCTTCCGGTGCTGCTACGTGTACGTCAGGAGATGGTCAAAATCATGTTGTGAATTATCAACCAGGTGGACCTGTAGCAGGAACGACCTCAGGCTCAACCATCTCTAGTACTTCGGATTACAGATTTACGAGTCGAATCGACGCGATTGATCCTGAGTTTTTGTTCTCGGAAATCCGCTACTCCGACACTTGTGTTATAGTGAAGATCGTGATTACTGATGCGATCGCGGATCCCTTCTACTTTGCGAGGATTGTGGCTTATTTTACAGGCGACAACAACAACATCATAGTTCAACACGGAAATTCAAATTATGGCACAACACGATCGAGGAGCAATAGTCGAGAAACAGATCATCTTGTTCATCGCGACGTAAACAGTGCACCAGCTAAGGAGAACAGTGCTAGAGCAAGGGATGCAAGTGGAGGTGCCACAGGAAGTGGCTCCTCATCAGACTGTCACAGTATGGAACCACCACGCAATCCCCCAGGACGTTCAGTGTCAAAACAGCGCGAAAGAACCCCTAGCCTCGAAGACGCGATAGGCGCAGTTGGAGCATTAGATCAGACGGATGGCCCGATCTCACCTCGTCTGCTTTATACTTTAAGGCTTCCTGCTTTATAAAAATCCATCATGAAACCTATCAATCTTGAAGATGGGGACGTTTTCAAGGGGAGGAAGGCCTCAGGATGCGCAGGTCTTTGTGCGAGATTCATTGTATTGCATCCTGCGTTAGTCCCTCCGACCATTGTTTAGAGTTAGTCCCTCCAATCATGTTGAGCTCTAAAAACAGGCTGTCCAACAGTGATTCCAAGACAGAACAATTCTCTTTGGAAAGTACCGGAGTGGAAAATGCCTGGTCGTTGTCGGATTTTCATGGACATTAACAAGACGATAATGATAGGAGACACATCAGTTAAGGCCAGCTTTTACCCATCCTTGAAAGATCAGCATCTGGAAGAGACCGTAGGTTGGTTTTCCCTTGTTGTATTCTTAGTATTTTCATGGGAACAAACAAAAGCGTCGAGGTGATGCCGGAGCAGAATTGAAGAAGAAAATCTCCTGGCTCTAATTCAGGCGGCAGAGATATGGATGAGGTTTTGCGGGAGGTGATTTTAGACAAGTGCATGGTAGAGCCAGCAGGGCTGGGGAGCTCGAGCAGCGCGGGAGGAGACCAGATCGCAGAAGCAACGCCAAGGGGTGCGGGTGTGGGTAGTACCTTCTTTTGTCAGAATTTTGTCAACAAGTACAAGTAGTAGATGAATGCGTCCACATGAATAAGTAGTAGATGAACATGAATGCTGTTTGTGTTTTAGTTTTTTCTCATCACGTCGTGGATGTGATTTTTATTGTTGTGTAGCTCACTACCCTCCAACACCAGTCCTGCCACCAAAGACGGCGCTTTCAGCACGAAGGCTACTTAGACGAGCTCTGGGCAAACGTGATTCCAATCAAACGAGTGCTGTGGAGCGTCTTTTCAAAGACCTTTGTATCTTACGGGTACAAGAAATCCATCATCACAGGCATTCTGAGACCGTTTTCAAGGGGAAAAACAAGGTGATAGGATGTGTTTCAAAGTGGATTTCCCTCAGTTCTAAGTATCAGACCAAAAAAGCGACATAGAGGGAATTCGAACTCTCTGTCAACAGGTGGAATTGTTATGGCCTTGTTTTTGAATAAGTATCTATCAGAATAGCTGAACAAGGGGGCTGACTTAGCAGGTTTACTCAAATGAGAAAAATAATTTACGTCAGATGACCTCCCACTGTTGAGCATTCAAAGCCGTCTTCATATACAGATGAAGAACGACTAGATTAAAGATCCTACAACTGCATGTTGTAGTTGCTGAAGGGGCTATCCTTAATAGCAGCACAATATCTTTACTAGTTTCTAACTTTTTCCAAGGCAGTATGCAGTTCGGCCTTGATTTCTTAGCGCATCGCGGCCACTCTTCTTCCGCCAGCTCAACTGGTACCCCTTCACCAATAGGAAGTCCGAACCTGCACGCTGCTAGTAGTAAACTCTTCTTTGGCAGTGATTCTTTAGCCGAGCATGTTTCGAAGATAGCTGAAAGTGTCAGAAAATCGCCAAGGACAGAGCATCAAGTAGCGACTTTTGGCATGCTACCCTTACCGCCAATGAGCGAACCGCCTATGCTTCCAAATGGAGGAGTGGGGTCTCAACTTGAGGTCGAACATCCGGGACTCCACAACCAACCTCTCACCATCTATCGTGGCACGTCTGAGGATTTCAATTGAGGCAACCTCGTCCGCTAAAGTAAGTATCTTCCGCAAGAACGTCCTTGGCTTCTTTTTCAAGGGGAAAAGGGCGCAGGGATGGTTTTTTTTTTTTTAGGGCTAGCTCTAATGCAATATGGGAGGAGCAGGCCACCCAGAGTCGCCTCATGGTTTAGATTCACGCTCTAGAGCCTCTTCAGAAGATCAGTCAACTTCAGGAGTCAGCGATGTCCTCGTCTTTATGATGCCACGACCCATTGAGAACCTAAGCTATAGGGGAATGAATTTCGTTCCACTTAATCTTATAGATAAAAGAAGTAGGTGGGCCCAAAGAAGGGACGGAACGACATTCCCCTATCTTCATCGATTAGATCATTCTCAAGGGGTTCCAAGTGGAAGCATTCATCGTCACAAATATGTGCTCATCCTCCTTCAAGAGAAGTGCAGCACAAGCACAAGACGATGCTGATGCTGACCTCATCGATGGAGCGTTGAAGCAGACGAAAAAATCTTTAGAACACCAGGAATTAGATGGACCTCAAGTTAAGGGTTGAAACATTTCATTTTTTTTACAGGTCTTCTCCACTTGAGATTGCTACTACATAAAAGTGAATTGCTTCAACCTTTAAGCAAGGAAGCGCTACTTCTACAACACCTACGTCAGGAGGTGGAACCACTGGAGGTGGAGCCACTATTAGTTCTTCTACCTCCACTCTATTAGCCCCACCGCCACCACCACCTCTGAAGAGTCATCATCCAAAACCTTTGGCACGTGTCTTCTACGGCGAAAGACAGCTATTCGAAGCTGCGGACGTTGAGAATCTTGTCGCCCACTATCGCGCTCTTGCCGGTGGTCGGGATCTCGTGGACTCTTGGCAGAACTTGGTGGATCACGTGGGCACCTCAAAGAACCACTTGCTGATGTTACACACGTTCGGCGAAGATGGACCAAAAGTGCTCCGGGAGACCGCACTGCATCACAATGTGGGAGACTGTAAAAGCTTCTTGGCAATCTAGTAGATTTAGGAGCATGTTGTAATAAAAGCGAGTTGCGGCTGGTGTTTGGTTGTTTGGTTGTCCATAAAAAGAAGAGTAGACCTCGTCTACGTCTTCAGTATCAAGCGTCAGGAGTAGTTTTGGGGGATTTCGTGACCTTTACCTGTTTTCTGCATTCTAAGATACAAGCAGATACATATTTATGAGGTTCAAAAAAATCTGCAGGCGACAACTTCTGATTCATGCACTACCATCTCATAATCATGCTTTCATCATTACCATGTTTGAAGTGAAATGAATGTGCTTACTAACAACTTGAAGAATTCTCAATCGTAATTGCTTTGATGTGATGAATATCTTAGAGTCCTTCTTCTTGTACAACATGAAAGTGAGACAACTTCTGCTACTTCTTGGCGGGACAGAAATATAAGGGATCGTTGTATGACATCTTTTGGCTTTCAACGAATTTTGCGGGATGATTTACCTGCTGTATATGTCAGCACCAGTGTACTACATGTACAATGATGTGCATGTGCATCGACGCCATCAAATGACCATGTGTCAAGAAAGCGGAGATTAGCAGAGGGAAACTGGACCAGCACCAAGAGACACGCAAGATCACTAGATGTATTTAGATTCGTGTTGAGAGAAAAAAAGGGAAAAACTACTATGCATGAAGACAAAGCGTACTAAAGTACTTAAATAGTTGATACCCAAAACTAGCAAGGAGAAAGAAAATCATGGATTTTTCTTGAAAGAAGTGTCGGCATCTTCAACAAACGGGTAATAAATACTAAAGCAGATTGTTCAGGTTGCTGTAGTAATCAGGAAACACAAAAAGCAAAAGATGGAAGACGACGAAGAAGAGGGCGGTCGCTCCCGTCAACAGAGGGGTTCCAGTAGGAGTCGTTCAGGATCAGGGAGTGGTAGTGAGCAGGGTGTCTACGGTGAAGACGGCAGTCGTCGTGCGTCCGCGCACGCGCAACATGTTCACGGGCGCGCATCGGCATCAGGATTTGCGATGGACGTCGGCGAGGGGCAATCTGATAGCAAGACCTCGGGGGTGAGTGGCTCAGAGAACAGCGTATACGGTGAAGGCAGCAGTGCTCACCGGCGTAGCTCTGCTCACGCACAACATGTTCACGGGCGTGGTTCAGGTTCGGGGTTCGCGATGGACGCCGGAGAGCGGCAATCTGATAGCAAGACGTCGGGGGTGAGTGGCTCAGAAAACAGCGTATACGGTGAAGGCAGCGGTGCTCACCGGCGTAGCTCTGCTCACGCACAACATGTTCACGGGCGTGGTTCAGGTTCGGGGTTCGCGATGGACGTCGGAGAGCGGCAATCTGATAGCAAGACCTCGGGGGTGAGTGGCTCAGAAAACAGCGTATACGGTGAAGGCAGCGGTGCTCACCGGCGTAGCTCTGCTCACGCAGAACATGTTCACGGGCGTGGTTCAGGTTCGGGGTTCGCGATGGACGTCGGGGAGCGGCAATCTGATAGCAAGACCTCGGGGGTGAGTGGCTCAGAAAACAGCGTATACGGTGAGGGCGGTGGCGCGCACCAGCGTGGCTCTGCCCACGCACAACATGTCCACGGGCGTGCATCGGGTTCCGGCTTCGCGATGGATGTCGGAGGGGGGCAATCTGATAGCAGATCTTCGGCAAGCGGCAGCAGCTCCGAAAAAAGCATGTACGGCGAAGGAGGTGGCGCTCACCGTCGGAGCTCTGCCCACGCACAACATGTTCACGGGCGGGCATCGGGTTCCGGCTTCGCGATGGACGTCGGAGAGGGGCAATCTGATAGCAAGGCCTCGGGGATGAGTGGCTCAGAAGACAGCATGTACGGCGAAGGAGGTGGCGCTCACCGTCGTAGCTCTGCCCACGCACATCACGTACACGGGCGTGCTTCAGGTTCTGGCCTCGCGATGGATGTCGGAGAGGGGCAATCTGATAGCAAGGCCTCGGGGATGAGTGGCTCAGAAGACAGCATGTACGGCGAAGGAGGTGGCGCTCACCGTCGTAGTTCGGCGCATGCGCATAATGTTCACGGGCGCGCATCGGGTTCCGGTTTTGCGATGGACTTGGAGCTAGAGGAGGAAGAGTTAGATTAAGGCTCTGGACAAAACACTCCATCAAGTATATGTATGTATATCCTAGTAGCAAAGAAATGAGATACACTACGGCTAAGGCGGCCACAACAAACTTGCTTTTAAGACGAAGTGAAACGCTAGGACTAGGAAGAGGAATTCTTCTAATCAAGAAGTGATCGGGAGACGAGCACTGGGCCATCAACCCGAAAATCTGGCGCAGCGACAAGAGTCTCTACGCGGGCAGCAGCAGCTGGCGACTCTCCTTCTGCACGTAATACTGGTCGGTCTTCAAAAAGGAACTCTGGCTCTCCCACGAGAACCTCTGGCTCTAGAACTTCTGCTGCAGCTAAGGACAACTCAACCTTTTCTCAAGAGGCAGAGGAATTCAGGGATGAGGACTTGGAGGATGATGGAGACTTAGAAGAAGCCATAGTAGATGAAACCGTTGCAGCTCAAGAACGACGTCGATCATCAGCGTCAGGCAACAGAGCAGGAACAGGTCTGTCACCGTCTAGTAGAGCTAGTGCTAGAGCTAGTGTTAGAGCTAGTGCTAGCGCTAGTGCTAGAGCAAGTATGGCAAACGCGAAGAATTCTTCTGCTCTCCTTGAGTCCTCTCCCAGTATTCAGCGAGCATCCACTTCTCCTAGTAACCGACGAATGACTGGAAACAGGAGAGCCTCTTCTCCTGGTAATCATGATGAGTCTATGCGAACATCGTCGCAAGCTATGCGGATCTCCTCTCCCAGCATACGATTAAGGCTCTCACGAATTCATCTTTGACTGCGTCTTTCTTGAAAAGTATGAAGGAGTCAGTGCCCACGTCGGGGAACTATTTCGTCTAAGTACTTATACTCTATTTTAAGGACGCGCTTGAAATTGAATTTCATCACGTGCAGAAATTAAATAGGCTTGAAAGATGAACCGCGGACAGTTCTAATACGAGAGTCTTCCTCGTCCGGTTCTGGTGCAGCGAGAGGATCTCTTCCCAGCTATATGCGCACTATTCGTACGATCCAAGGCGAGGACGAAGCCTTGGGCTTTGACCTCGATGGCGGTGACGAGAATGATGTGGCTATCGATGCTCTCGTAAATGGAACGCCGAGTCCGACTGGGGCGATGAGCAGGGGAAAAAATAGCATTCTTGTGGGGTCGTCAATGGCACAAGATAGAGGAAAATCTGTTTAGGGAGTTAATATTGTACTTGTACGTACTGATTGATTTTTTTATGTTATACTTTCCTGTCTACCGGTGATCGTCCAGATCCATAGGAAGATCGCGAGAGACTTCATCTTCCAATTTGATCATCTCACTCCCGCTGTGGCTCTCTCTTTTCCTCTCCCACTGCCTTTCCACTCCCACTGTCTTTCCACTCCCACTGTCTTTCCACTCCCACTTCCCGTCTAATTCCTCGCTTTTCGATCGTCTGTCGCTTCTACCCGTTCTACAATCGCACCAGAGCCACCGCGTCTTTCCAAACGACCTTCTGGCATTCCTGCTTTGAACCTTGCAGCTGAAGATAAGGAGTACAGATTAAGGGTAGTCTAAAGGCGTTCCTGTTGCCGTTTGTTTTACCTGTCCTAAGGGAGAAAGGCAGAACAAACGGGAAACAGAAATACCAAGACCCACCGTCTAAGCAAATTCCCGGTCTTTGCCTGGATTGAACTATTCGGTCTCGGACCTGCGCAGTATTACCAGATTCTGGTTGCCGCGGCTGCTTGGATGTGTGCAGGAACCGAGATTATCTGTGTGGTCGCGAGTACGAGGCCTATCGCGGAAGAGTGGAATCTTGGTGCGCATGGGCGGGGAGCGCTGATTGCGTCGATGTTTAGGGCGACTTTGTGACTGTGAAATTTCAAATCTCATGTTCTTGACGTTATTATTCGATGTTAGTTCAATCATGATCGTCAGGGAAATCTGAGGCAGACCACCGAATAGATTCACATCATCAAGCAGTTGAGTCATGATCATGAGTGTCTGTCTGTCGATGAGCACATGCTCCTCATCATCTAGAGTTTCGATTTTGAAGATTTCGGAAGAGTTTATTATTGTTGACTTTCATCTTCCTGGATGAAACACCATCCTTCAATCCGACACATCCTACTTGAATCCGACACCCGCCACATCCTTAAATCCGACACATCTTCTAATTGGTTCTTCGGTCTCTTGATCGGCAACATTGTTGGCGGCGTCGTAGCCGATAGACTCGGACGGATCGTGCCACTGCATGGCTCCTTCGGACTGTTGTTTCTCTTTTCCGCCATCAGTGCCATGTCAACATCGTACTACATGCTTCTTCCTTTGCGCCTCTTGGTCGGAGTCTGCGTTGGTTACGCACAGCCAGCTGCTCTCACGCATGTGCTGGAGATTGTCCCCACTGTTATGATGATAAAAATGATAAAAGCAGGATCATCTTCTGCCTTTTCTGGGTTTCTGTTCCTTGAGAGTAGATCCTCTTACTCTTTGATGCTGCTGGTCCTGCTCTTCCAGCAGTATTCTTATTGAAGATCATATGAAACGAAAATCTGTTATCATTATCAAGTTTCTTAAGTAGAAAAGTACGATAATGATAACAGATTTTGGCTTCATAGATCAACGACTACTTCTAGTTCTAGTACTTCTCGGGGTATACAACTTGAGCTGGACTGCTCCCCTACAGGCTCTAATTTCCATTTTCGCGCTCTAGTAATCCTTTCCCAAGGTGGTTTTGCTATTGGGGAGTTGCTTGCTGGTATAGCAGTCATGTGCGACGATATGGAGATGTTGGATTTGAACTGGCGCCTTCTAATGGCATGGACCTGTTTTCCAGCATTGGTGGGAGGAACTATGGGGTACTATTTTTGAATTCTTGTTGATGTTGACACTGAAGTCCAGCTCGGTCTAGTAAGGTAAAATCAGTTTCGGCGTTTTCATAGTCGTGAATGCTCGCCTCCTCGAGGCGAGCAAATTCCCATCCCATCCCAACTAAAGATATCTTGACTTCGAAAATAATCAATCAGTGACCAATTGCAACTCGCTTCAAAAGTGCCAAACATCGAGCACACAGATTTGCATGTGAGTTCCCTTAAAAGAAAAAATTCCAAGATATCTCCTCCTTCACGGGTCTCCAACAAAGCAAAAATTCCAAGGTATCTCCTCCTTCACGAATCTCCGCGTTGGTTGTCAGTGCAGACTCTGGATGAATCCTCGAGGAAAGCTGAGAAAGCTCTCAGCCATATCCGTCACGAAAATTTTCATACGTTGGGCATTCCCTACGAGCCTCTGTGCCATCTTTGTGGTGTGGATATGAAATACGTGCAGGACGGAAGGCGAGACAAATACTTGCGGTTGCAGACACCGTTGGGGAGGGAGAAAGTTATTCGAAAACTCAAAATAACCGAGTTACTGACTGAAATAAGGGAGGCAGCTTAACATCAAGGCTACCCTTCCTTCTCTACAGTATCTCGGTTATTCTCGTCTGTTACTCGCTTATTTTAGTTTTTCGAGTAGGAATATTTGATTTGTTTATATATTTGCTCTGCTCAGTTTATTCAATGTTGTCTTCGAACAAGATGGTGAAGCTTGGTTCTGATTCATCCTAAAGAACTGAAGATGTTCACTCGGAGCCAGGAGTTTTTCTCTGCTAGAGCTAGAAGACCCACTCGGGTGGTGCAAGAACTGCAAGCTCTAACACGGTTGCGGAATTCCGCGGCCAGCGTGGGCTAGTGGCTGTCTATCGCACAGAGTTCGTGACAGAGGAGGAGGTCGCAGTCGTGGACAGCGAAGATGATGAGGACACCCAAGATGATGAGGCTATGGATGACGATGCCTTGGAGAGGCAGGAAGAGGAAATGTTGGCTGCAATTGCGGGAAGCAGGGGAGCTGTTATGGCAAATTTGGCTGAGTTTTGATAAGATTCTTCACAACGACGAAGTGATCACGTTTTTGGATCGATGTCATCGTGGTTTTACCTTTGCTACTGAAGATTTTTCGTAGTACGTGCGTGGCTGCTGCAACCCCGTCTCTAACACCCGAAATTACAGTAGAAGCGGTGACCCAGATGAGCTCGCTTTGAACGAGGTGCGCGCTTCCTCAAGAGCGGAAAGACCGGGAAATAAAACGTCTACGAAAAAGACGTCCTCACGAGGACCCTCATCGCGTGGACCCTCGTCACGTTCGCCCTCTTCACACGGACGCTCGTCACGTGGAGCACCGGCGTTGTTCTACGATGATGGTACGATTCAACTGTCTACTAGTAACCGGCACCAAGAACTAGGAATAGGACGATGATAGACCACAAGTGTGATTATGATCTTTTCGATTTTGAGCCATGTTGAAATTGCATCGTGCTCGTCGTTGTGATTTAGACGACAACCTACACCTAAGTACATTCTCACAGGTGCCAGAAGCCGTCGATCAGCTAGTCCACTTTTAGAAAATGCTAGGAAAAGCAGAAGTAGTACTAGCACCACTTCTAGAGGCGCAGAAGGTGCTAGGAAGAGCAGTAGAAGTAGAAGTATAAGCCCTTCAAGTCCTTCACCCGGCGGCTATCTTAGTTAAGGCTACAAGAAATCCATCTTCGCAGGCATTTTGGTCCCCTTTTTGTAAGGGGAAAGGGCCCAGGATGCTACCGGAGAGGGTTTTCCCGTAGTAGTTCTAATTTAGAGCGGCTAGTCAGAAAAATGGAGAGAAAACGAAGGTATCACAAAGGCGGCAATCAGCTGCGAAGGGACCTGCCATGATGGCTAGAGGAGATCGGGTATCGAGGAAATCGGCTGTAGCTGGAGGTGTTAGAGGCGACTCTGCAACTACCAGACCATCAGGTGGATTAGTTCATCTAGGTAGCACAAGTACTCGCCTGTCTGCTTTGAACCTCAACAGCAACAAAAACTCCGTGATGTTGAAGGGTGAGGGTGAAAGCGTAGGAATCATGGTCTACGACAGTTACGAGGATATGAAAGAGAACCGATCGCCTGTGGAGAAACACAAACACGCGTTGGAAATTCGAGAGAAACTTATGGCTATTTTTGTCTAGCTACATGGAGTACATATCATTACAACATCATCAAAAGAGTACACCCACAGGAATTATACCTATTTCTAGTTCGGGAGGAGGAGCATCACCTTTATCAACTACCACTCCAACCGCACCCACCTCTAACAAGCAACAAAAATTCCTCGATGCAACTTTTCCTCACCTGTGGTGGTGGGGTCCGGTTGAGGTGGATATCAAAGTCTACAAGCCTCGAGAGGAGCTCTTCTACTACCACGAGCAGCTGTCGTTCCGCAGTAACACGGATATCCTCGACTTGCCATCACACCTACCCTGGGAGAAAGGTCTCGGATGCAACAGCATAATGTGCTCCACGCGATACACCAAACAAACGCTGTTTTTGACCTTTTTATGGTGAAGACAGGACTAGCAATAGCACTATGAATACGAAGACTCGATCTTATCTAGTGGACGGTAACGACGTGTTGAACTTCTACTTCTATTGCTTGTCCTCTTTCTTTTCCTAGTTAGATTGGCTTCACCCATTTTATTGCTTGTCCTCTTTCTGATGATGAAGATGATGTAAGTAGTTTTTGATCAGTTTCACGAAGGAATGATATTATTGTTCTCTGTAGTTATTTTTTCCTCTAACCTCCGCCGCTTTCGTAATGAATTTCGGGTTTTACGGTTTTATGTACGGCGCCCCCCAGAACATGGCTGATGTGCAGAAAGCCCTTTGTTATGTACCTGGAGCAACGTGAATACTAAGAAGGAGAAACTTCCCAGAATCTTCCCAGGATCTTCCTGCTTGAGCCTTCCAAAAGCTGGCGCAAAATGGCTTCGTAATCTTTCCAGAAACTTACCCCAAACACGACTAGGGAACTTTCTGGAAACTTCCCAGAATCTTCTCAGAATCTTCCCAGAAACTTCCGAGAAGTCACGAAAGTGGCGAAGTTTCTGCGAAGCTGCATGTTTCTAACTTTGGGCACGACCCGCTTGGGCCCTTCTCCTAGGCGCAACCATCGACTTGACCGGTTGTCTAGCTGGAACGATCTTCGTATCGCGTGTATCTTAAGGCTAGTCAGTGTCAGTGGTCACTATCTCTCTGATATGGACTATGCTCCTGAGTAGGCAGTGGCCGTCACTATCTTTCTGATTTGGACTAAATTATGCATGTCACGTGCTCCTGAGTAAGTGCTGAAGTCACGGGATAGTGATCGACTGGCGTTAAGTATCGCGGAAGTTTGGACTGTTTTTGTACTTTGCGTTGGTAGCTGTTGGTCTGATACTGTTTCTTGGAGGGTTATCCTTTGCGCCAGCAAGTCCCTACAAGGTCTTGGAGGGTGTGCAAACCGCCGCATCCAGCACCCCGACAGGCGTGTCACTGCTGCAAGGAGGGCTGCTGGATCACGATCAAAAGAGTCTTCAACTGCAAGAAGCACAACAAAAGTCTCTATCTTCAGAACAAATTGCAGAGGATCTGCAAGTACAGTTACAGAAAATTCAACAGCAGGATCCTGAACATCTGGATGAAGGCCAACAGCATGATCCTGAACATGATCTGGAAGAGCACCACGACCATGAGGAGCAAGACGATGCTTCTACCTTTCTTGGAGTAGTGAACAAAGATCTAGCTGACATCAGCACTGTTGCTACGGACTTCTTCAGCTTTGGAGACCAGTTGGGTGACCACGACGAGCAGCAGAGCACCGATCACGGACCGATCTTTCTACAGGAAGGAAAGCAAGCTAGAAGTACAGCAGCTTCTACTTCTAGAAGTGAGCAAAATTATAACCAAGGGAAGACGTGGCTGGAACAGAAGTTTTCCGCAGCTGTGCCTTCGAACGTCTGGACTAATACTCAACCGAACATGGCCGTGCCTCGCAGAGGCGTCTTTTACTTCTTACAAGAAGCAGGAAGTAGAAAACGACGAGGACAGAACGGACCACAAAGTCCTCAAAGTACGTCCAGTTCTTCTGTTGATCATCTCCTCCTCTCCAATTTGCTGAAGTCGTCGTCCTCTCCGGAAGCAGCGCTAGAGCTAACAACTCCAGTGTCTCTACTGATGTCTCGGACTACAAGCGGTGCGCTTGCGAATCCCTTCTATGCGAACACGATTTTTGCCGATGATCGCGGAGTTTCTACTAGTTCGTCTAGCAGCAGTCGGGCTAAACTTAAGACTTCCGGAAGTCCATGTTCAGAACCATCTTGGACCTCCCGTGTAAGGGGGAAGTGGGTCCAAGACTTGACTTTTAGAATGGAAGATTCCACCCGGAAGGTCTAATATTTGACGCATATTTGCTCCTTCTGGCGAAAGCCATCAACGTAGGAACAAGCGCAGAACACTAGCTGCTGGAGTCACAGGAGTAGGACCCTCTACCTCTACGTCCGAAGATGATCTAGTAGATGACAAAGAACTAGATAGCCACCGGTTGCACCAGAAGAAGCGAATAACGTCTAAACTTCAACATCGGAAGATGAAGAGAATACGTAATAAGAACTACGCAGCAAGCGATGCCGTCTGGGACAACGATACGGTCAACAGGGTCATGATTCTGCAGAGTGAGCAAGCGAAGGACGCGAATTTTCGAGCAACATTTAAGGCTCCCCCTAAAAATCCATCTTGATCAGATGGATCTTCGAAAGCATTATTTTACTTGAGAAGACCGATGTTTTCAGCCTCAGGGGGGAGTCCAATGAATTTTTAGGGGTCTCAAGAAGATAATCTTCAAGATGAATTTCAATTTGTATTTTTTGGGTGTCCTCAACACTCTAATGCATGGTACGGCAAATTGTACTACACCTTCTTCAAAGACGAAGTCACACCGAAAATCGAGAATTTGATGTCTAGAGGATTGCGTGTCGAGACAGAGGATGAATTTGCGGACGCCGTAGATGGAGAAGCAGAGTTGAATAGTAGAAAGACGAAAGCAGAACTATACAGCAACGATGATGATGAAGGAGAACAAGGAGAACAAAGTGCAAGCGGAAAAACATCTACATCAACGTCGGTAGAAAAACTTAGCTCGTCATCATCATCTTCTGCCTCGTCCTCGTCATCTTCCTCATCCGCTTCTGCTTCCTCAGAACTGAAGCATCTACTGTCCCAACGGGAACATCATGTAGAACAGCATAACTCACATTCCGCGTCCCTCTTCGGCGTTTCGCGACAGACAGCACCTGCTGCTGTGGATGTTGAGTCGCGACCCTACCACATGGAATGGATCTTGCAAATGGGCTTTCTGATCACAAAATTCGCAGTGCATCTAGGCTTTTCGACTCTGTACCTGTGGATTCCAGAGTTGTATCTTATGGATGCCTACAATGAGAGTCTAAGTTAATACCACATCCGTTTTTTAGCAAGGAAGGCTTAAGCCTGCATCTCTAAATCCGCAACAGAGGTGCGTGCCCAGGGGCTCTCTTTGTCTATGGCAGTAGGGAGGATCGGCGCGATCCTGGCACCCCTTGCCTACGAAATCTGCGCAGGATTTAGTCCTCTGTATTCATTGTTATACCATTTATTTGAACGTCATGGTCTTGGTCTGAGTCTGACATTGTTATCAAAAAGATGAAGATTAAGATTTGAACCGATAGTACAGAAGTATTCCTCCAAATATAGCTTGATTGTCACTAGTATATTAACTTCATGTAGTCTCTTAGATGACTCTTACTCTTTTTTCTTCCTTAAATCTGCGCACCAGGTTCTTCTACATGCTGATTTTCATCCTGTATCTTGCCGTGGTCGCCTTAGTTGTGTTTGTCTCTCTTAAGGAGACCTCCGGAACTACCATCTATGAAGCGGACTCTGACTGCGAATTGGATAAGCCGATACGAGCGGCTATCTCCTGGTACGAATTCATCGACCCGGACGTCGAAGGCAGGAAAAGAAAAGCAGAACGCGAAGGCCGCACTTACAATAGGCAAAAAGCAGTCGAGTATGCTGCAACTGGATGTATCAAGGCAACTGTACCCTTATGGCTGCAATGTTGGCATTTACAGTATTCACAACACTCGTAGTGGTCCCAGAACTCGATTCTTTCAACCAAGAATAATAATTGTTCAACTGTCCTAGTACTTATAGTAAATGCAGCATAGAACAAGTAGTAGATGTGAAGGGTTTCATCGGTATTTGGTAACCTGAACTTGATCACAGAGATTCTCTTCTTGTTTTCCCTTGTGATCAAATTCAGGCTACCGAAAACCAAAAAAATACAAGATGAGAAGTTCTTGTGCCGCTAACCGAAGCCGATTCCGATCGCCCTCCACGTGTTGGCAGAGAGGGATCAGCGTTGATGGATGAAATGAACGCGCATTTGGAGGATACATTGGCTGAAAAAGAAGAGGAAATCGCAAAACTGAAGAGGAAGAGTATGACCCTGGAATGAATCAACGTGAATGTGAAACTGAATAACTAGTACATGATACTTTCGTCGACAGACCGAGCGCAGTGTAGTGGAAAAACCAAGACCACCACTTTTCTCTAAAAAGAGCAGCAAGCTGAAAGACCGTCTCAGTGCCGTGAAGGAGATGGAACACGATCGACGCCGGATGAATATCATTTAAGCAGAGGCAGTTTCTTTTTTTCCAGTACAGAGGAAAATAGATGTTTCATCAAGATATCCAATCCAAGAAGAATTTCAGGATACGTCTGTGCCTATTTACTTGGGAGCAGGAGTGGTGGGTCTAGGGTTCTTTTATTTAGGAATCATATTCAAAAAATGAAAGAAAATCTTGTTTTCTAACTCTCGGTAGACGAACACCAGGGAGAAGTAATCGACGTACACGAGGTGTTTGCTGATGATGATCCCGCTCGGGCACGTGGGTTGGATGAATACAGAGTCAAGAAAAATGAGGTGCATATTGGGGCTACCAGAACCAGTGGACATCTTCAAGTTATGGATCATTTTGAAAAGAACAATGTTGCATTTGCAAAAGTGGATCAGGTCAAATAGGATAGAATTGCAAAGAGATGATAGGCCTGGATAAGCAGCACATTAACATTACTTCTGTCGTCCACCTCCTGCTTTAACCCCTCTGCCGGTGCCGACGATGACGCAGCCGATACCAGCAAGATTCCGCCACCAGCACCGCGCGACGTAGGTGGGCTTGATGGCGAATTGAGGGTGTTCCTAGAAAGTCAGAGTCCAATCGAGTTGACTCCTAGAACGGGACCAGCAGGCGAGGAAGGCAACAACTATGGCTACAAGAAGTAATCCATCTTCGTTGTCCCCAGCATCGATCCATGTTGGTCCAGTTTTCAAAGGGAAAAGTGAGCCCCGTCTTCAAAGGGAAAAGTCGATCTTGTTCCTGTTTTGTTTCAAAGGAAAATACATGGGGGCCCAAGATGTTGCTGAAGTAGATGGATTCTCCTATACTTCTAAAGCAACGAGAGCCTAGGTCTCTCCTGGTTGCAGAAGAAAGTAGCGAGAGAAGAAGATAAAAAGAAACAGCGGATTTTGTTATGGGATTCAACATCAGGGAGGTTGGCGTAAGTACATTGAAGATGTTGGAATTTTTTACTAAGAAAGTGAGTATAATAAGCAGCTTGATCTTGAATAGTTCTTCAGGAATAGACTTCCCCAGCACAACTAGAGTGATACCAGACTAGAGCTCCCTGCCGGTCCTAACTAGCTGGATATCCTCTCCACCCTCTAATGCTAGACAACGTCAAGCGAAAGAGTGCAGAGAACCAACTGGAAGCAGCCTTGAGTAGCCCAGAAGGTATGGGTGCGGGACTCGCGCAGCTTCTTGCTGGAGTTTTATGGTCAAGAACAACTCTTAGTGTAGTTCATCTGTACCCGCAGGTCTTAACAATATACACATAGAGATAGAATCAGAATAGATAGTATAAGGGCAAGATTAATGGTGCTAGAGATACCAACCAAGACTTTCTATTGCTCGCATATGACCCATATTACCCACTCTAAAAATTGGAGGGGAAGAGGGTGTGAGGGAGCTGCTGGAATCGCGACAATCCGAGATGCTAGCCAAGGGCGGCACTGAGAAATCATCACCATCGGGGTCACCGTGAGCAGAGGAGATGCTTGCGTTTGCGAGGGGGTTTGTTCGGAGAGTTAGCTGGAAAGCGAGTCAACACATCATCTACACCTCCTAAATCTAGATGGAACTAGAACTAAATATTCATGATGATCTATCATCAAGAACGTGATACAACTCTTGTTATTCACCATGGAAAATCACAAAGATTTTCATCAGCGAGCATGGAATGTTTCATTGTGTGAGTATCTATCTATCGGAAAAAGATTACATCAGACGGCTCGATAGAAAAACAATCATTTTGCCGAAAAACTAGCACTACCAGAGTACAACGAGCAGCATCATTAACTTCAACAACTAGTACAACTCGGAAAAAATATAATGACTACAAGAGCAACAGCAAGCACAACAATCAGAAAAGCTAAAACATCTACGACACCTAAGAGTAAGTGGACATCAGGAACTAAAATAAGAAGTGAAGAACAGGACAGGAAGTATTGACACTACCTAGTACCTCATCGCTTCATCAATTTAGTTGAAGATTACTTGAGGAGCGCACAAAGAAGGGAATTACGAAGTACAAGTACTCCAAGAGTCATAGTTGTATCCGAGAAAATGAACTCATACAGCTCCTTCATTTGTACAGCACGATTAGATTACCCATAGAAAATGAATGCATCTGTACACCCGCTACCAGAGACATTCGTGGTGGTCTACCACATCAATTGTTTCGCAATAAATTTTTGAAGACGGCTTCAGATTCACCTAGTTTCATCCGAAATGCTTATCACATCCTTTCAACATAATCCTAGAAAAACGTCGCTTGAGACGTCAGTAAAAATTAATATGAGTTTCATCCATAGACAGCTTCAAGTTCAACTATTTTTTTCTCGATGTACCAAATTACAGTATTAATTTCAAGATTCGTCCAGTAAAAATGACAAGTCAATTCTTTCATTTAGTTGATGCTGACTAATCTCTTCTCGCGAGTAGAATTCAAGGAATTAAAAAATGCTCGATGTTGGAGATCGAACGAAGACACCGCAAGTCTATCTGAAGGACGTACATTTAGTCCATTTGCGCTGCTTGGACACTGCAAAAAAATCGGTGCTTGCTAAACACTCGCCTTGGTGGTACAACGCCAGACACTGCAAAAAAATTAAGTGTCTGGCGTTGTACCACCAAGGCGGAGTGAGCAAGACGAGAGCAGAAAATGTAAAGAGCGCTTGTTGACTTAGCGGTTTGCAGCTCGACGTCCTTTTACTAGTACTAAGAGTTCCTGTAAGAGTAAGAGATGCATAGAATTTTTCACCCTTCTATCAAAATCAACTCAGAAATACGATAGAACATCCTTGATTCAACATCTCGAAGAACAATACTTGGGAGAAAGAGTACTTAGTTATACCCAAGTCGTGTAAAAAATACCGAAGTATTTTCACGTCTAACAAACCGTTTCACGTTAAAAAGCCCATGTCATCTCCGGAAGAGGTCGAAGCTATGAAGCGTCGTCTCAAGGACTTAATCGAGGTAGAGAGGGCGAACAATCCTGGCCTCGAACAGAATGAGCTTGCCGCACGCGCACTGAAGCGGTTACAAGCTGAAAAAGTTGGTGGAGGGGGATCGCCGAAGTTAAGATTAGTTCCTCCTGTAAACGTAGTAGTATGACATGAGTTGCTCCCTCTGCTGGTCTAGTACGTCTACATCCTTCGGTGGTCTGTGCTCATGTTCGTTACGTGGGTGCAAATTCTGTCGCAGGTTTTCTCATCCTCATCTAACAAAAGCATCTTCGGCCTCCCCCGTTGGCGCCAACCTCGCTGGTACTTCCACGTTTGACCCTCCAGAACGCAACAGTGCTTCCGATGAGATGCGGCGCAAGCGACTGGAGATGCTGGAGTCGAAAGGCAAGGACAAAGCGCAACATCTAGCAGCAACTAAAGTAGAACCAGGTATTAAGGCTTGGCACAGTAATTCATCATCATCTTAAGAAGCATCTTACTTGTTTGACTCCTTACCTTTTCTAAGGGAAAGAAAACGCGTCAAAGCTTCTCTTTCTTTTCAAGATGAACACAAGTTAGTAACTGTATTGCTTTTCAAGATGAACACAAGTAGTTAGTAAGTAAGTGTATTTGTAAGGTCTTCTAATGGTATGTTCAAAAAACGAGATTGGGAGAAAGGTACACGTGAGGTTGGAGACGTAGGAGGGAGACAGACGAGTGGCGATGGAGGACCAAAGAATATTGAGGAGACATTGAAGAAGGTGAGACCTAGCACATGTTCGTTGTATTGGTTGTTCATGATGTTTTCAGGACAAAAAAATCCTCGGTTAATCGTCATCGTTAGTACAGGAAAGTAGTTCCTCATCCTACACGCTTCAGGTCGTGTTGTCGACGTGGTCCACATTCATCACTCAGTTTTCCACTACAACTATTTCTTTGAGCTAAGTAATCGTAAACCTGCTTCTGATTTTGTTTTTTACTAGTACCACCTCGACCTCGAAGAGTATTTAGATTTCCAGCATGTCGTTTCGCAATATAATCTCCTCAGCTTGCCGCAGACGCCGACGTCGATATGGGAGGTGCTGAGCGGCGTTCCGTCTTGCGTGACGGCGTTCTTGTGACGGAAAGAGTGGGCGGAAGTCCAGTGAATTCGCCAATTAGTGATAAGGACGTCGCGAACAAGATGAATGTGGAGAAAGCAGCAAATGGCGGACACCAAGAAGATGCTGTGATGAACGACGCAAGTACCACTGGAATTAAATTAGACGACGCAGCAAAGAAAACCGTTACTGCAGAAGGAGAACAAAGAGTACAGACCAAGCCAGAACAAGAAGAAGTAGGTGTAGACGCTGCCTTAAATGCAGCTGCTGACGCTGCGCAGGAACAGCGAACTAGCCAAGCAGCTGCGATGCTAGCTGCTATGCTCAAAGCGGCGAGTGGAGGATCAACAGCTAATGGTGGAGATGACCTGCAGAAAAGTATTCTTGGTTTCGATCGACCTACAGTGCATGTGGCGCCAGATTTACTAGAGGATCTGTGTCGACGGCTTCGCGATCCGTCAGGTAGTGACCGGCCAAGCGACAAATACGTGGGGGATATGTTGCTTGTTATGGTGACAGATCTTTTTACCCCGCCTCTTCTCAAGTCCTAACAAGTATGAGCAACTACATCTTCTAGCTTTTTCTACGTCCGACTATTTTTACACCAATCCACAGCTGCTCTAATCACCGCGCCGCTTTCCGGATCCGCGAACTAGAGGTTGCCAAACGGTCTCTGGAAAGTGCTCTCGCCACTTCGGAAGCCATGGGGAATCACAATAAGCAGATTTTGTCTGCGGTCGATTACATCATCAGTAAAGCGTACGGTATTGACCGCACGCCGATTGAAGAGGGGGAGGAAGGTGCTGGGAGAAGCACTAGCTCTGGCGCCTTTGGCGGAGGGTCAGATGAGCGCAAAAGCTATCTAGTGAAGCGTGGTGACAGCACGCATCCGGCAAACCACAGTGCTATTAAGGCAACTAAGGGAGTATGTGCAGCATTATCCCCGGCCTATTTTTTGGGCAGACTCAGACATCGAGTGTAGCTCTAATATTATTGGAGACACCTACACTTTGGGGAGTGGAACCGGTGCAGCCTCGACCGGAGGAGGCGTCAGGAATGTTCATACTTATGGCACCGGGAAGTTGCAAGTGCAAGTGCTGCCTGTAGTAGTAAGAAGTTAGTACTTGAGTACAAAACTAGGCAAAAGCATACCATGCAAGTAGCAGCCTGGCTTCTCTAACATCCACTAGCAGGCGGAGCGACAAGTGGAACAACAGGTGCACCGACAGGTGGAGGTCCCACGACACCTGCAAGTTCTGGCGGTGCCAACATTGTGTGGCTGAACAATGCGGGAGGACCTTATGAGCTTGCTGGTTAGAATAGATCCAGTGTCCAGTCTGCTCTGAACTTTGTGCGAGAAGATAGACTGTATTGCATAGTACTACAACGCAGTGCTGTCCTACTTGTCATTCCTTTGCCGGTTAGAATGGAGATGAATGCGTCGCCTATGTCAACTCTTGCTCTGCTTGTTCTCGATCTAGTGATACTTCTAACAATTCGGAGGCAACGCCTCGTCATCGAGCGGAGGAGGTGGGCCTTCATCCGGCAGTCCTACTTCAGGCCACACGCTGACAAGTGGTGCCACGAAGGAGGATATGGAAAAACAAAAGCAAGCTCGTTTAGAACGTCTAGAGAAACAGCAAGCAGAAGCAAAAAAGGCCAGGGAAGAAGCGGAGAGGCGTGCAAAGGCCAGAGAAGCATTTGGCGGAGGTCGCTGATTTTAGTATGCTGATTTTAGTATGCTCAGGAAGGGGAAGTTGTAGATAGTACGATTAAGGCTCAACTTTCAATGGTCATTGGGGTTGGTCACTGAGATCGAAGAGGCGACCCCTTGAGAGAACAGGGGAAAATGAAGGGAAAGGGGGAGAGCTTTGAAGGGGATCTCTTCCTTTCAGAGTCGGTGACCAATGAATGCTGAGCTTTCACACAAGTAGTAGTTTACTGCGATCATTTTTTCAGGATCGATTTCTTGTTCCTGAAGAAAATGGGCTTCATTCTGGAGATGGAGATTGTTCTCGTCGTGTAAATTAGTTCTTGGGCAACTAGATACAACACTAGTAGATTTTTGATGAGAAAGAGAAGAAATAGTACAGTCGTGTGCAGTGTGATGAATGTGATAGACCACGATGCTGGAGGGATGGACAACACGAATTCTTGAATGATTGAAGAGAATAGAGAAGGCATCGATAAATTAGAATTAGTTAATTCTTGTAGCTCCAGATTTGCTCCAAGATGAGGACATCTTTGTTCACTCAGGATTATCTGACAGAGCACACAAGTAGAGGTAGCGCAGATGCAGATTAGCATCCTCCGTACCTTTATATTTTCATCGTGAGCACCGCCGGCGTATTGCGCTTACGCAGATTAGCATCCTCTAATCTTTACATGACTCGAAGATGGTCTTCGGAATCAATGGAATTTTGCAGCATTGTTCTGTTCTCCTTTGTACGAGAGCGACCGTGAGCCCTCGACTCAATGCCAAAAGCAGAAGTATCAGAGTCAGTGGTTTCGTCACTCGTTTTCCAATGAACTGGTAACCTGTTGCTTGCTTAATTAGGCTTCCCATTCGATGTTGGATACCAAAATTACAACGTCGCGCATCGTCAAGTTGAAGAATTTTTATGGAGTGGAAAAGCGTGTTGGTGTTCGTGTCGAGCAAGGGAACAACAAAAAATGTCGATGCTCTCTGCAAAATCCACCTCCACTTCCGCGTCGTCCTCCACTGCTTCCTACCTGGCACGACCCAAGGCACCACCGCGAGCAGGAGGCACCAGCGGCTCCAGTTCTTCCTCTTCGTCCAGCTCGTCATCCTATAGGACGTTGCGCATTCCTACCCCGAAGCAAGTTTATGCTATGGATGCACAAGAACTACGAAAGAGCATTCGCGGCACCTCAGAACGCGGCATTACGCATAAGTTAGGGCCTACCCTAATACATCTTCCGAAGCATCTCGAAGAGGCTTTTCAAGGGCAAAAGGGGACCAGGATGCTTCTCGAGATGGAATAGGGTTAGCTTTAAATAAGGAATTGTGGGACGCATATTTGTATCGTTGCAGCTTTCTCAGGTCAGATTTTTCGCCTGGGGATCTAGCTGGGTTGTTTGATGCATTTGGAAGGGGTGGGAGGCATGTGCTGGGTGTGAAAGCTGGGAAAACGAAGAAGAAGGAAGGAGGAAGGACAGGACCAGGGAGTGGTTATGGTTTGGTTTGTGCTTGTGCTTGTGATTTTACAGCAAGTTAAAGACTACTGGTGAATCATGGCAGGTTTTGTAGAAAGGTCTTACTCACATGATAGTATCATCGCCTTGTCGATCGCCCTAATCTGCTAATTCTCTCGCAGCAGGAGCAGGTCGCAAGCGCTCTTCCCTGATCCAAGACTCAGAAGACCACACCAGTGCTCCATCAAAGTTTATTTTGTCATCTGAGCAACGACAACAAGGACACGACCATGAAACTTCTCGTCCTGATCAACTACCTGCCTCATCATCAACAGGTGATCCCCAAATACCTCAGCATGAGTTCCTTTCCTACATGCTAGAGGAAGTACAACGACAGGCAAGTCGTTTCCGGGTTTCTGACGTTGTCCTCCTGTTGAATTCTCTGCCGAAACTAGGAGTGGCGCCCAATGCTCAAGTCCTAGACGCATTGTGCTCTACAATTGTAAGGCGATGTAATGACAAAACGCACATCAAGGACCTGGCTCTCTTAGGGAACGCGATTTTGAGAATTGATATGGCGAATGCTCCAGAAGCTGGGGTCGTTGTCGAGGCGGAGGAAGCCAATCCACACTCACTACAGTCGCTAGGCGAATCCTGTAAGCCACAAGCCGACGCAGACGTTGATGCACGAACAAAGTATGTTGGCGCCAATGAAGGTCACGGAGCTAGAGAAACATCCTCGTGCTCTTCTCTGCTAGACTCGGAAGATCCTACCGGATCAGAAGATGAATCCAAGAACAGTCTCACCTTACCACAGCTTCAGCAACTCTGCTTTGATCGCATTGCAAATTCTCTGTCTAGTGATCGGCTTAATGTATTGTCCGACCCTCAGTCGCTTTCTATGCTGGTCCATGGATTCTGCTTGGCGTCTGAGAAGCTGCGGTCTGGAGATGGAAGTGGTGTGATCATGCATAATTATGAATGGATTTGCCTGAGTAATCTTCATCATGTTTCGTCCCGGACAACACGGCATGGTCGTAGAGCCGCGGACCTTCAACCTCAACCTCTTCATCGATCTTGACTTCTAGCGTGCCTTGACACCCTTGGTTATGTTCATGATTCACAAAGATCATGATCATGATGTTCTTCTGAGAACGTCAGCTATCACAGCAGTACAATAATTTAGATGCAAGAACAAGTAAAACTAAAATGCCATTCACTCCATGATAAGGAGATATAATGTACCTGACTTTTCACACTTTCATTTCCGAAGCATCATTGTATCACTGCTTGACCGATGCGCAGTGACAATGAGGGAGTGGCGCGGCTCAGATATCGTGCTCCTGGTACAGGCTTTGAGACTACTGAAGAGTAATCACCATCAACAACCTCACGTATTTGAGGATAGTACCAACGAAAATCACACCAGTGCCACCAGCACCGTCGTAGGAGACCTCATCCCAGCTCCCCTCTTCATCCGAGGAGAGAAGCAGCTCTGGCTGTATCTTTTCGAAGTGTCCGCGCCAGACTGTGTGAAGTTACTGGAAAGTGAGAAGTTGATGCCTTGGACTGAACGGTTCCGACGAAAGCTGCACTCGGAGATGACCTATAGGGTTAGGGAATTTTTACCTAGGAATTGTTTACGTGTTGTGGAAATCGTAGAGAAGCAGAGACGGGAAGAAATTGGATCAGCTGGAGGAAATGCTTCAGACACTGCTGGAGCTAATATAGGACGAGCATCTCCATCAAATAATGCTCTCAAATTAAGGGTAGGTTAAAGGTGCTTTTGTTACCGTTTGTTATGGCTCTCCTAAGGGGGACGGCCATAGCAAAGGGGATAAACGAACACCAAAAACCTACCTCTAATCAAACAAACGAGTCAGCTGAATATGCAGATAACATTTCTACGTCAGTTGGCAGCGTCACCGAAGTTGAACGACGTGGCGCATCGTTTTCGCAACGAGCACATCTTGACTTTGGCGAGGCTCTGCTCAGATCAAAATTGGGGTAAGGAATTAGAGGACAGAAAACGAATATTAGTCGAAGGAGGTGCTACTTCTATGCTGGCGAGTGCCGGGAAAAGCGCAGCCACAAAAAGGCAAAAGCATAAAGCCAAAAAAGACAAAGTGCACCCCACGGTTAGTTCGGGCGCTGGCCAGGAAGATGAAGACCACCACCACGAACAACAGCGTGACGAATTATTGCTACTCCTCGAAGCTCGCCTCCTTGCTGGAAAGACAGCAGTGGTTGCAAATCTACCTTGCCTGCGAGCCGAAAGTTTTCAAGCTCAAGTCCAACTAGTACAACAGGAGTCCTCTATGTCCACCTCCAACTCCATATCAACAAGCAAAATAAATGAGAATCATTCGAATTCCTTCACTCGCGCTCTCCATCTTCTTGCCCAACTTGGTATTCGGGATCGGCGCATTCTCTCCCGCTTGATGCTCCATTCCATGAAGCTGTCGAGTGTTCCGACACCCCTTTTGGTGCAAGTAACCGAGGATTTGGCGGACCTACGGTTGGGCGACTTGGTTGTGGACATGGCCTTAGTGGAGGAGGTGATGGGAAGGTTTGAGAACGAAGATGCCGAACAGGAAGTCGTGGAGGAAGCTGCTCTCAACATGTTGAGAAGACTCCGAACAGCCTTCGCCGTTTTCCACCTGGCATGTCCGCAGACTGCGGTTGTGGATGTGCGTCGTGCACAAAGGTTGTTCCAGCGGCATTGCCCTAAGGATGAAGACTTGATGTGGAAGGCAGTGTTAACTTCTGCGTCCATGTTGCCAGAAGGAAAGGAAGAAGAGGGGAATAAACTATATACTGGTGAATGTACTATTCCTGACACTCAATCACCTGTCGTGGCTCTAGCTCAGGACTGCTCAATCCCAGAGACTGCTTTCAACCTCTCTGTGCGCTCATGCCTGATCCAGAATTATGGCAAAGCTGTGCTTCGGAAATCAAGTGTTTTGTTTCCTATGGCTGTGAATATCGAAGGAATAGCTTCTGGAGGTTCAGGACCGCAAAATCAAGACCACATGGAGGACCAGACTCGTGCAAACGCATGCTTCGCATCTACAAAAGCTACCACGACTGGCATAAATCCTCTAAAGGAAGCTGCAACACCCGAACAACATGACCTCCTTCCAGCAAATCCCTCTTCCGATGTCGGTATCAGTCTCTTCCGCAAAAACGATTTCTTCTTCGGGACGACGATGCCTAAAGGCTACAAGCTTGCGGAATTATGTGCTGCGCGTATCCTGGGGTGGCAAGTTGCGACATTGTGTGAAAGGGATTGGAATTATCTGCTCCTGCGCGAGAATGAAACAGGCACAGGTCAACAAGGCTCGAGTTCCTGTAAAAATGTGGAATATTTTTTGTCGAGGTTATCGAGGTTATCTTTGGAAGACCACGATGGGCAAGGAGAGGAACGGGAAGTAAAAGATAAAGAAGCCGTGACCGATTCTGGTGGAGAACTGGTTGATGTAAAGTAGGGAGGTACTGCTCCTCCATGAGTAGATGAGTATGATAGAGCTTTGCTGCGACAGCGCGCATCAAGGGTTTACTACCGTAGGACGCGAAGATGCGGTTTTTACAGATTGTGACTCCCCGTGGCCATTTCACTCAGGCTTTTTTGCTTGTGTGACTAAGAGTGGAATTCCCGGGCGCCTACGAACAACAGGCTGTGAAAGGATGAGAGGGAGAGAGAGAGTGAGTGTTCAACCTATCGGAAAATAAGATTGATAAGTGCAACGAAAAAGACAAAATTGCAAACTGCACCAGCAGGAGAAAAGTAAGGCTTCAACTTCTAGAAAGAAGAAAGCCTCTCCTTTTACTTTATCGCTTGAACCTGAAGTTTGAAACTAAATTTCAAAGTTATCACAAAAATGCCTCCGCTACCGCCCATCGAGGCTGTTGCCAGCATTGGCATTGGCCTGGTCGGCACAGTCTTCTTCCTCGTGTTTGGTCGCATAGTAAACGATAAACTGTCTGGAACTGGAACTGCGACTAGCACCGGCGGAGGATCTACTACAGATTCACAGGCTGCAGATGAGTCGACAGGTGGCCCATCTCGAAAACTCCCAACCTCCGGTATCGAGGAAATGGCTTTCCGAGAAGAGCACTATATCGATCCGGACGATCAAGCGAGGTTGATGGCAAAGCTCCGCAAAGTTCAATCCGGAGAATTGTCGAAGGAGGATTTGACGGAAGAAGATTTAAGAGTTCTTGTTTTAGCTTTATAAATATGAATCCTAAGTCACTGTGACTGTGACTGTCTTGTCTGTGACTGAATTTGATTTGAGTAATAAATTCACTCGACGGAGGACGAGAATTGTTCATTCCTAAAAATCGCCTCCAGGTGTAGAAGTACCAACTACATCAAGTGATCATCTGTCCTTTTGCTTCTAAAATTCGAAGCCTTGATAAAACGAGAAATCGCTAGACTGGAAGCTTTGAACATGCTTGCGAAGGCAAAGAAGAATAAAAGCGAACGGTACCTACAAGACCATATGCCTAGTGAAGAGTATGGAAAGTTGCGTGATTTTTTGATGCAGGATGATGACGAGGATGCAGGAAAAGGCGATGATGAACAAAAGGGAGAGAGCGGTGAAGCTGTTGCTGGTGGGCGCGGTGTAGGAGACGAGAAGAGGAAGAATCTCGACAACAAAAATAGAATAGGAACCTCTACGAGCTCTACTGGCAATTATCTCAATGACGAAGAGGAGGATGAAGTCCTAGAGCGCCTAGCACGTCTTCGAAGAGTCGACTCTTTTCTGGATCGTTACCTTCTCCAATTCATCCTGTTCTTCGGTTTTTGTGCAATGCTAGCTCTCGCTGTGCTCTGCTTCTTCCTGTACAAGGCGTATTACACGCAAGACGACAAGCTGATCAATAAAACCGTCGCGGCGTGGCGCGGCTACTCTCAGGGGGTCGTGAAATCAGTGGCTGGGGAGGAAGGGATTACTTAAGGCAGAGAAAGAGATAGAGATATCGATGTTCTACTTGCTTCTGTTCTGAGGATGTGCTGCCTGCTTATATCGATGTTCTACTTGCTTCTGTTCTGAGGAAGATGTGCTGCCTGCTTATATCGATGTTCTACTTGCTTCTGTTCTGAGGATGTGGTGCCTGCTTATATCGATGTTCTACTTGCTTCTGTTCTGAGGATGTGCTGCCTGTATTTCTGAATAATAGTGTACCTGCCTTACAGTTGGTTTTGGTACAACACAACAACAACAAGTACAAGTACTTTTTACAACTTATTAGACACATGCCGAAATACGTCTTTTCTAATCCAGTTTCTTACGATCCGGTCTTCGCGCGCAGATGACGACGATTGTGAAGAGGGTTGATACAGTCTTGGAGTCGATGGCTGACATCGTTTTGCACCAATTCGGAAGGGACGTGACTGGAAAGAAAGTTGAATTATAGTAGCATGAAGCTCATTTTTCGTTGATCGTTGACGTACCAAGGTTAGAAAATAAGACCAGGACGGAACTTTTTCGCAGATTGAAGGGGCTTCTTCGCAATTGCTAGTATTGCGATTGACTCATCGTAAAATGTCTGAAAGAAAGAAAAAGAATGAACCGCACTAGGAGCAATGTTCTCTCGATAGTTCTTCTCCTTACACTGAAAAAGATCCAAGCGACAACGAAGATCCATGAAGATCTTACTACGTTGTGAAGATCTTACGGTCAGTGATTTGAGAGAACTATCATTCAAGAGCAAGCGTGATTCTTCTATCGGTCTAACCGCCCGTACAGCACTCTCTTATCTTCAAAATCGTTCTGTATGTCTGTTGCGTATCGGGGTCCGTTCATGTTCATGTCATCCTTCTAGGTGAGCCATGCTCGTTTTTCCGATTTCAATCAAGAATCGGTTCCCAATTCTCCAAAGCGTAAGCCATAAGATTTCATTTCCTTCGTCTTCGACTTGCTGCTTGCGAATACTAAGTACAACGTGCTACATAAGTACTTATTTCTCGTTCTCCATCAATCGTATCACTACTTTTCACCACTTGCTCCCTTTTTAGATTTAGAAGTGCATAGTATAACAAAACTAGAACGAACACGCTTATTGACATTTTTGATGCAATCAAATGATAAGCTAACATCACCGATGCCGACAGTGCATAGTAACACTTTCACTTTCATCGTACTAGCCGACTAAATAAAGAAAATCCAAAGACCATCAGCTTCAGCAGTGATCAAGACGAAAATGGGTCAGGCAACATCGTCTTATGGGTTCTTCTCGGAAAACCACCGCGAGGAAAACGACAGAGCGGAACATAAACTACACCAAGGGGAAAGTCCTCGTACAAGATCAAACAAGATGATCAGCAACGCTACGGCGATTCAACGTTCTCTCGAACCCTCTGAAGTCTTCTGGTTTGCAGATTCGACTACCCGTGTAGACTTTGACTTGTCTTTTCACAATGCATACGAGAAATCCATAGGAGAGGTGGGTCTATTGTTTGCGCTGTGCGACCGCTTCGGGAACCAAACGAGACGATTGCAGGATGTGCCTGGTGTCTTTTCGGTTCGGACAAAGTCCTCTGGTTCTGCGGGGAGATTGAAAAATGGTGATCGGAGAGGCAAAAACGATCATGTGCGAGGAGGAGGTGGCGGCGATGTACTGCAGGTATTGGATACGATATAAAGTTTGAAAGCCCTGCCAACTTATTGAATTACATTTATATATGTACCAGGGAGGGAGGCCCCCCCCCTGTGGATGGATCTGGGGTGGACCACGCCAGAGGGGTCCAGCCTGGCCACCTTTGCGCGGTCTGTATGGTTGGCCACATGCAGCACGCCAAGGGGGTGGGTCCTGCCTTGCCTCCTCTGCCAGCTCTGTCGGGTACCGCAACACGCCCGAGGGCGCCAGCCTTGCCATCTTTGCCAGGTCTGTAGGGCACAGGCAACAAGGCAGCGGGGCCCTGCCTTTGCCCCCTTTGCCAGGTCTGTAGGGCACATGCAACAAGGCAGCGGGGCCCTGCCTTTGCC